CAGCACTCCTGAACTGGTTACAGTGCAAAGTCAGAATCAGACGTCAGGAAACAGCAGGAAAAGAATTATCCCCCACTTGGCACGTCCTGAAAAGAGTCATTTCAAATGTCTTTCTCATGCAAAATATCTTAAAAGGTCGAATTGAATACAGTTTCTGGGACTGACTTCACGTGAAAAAAAGATTATTGAAGTGTCATGATGTTTCACAGTTGAAAAAAACTCCCAAAATACCATCAGATAAAAGCAAAACGCCAGCTCTGGCAAACATGAGCGTAAGGAATCTTCCAGGTAAAGCGTGGCCTGGGGGGCAGAGGGGGGGGGCTCCAGGAAATGTGAGTTTGACTGAGTCACACGGGGAAGCTGCCAGAGCAGACTGCCACTGCCTCATGGGGATAAGGCAGGAGGGAGTGGCGCTGATACAGACAGCCGCCTTTGTTTGAATTAGAACTGGCTCAGTTTATCCAATAGACCATTCAAAGCTACACCTAAGCTGCCGGTTTCACATGGCAAGACTTCTGTGGCTGAGGGCGAGCGGGCTTCCCATCAGGCAGAGTGAAATTAGGCTGCACAGGAGCGGAGAAATGGAAGATTAGAAGCTTTATACTTTCTTTCTGAGATGCTTTCAGTCTGTTCCAGCTTGCTCACAAGGGGGGGGTGGGGAGGAGTGCTCGGTAGCAGTGTTACGGTAACAGTCAGTGTGGGAACAAACCGCTTTACCGTGACTCTGCAACTAAATGGAGAGTGTTAAAGAAAACTGCTGTTACTGCGCAGCACCTGAAGGCATCAGTCAGGGCGTTGGCCGTCGTCTCAGGGCTTTATCAAACAAAGGAGCAAGAACAAACTTAAGTAACCTTGTGTGAACCGGAGCCCACGGAGAGCCCTCCTGTGTTCCAGGCATCTGAAACTAAAGTCCAGGGTGGCCGAACGCTCCCCCCTGCCCTCGGACTGAGAGGTAATCCCTCCATTTGTCTGGACGCAGGAGCAGGAAAACACCGCGTAGCTAATGAGTGATGGAAATAAACACACACCACTGCACTGCAGGGCTACGGTGGCACAAATAAAGCAATGTTCTCCAGGTTTCTCTGAAGTTAGGTGGAGTTGGCGTGGGTTTTTTTTTTTGTTTCTTGGGTGCCGACCTGCGGCGGGGAAAAGCGAGCTGGTGCTCCGCTGGAGCCGTGCAGCAGCTTGTCGTGTAAGGGCAGCAGCTGCATTCCTGAGAGATTGATAATTACCGTCTGAAGAACTCCTCTTTCCAAATCTGCTTTCACCCCCTCAATACACACACACACACAGACACACACACAGGACCTTCCCCCCCTCCCTCATCTCCTCCTGTTGCTCTCCCGGCCGCCCCCACCTTCTCCCTGCCACACATCCCTCATACAGTGGCCCAGGAGACTCGGTTATGGAGAAAAATGGATAATGGCTGGCACATGGGAGTCATTTAGAGATAACAATATATGTGTGTGTGTGTATGTGTGGAAATACGGGAACTGGAAAAGGGCAACATTTGCAAAAAATTCATTTAAAAGAGTGACTGATTACCATCTGTTTTGGTAAATATGCTAAATTAGATTGTGAAGAAAGTTTGTCCCTGCAGGCTGTCAACTTCTGCCAAGGAAAACTAAGATTTCCCCTTGAAATTTTGGATTTTTATTTTGTTTTTGTGTTGAAACCAGGCTCGCTGGGCTGATCACTCTGAGCTTTGCCTTGTTTCCAGGGGTTTCCGGGGGGTTCTGTCTGGACTGTGGCCTCTGTAGGGCTTAAGACCCTGAACTCGGACAAAAAGCAGCTATTCGCGTTTGCAGAAAAAGACTTACGCAGCTGGACAGTCAGATTTAAAAATACACCCTGGCCTCTCCGTGTCTCTGCCCGGCCCGGCCAAAACAATATCCTTTTTAATTTGGTCCTCAGTTGGTCTGAGAGTCGCCAAGAGTCGGACAAAAAATGTGTGTGGGAACAAAACGAGAAGAGTTAAGAGCAGGACCAATGTGGACTCCTAAAAAGCCAAGAAAAATAGTGACACAGGGCCTGAGCGGAGTGGAGAGCGGAGCTTATTTGCATGGAGACACAAACATCTTCTGCCTCCTGCACCAAACAGCCAGACACTCACCCAAAGTGCTGATAAGACCTGCTGATGAGTTCCTCAACAGCTAAACCCTCTGATTAATGGCACACTGTTGCCCACCCATCACACCCACCACACATCACTCAGTCATGTGTTCGTAAAAAACCCTGATTGTTCCTGCTGACCAGCAGCTTTGACCTTTGCTCCACTGAGCTGACTCACAGCGAGGAGTGTAAACAACCCAAAAACCTAAAGCCACCTTTCCAAAAAAAAAAGAAGGAAAAAAAAAAGAATCAGCTTTCTTAATGCAATCCTCCGTCATCGTCCGGTCTCAAACTGAGGGCCCCCCCGGATGTTCTGCTGACTCGGCAGGGCTCTGCCATGGCAGTGCTTGCAAAACACACCTGTAATCTCTCTGGGTACAAGCCTTGGCATAAAGCAGCCTGATGAAGAAGGAGCACCAGTATGCGGCACGCCCTTTCTAAACAAATGGCTCTGTCTCAGCCTCACCTACCGCAGGGTGCAGGCGGTAAAGACGAAAGCCGGGCCAGGCCAGGCTGACCCCCACTGAGTGGAAAAGCTGCAGAGTTTCCAGAAAAGTTTCGATTTGGAGCTCGCCTCCTGTCCAAAGTCCAGCAGAAGCATCAGACAAACAGTGAGGAGGGTTGGGGGGGGTACCAGAAGAGGTCCTAAGGTGGTCCTTTTTATCTCTGTCGGGTTAATCAACAAGCGGTGCACACGGGCTGCCATTGACTGGCACAGATCAAACCCACAGTTCCAGCATCCTGCCCCCCCCCCCTCCCTCCAGTGCCTTCTCACTGGGTCAGAAAATAGGAAACAATCGTCATTGTCATGAGATCCAAAGTTGAAAGAAGCACTGCAGGTTTTAAATTACCTCTGCTCAGGATCCCTCAAGGCCAGGCCGAGAAAATCTCCCACACCCTGATTTTTTTTTTTTTTTTGGCATGCCTTTCTACCTGCACTCTCCTTCTATCCGTCTCCTTCTCTCTTTTGCCCCGCGGACTGGAGTTTACTTGAAGACTCTAACAGTAAACTTCCATGTGTTTAAATTAAAGCAGCTGTGGCAGAGTTATGGCCTACACGGGCCACCGTCTATAACACAAAACTTCACGTGCAATAAGGTAACTCTTTCGCAAGAAAACTTCCGTGGCTTTAGTCCGTCAAAACTAAATGTTCAGGTCGTCTGAACTTCTTCAGCGAACCTCAGACAGCAGAAAAAACGTCTCCATACCTTTTGAGACAAGCGGGTAGACGGGTTCAGCCACTCTCCATTTGAGGCGCTTCTTCTCAAACTCCCAAACTTTTCAGCGTCCGACGGGAAACTTCAGGTGGAGCATTTCCGTGACGGCCCGGTCCGGGGCGGACACGGCCGGGTTCGCTGGTTTTTGTCTCGGCGGCTCCGGCGGACTGCTTTCCTCGGCTGTCAGGTGCCGTTTGTCAGCGGCCGCACCGCTCCGGTGAGCCAGGGAGGTGGGCGGGGGGGCTGAGGGGGGGAGTGCCGTCGACCTGCAGCAGCTCCCACCTGGAGGAGGCTGGGCGCGCGCTCAGGTGCGAGCCGGAGGCGGCGGTCGGAGTTGTGGCGACATCTAGTGGCCAAAAGGCGACACTGCAGCAGCCTGTGGTCCGGATGGAACCCACAAAGACCAGTCCGTGGAGAAGAAGTATGAAATAAATCATATGAAATCAAACTGAATCATACGAAAAATCATCCTTATTTCAAACAATTATTAGGTTTCACTTGGGCCTTTATAAATTTATAAACAAATCAGTAAAATATTCACTCGGAGTCGTTTTTGTTTTGTGATTGAGGGAAATTGGCAAAATCAAAACTAAATGAGAAATGCGAGGATATTAGAAATCTATAAGTAAATATTAAAGATAATTATTACATGCATTGATTTCATTGTCTCAAGAAGATATGTTTTATTCATAGACACAGAAAATGGAAAGAACAAAGAGAATAGCCAGACATGACTTTCACAGGATTCTCAACCTCTCCCATTTCACTGACCTTCTGGCAGGACAATGCAAAACGACTGATAATCACTTTACACAGTGGTGTATCACCAATTTAAAGCATGATCATTTATTAAATCTGTATATAGGTATAATATATGTATAATATATGAGAATTTGTGTATATGCATGTCCTATAATAGCATCCACATCTTTCATATCTGTCCTTTAATATCCGGCTGATACTATTTCTCAATGTGAGGCAGCATGCAAAATCCATGAAACAATTCTTTCTCTCATATCATGCAAACTAACAGGGGCTGAGGCCAACTTTGGATGCGCGTGCCTGCAAATTCGGCACACCTCTGCCAGCCCAGCGATCAGATGCTAGATATTCTCACTGAACAGCTTAGAAAAGTTGTTGCTCTCTGCCGTGACAGTGCTGCCACGCTTTAAATCTGTACAAATATAGCCCTCTGTGGCAGCCAAGCTCGCCCAAACATGTGTTTGCTGATGCATCCGGAACATGTAGGCCTGTCTGCCTCCAGCATTGGCACCGTTTGTGTCCCCATGTGGGGGTATGACAGAGTCTTAGATAGAGTTTCCCCTCGGTGCCTGCAGTGTTATTTATACACACAAAGTGTGCCTCTGTTTTCCTGGAGACAGACACCCAGCAGAGAAGTGCTAGAAGCTAAAAGCAAACTGCTCGCTGCTGTCCAAGTGTTTGTTCGATCTGTCGTCTCCAGAAAAGTAAGTAAAATCAAATGTCTGTGTGGGCACCCTTTGGTTTGAAGATATGTCTGCAATGACTTTCAGAACTTACCGGCTGAACTGAACCTCCCAATCATGCAAATTACCCCATGAAGGGATTATGAGATGATCAAATTTAGAATCTAAGAGCTAATCTTGATTGGTAGCTGATTAACAGCTGTGAACGTGTTTCTTTTAGCCTCTCATGGACAATCAAAGATTAGTGGAAGGTGCAAAAAACACATCTGCTAAGGACTTAGAGGTGGAAAACATGTATTCTGAGACAGAGGCTGTCTATCCCCCGTATGGGAGCACACACCGCCCCATGGTGCAGGACGACCAGGTGGACATGGAAACCCTGGGCCAATTTTTCGATCGGTGCATCCAGGAAGTGTCTCATCTGGAGAAACAGAGGGAGGAGCTGATCGAGGAGCTGATTGGCCTGCAGGAACCCATGCTGCAGGTGGTGGAGCACCTCAGAGGGAAGCTGGAGGGCGCGCGGCGGCTGCTCACTCTCACTCAGCTGGATTACGTTTCTGTTTATGAGGAAGTTCAGCAGGTGAAAAGGAAACTGTTTGCTACAGCCAGAGACTCCATCCAGAGCCAAGTGGAGCTGGCTGCACAAAAGTATGAGGTGGATCAGTCTGTTGTCTCTCAGGTATGGACTAAAAAAGACATAATTTAGTTCCCATTTTCAGCAGAATACTAAAAGACGCTACCAGATTGTGACCACAGCACAAACTTTGGTACACAAGTCCAAAAACATGTTGCAGAGACAGAATTTTGCTGGAAACTCATATGCAACGCATTAATATTTATTCACTTACAAACAAAACATGACTTGTTTTAAATCGGGATGATTGACACAGAGCGTGATTTTCTTTTTCAAAGACATGATTTAATCTTTATAGAATGAGCAAATCCTTAAGTGATATTTCCATTATTCCAAATGATTTGATGGCTTTGTAAAATGTCTAGTTTTGAAGGGGGGACATGTACCAGACATCCATTTGCTCAGTTGTCCCTGTAGTCCTGAGGCTGGTCATTTGGATTTTGTGGCCTTTATTGTTTATCCAAAACACATTCTTATTTTAATTTGTTCAACTACCAAAAACAAACAGGATCTTCCATGTACAATGAGAAGTGCACTTTCTTTTGTCCGTTCATAGGAGGAGCTCCAGGCCCACATCCTGAGTCTGACTCAGGAGTTGCCCCTGCTGAAGCGAGCCCACCAGAGCCAGCTGGACGCTCTGAGGGCCCAGGCCTCCGGCGCCTGCAGACGCAGGGCCATGAGCGACGTCAGCCAGTGCCGGCAGGCGTCGGCGCGGCTGCAGCGGCGGCTCAGCGGCAGCGTGAGGGCGCTGGAGGGCTGGTACGAGCCCCGCCTCATGGCCCTGCTGCGCAGGAGGCAGGCCGGGGAGGAGGCCCTGAGGAACTGCCGGGAGCAGGCCGCAGACCTGAGGGCCAGCCTGGGCCCTCTGAGGGAGGACATCCAGAGACTGGAGGTCCAGAGATCCTGCCTGGAGAGAAGAATCGCCCTCATGGAGGCGGAAAGGGACGCGAGTAGGGCCGATTACAAGGTACGACTAATAGGAAAAAAACAGGATATGCGTGTGTGGCGTAAGCCAAATCTGAAATTCTTCCATTTGCCAGGAGACTGTGGAAGAACTGGAGGAAAGTTTGAGAAAAGTACAGCTTGAATTTGAGCTTCAGAGAAAATCTAAGAAGGATTTGGAGGACCTTAATGAAAGCCTTTTAACAGAGCTCACGTTTCTGAGGTAAAGTCCCTTTATCCTTTAAAGCTTTAATTCATAAAGAGAAACTAGTTGGGAATTAATCACTTTTTGTCTTGCAGAGGCAGGAATGAATCCAGTAACACAAATGCAGAGGATCAACAATCTGAGTCTTGACAAAACCTCAGGTCTGTTTTTCTAGCCACCTAAAAATAGTCCTCATACATAGAAAACACGCTAATCTTTCTGCCCAGACCCGTTTACCAGTTTTTGCACATTTCTTTAACACAAAGCCAAAGAGTCAAAGCTTTACTGTAAATATTTATTATGAATATACTTAGATACACGAGAGATCAGATGCAACACGAAAACCAAATGCGGAGAAACAAAATAAAAACACACAAGTGACACAATCTGGAAAATTTAGACTAGAAATACCAAGCAAATATAAAGAAAAACCTACAGTATGTACAGTCGTATTAAAAATGGATCACTGTAGAAATGTCGTCTGCACAGCTAATGATGAAAGAAATAAAATCCTGATAGGAGAGCGAACCTGGCGGAGGGCAGTCGAGTCTGGGGCGCTTCATCAGAAGCCGGGGTTCACTTTGAAAAACTAGAGATCTACAAATCGGACCCAGACAGATGTTATTTTAAATAAATCAGGACACGGATGACGGCGCAGCATTTTGTCCTTCCAATTTCTACAAAACGCCACGGCTAGAAAGATTTGACTGCTCGGACACCCCGGGAAACGGATCCATTCTTAACAAGCAGGTCAAGACGCCAAAACTGGACTCATGCCTGGACCTCTGAATCTGCAGCACCCTCTGGGTCCTCGTCATTGTAGATGTTTTCAGCCTAAGGAAGACACGGTTTTCTCACATTAACGCTCACATTTCCTAATGAAAGGCTTCGTGGTTACATTCACTGGACGGGAGCCCTGTTTTCTCACCATTTGCCAAACTTGCATGATGTTGTCCTCCGATACAGAACAGATGACCCACGGCTCGTTGGGGTTCCAGGAGAAGTCCGAGATCTTGGCTGTGTGTCCACCGTGGATGAACTGCGGGCCAAACGGAGCAGGAGGAATGTGCTGTGAGTTTAAGAGGGTTTGACCCCCCCCCTCCCCCCTATTGTTAGACAACAACCCACCAGAAGCTCAGGAGGACCATCCTCAGCATCCTCTGGCGACTGCTCCTCCCCGATCTTGCTGAGGTCCCACACGTTGAGCCGCCGGTCGGTGCCGCTGGAGGCCAGGATGGTTTCGTTGTGGGGAGACCACTGAACCTGTAGAGAAGACGACACTTATGCCGTTACTGTGGGCGTGAGGCACTTCTGACCAGAAATCACATCATCTATGACTTTGGCCTCATTTTCAAAACAGTCACGGTTCACTCATGAGTGGATTCACATAGCAGATTCTGCCATTTTTTAAACGAGGGAAAAACTAATGTACATTAAATACCCATGGTGAAATAAAACCAGATCTGTTTTAACTTGGCCTGTAAAAGCATCTGTGACTCAACTGTCTCTGCTCTGCCTTAAACCAGCAGAAACCTACAACAGATGGATGGTTGAATTTAATCCTTAATTATTCACAAATTGTCTGCAGTGCCAATTAAAGGGTTATATCTATTCAAAAACCAGAAAACAAGGTGAGAAACAACTTTAAATGCCTCTTTAATGCTTAAAACTATTCACAAGGGAGCCTTAATTTGATCCGATCGTAAAGGCAAGAAAAGATTCTAGAGGGTTTAAAAAACGCTGCGCCCTGATTGGCCGTCTTACCTGGAAGATCTCGTCCTTGTGAGACTCAAATGAGTGAAGTTTCAGCTTCAGGTTCCTCAGGTCCCAGAGAGCCACAGTCTACAAAAGCAAACACACGATGGTGAGTGTGGAAAACAGAAACAGTGGCCTGCGATCCGGCAGCAGTGAGTGGGGGGGGCGCACCTTATCCGCAGAGCCAGTGGCCAGAATGAACTCGCTGTAGGGGTTGAAGGACAGACAGTTGACCTCGGCGGTGTGGGCGTCCACGGCATGGCTGGGTTTGGAGGTGTTGTTGGACCGCGTGTCCCAGCTGCAGCACAAACAGACACAAGGCACCGACTGTTCAGAGCAAAGCTGGAAAATCAACAGCAGCTTTGTTTTGCGGCGGGTCACCCCTGTAGTAACCCACATCATAAGCTTCTGGTCGTCTGCCACCGATCCGAAGAGCGACTCGTGGAGCAGGTGCCAGGAGACGTCCTCCACCACGGCGGTGTGGCCCGTGAAGATCGTCTTGGCATCCACAATCTTCCCTTCTTTGGGCACTGTGCTGATGTCCCACAGACATATGGTCTGCAGAGCGTCCAGATGCACAGAATTAGAAAGCTGTCAAGAGGATAAGACTGGAAAGAGTGGAGGAAATGTTTCTCACGTGGTCATCCGACGCGCTCAGGAGGCAGCCGCTGAGGTTTGGGTTCCAGGACAGACCGTAGCCCTCCTTCTGGTGGCCTCTGAGACGCAGGTCTGGGGTACATTCTCCGGAGGGGTCTTCAGGGCAAAACAAAAAACAACGTGCTTAAAATGTTCTGAGATGCAGCAGCAGCAACATCTGTGAATGTTTTTTAAATAATAAGCGGCCCTACCAGGCTTAGAGGGGTGTTTTGTGTAATCAAAGACGAGCACGTCGCTGGTCGGGGTCTTGGTGGCAATGATGCAGGGGTTCTGAGGCATGTAGCGTGCCCTGTTCACTTCCCCCTCGTGGTTGATCTTGATCTCAATCTCTATCTTTCCACTTACAGAGCCAAAGCCTCCAAATTCTGAAGTCGAAAGGAAAAAGCGGTACATAAGATGTGTGCTAATAAAATACCCACTGAGGTGACGTGTCAAAACTACACTCTTTAGCAGAGGCTTCTGACGGATTGTCTCTCACCGCCTTTCTCACTGTCATAGTGAGAGGCATCAAACTGGGCGTCATCATTTGGGAGCTGAACGCTGGCGATCACTAGGTGATTCTGCTCATCGGAAGTGTGGGTCCCGAGAACCAGTCTGTGCACGCTGTAGTCCTTTCCCTCAGGCCTGTGGAGACAAAACATTCACACACATCATGTCGTCCTCCTTTCTACCCCAAAGTCTGTACATGAGAGGATGCAACAGCCTCCCCTTCTCACCTGGTGACATCTGGCAGCCACTGAGCTGTAAGACTGGGCCACTCCAGGGCGTGAGTCATAACCAGGTCATAGAGGAAAGGGGTGTTCTTCTTCCAAATTTTGTACTCTTCATTGATCACTCTTTCCTCCACAGCATCGTCAAATGCGGCTGGAAATTAAATATTTTTAGTAACACATGTATATTATCGCATAATAAATCAAATGAACATGAAAAAACAGGCAAGGCCTCCAATTTGTTTGGAATGAGCAGAAAACATTTAGTTGCTGCTACTGAAGTTATGTCAGTCGTATGTTCTACTTAATAAATTGCGCTTGTGGTGTTCATTTTGATTAATTTCCCGTGTGAAACATTAATGGAACGAGAGGTATGTACTTGCTCGGTTCAATCAAAACATCGTGTTCTCAAATAACATCTAAATTCACCTGATTATTCTACATCAATACATAAAAAGTCCCGGTTTGGCCAATAAGCTAGTAGCTAACGTTAGCAGGTGCTAGTTGCTAGCATACTGGTCTAACAATGAGATGAGATGCAGGCTGGCGCGCCAACGACCACCGGTCTATAGGAATCTTGGTTTTCAGTCAACTTAAACGGCAAATATCAACATTCAACACTCTGCTTTTGACGAATGGGTGCCCTTACCATCTTTATCAGCCATCGCGGCGTAGTTAGTTCACGAATATAAGCAGAAAGGAGTATTTTTGTGGAAAGCGCTCATAAGACAGCACGTAGCCTTGCAATGGCGCCAACTCCATAGAACGCAGCGGGCCAATCAGAATTCAGCACTGCCGACAGGAAGTCATCATGACAATATGGTAATACTTCCGGTACCTCCTTCTTATCGGGGGCGTATGCTGTAGTACACGCTGTATAGGAAGTCAGACTTCTGGGTTTCATTTTGAAAAACCAAATATACTGTTTGAAGTCGTTTTTTGTTAGTCCTGGTTAAGATATATTACTTTTGGCATTCTAAAATTCTTCTAAAATAGAATTTAAGATTCATTGACATTTTTTATGCTAGCTCTTGTCGTCATTACCATTAAAAATAAAACAAATAAGTATAATACTTTGGTCTCATTTTGATGTTTTTCGCCTGGGTAATTTAATAGAATAACTGCTAGAGAATTTGCATAGTTAAAAACAAAGTGAAACGCTCAAGCATTGACGAGAAGACGAAAATCACGTGACTTAAACCCTCAATTCCCACTTTATGATTACCTCAAACGCAACACAAGCCAAGTTGGTCTAATAGTCGCACATTGAAATGGTGTAGATCGTTTATCATCGTTTTAAATATTTGATCAACTTACCGTCCCAATGGACGACCGTCAACTCGACCTGACACAGGCTCAGATAGCTACGAAGTCAAAATACCCGCCGATCAACAAGAAATATGAATGTAAGTCTAAAGTTTTGATCAAATGTTGTTAGCTTAGCTCGATGACTGCTGCTGTAAAGCCTCACATTGCTCAACTTTTGGTCACCGTGGCTAACAGTTTAGTTACATTTCAGGTGTCATTCCATTAAATTCATTTTCTACATCACTAGTAGGAGGACGTCAATGTAGTTTAAAGATGTTTCTTTCCCAAACATGCTATACTAATTATATTTTTTAGCCTTTTTTTTTTTTACGATCGATCTACCTCTCACCTGGTTAACTTGCTTTTTATTATTTCAGACCTGGATCATACTGCAGATGTACAGTGAGTGGACCTTGTTTAATCATGTTCATGTTTTTCTAAAGTTCTGTGTTATTGTGGTTGATATTTGCACATACCCTCTAAGAATTCACTCCTGGGGAAACTCTTTGGAGGAAGCTTTTGAGCAGTGTGCCATGGGGATGTTTGGCTACATGACGGACACAGAGACGGTAGAGCCCACTGACACTATGGAGGTGGAATCAGAAGGTGAGAAGCCTCAGTTACACTTATCACACTCCTGGCCATAGTCACAAAAAATAAATAAAGAGGTGTGTGTTTGGTCTGTGACAGTGTCCAGGTATAAGGTTGGCTACAAGGTACAGGAGGTGTTTTTGGTAGATTTGAAAGTATTTTTCTATTATAGCTGATTTATGCAAGCCATCAATTAGCACCAATGAAACAAAAAATGTTTCCTCTTTTCCAAAAAGGTGATGACATGGAATCACTCCTCTTCCACTTCCTAGATGACTGGTTGTACAAGTTTAGTGCAGAACTCTTCTTTATCCCCAGGGTGAGTGTTTGCTGGTTGCTCATGGAAAGTTTAACACATCGTGTTCACATTATATGGTTGTGTGAAGAGTTCTTCTTGGTCTCTGGTGAATTTAAAGGCCTGTCGTACATTTCTTGGCCTCCTGCCAGAGCACGTGACCCCTGCTCAGTTTGTTCATTGATCTAAAGTGGCGATGCATTAGGGCATTTATTCAGTACATGCTGAGCTTTATTTGTATTCTTGTGTTTTGTTGTCTGCTCACATCTGTTTTGTCTCTGTAGGAGGTCAAGGTTTTGCACATTGACAGAATGCGTTTTAAGATCCGCTCCATTGGGTGAGTTTGACAAGTGTGAGCAGACTTTTAATTTGGATTTACTGCTTGTTTAAAGAGAGCACATTCTGACAATTTTTTCTGTTTTCTGTGAACAGATGGGGTGAAGAATTCTCTCTGGAGAAGCATCCACAGGTAAGTCAGTGGAAGCAGCGGATCTTTACGCTAAGAGGTGAAAGGTACGTTTTGGTAACTCATCTATCCTGTTATGTCCTGTGCTTCCTCTGCAGGGAACTGAGGTGAAAGCCATCACATACTCTGCAATGCAGATCCACGATAAAGAAAAACCAGAAATATTTGCCATCATTGATATCTGAGGAAGTCTCTGGACAAGGATGCACACTCCCGGTTCAATGGAACTAGAAAATTCAGCCAGTTGCAGTGGCCTTTTTTTTTATACAGCACTGAAAATTATTTAGGAAAACACAAGTTTTACACAGTGGATAAAAACTGTTTTGCATCAGTCTCTCTCTCTCTTAACAAAAGACTGTCTTATAAAAAACATGTCAGAAATCATTAAAACCTTGAATGTAAATGAGTGACATACAGTGATGTGCAGGTTCATTGTTATGGTGATAACCTAAGTGCATACTTTAAGCAATTCTTATGGAAAATCACTGATATGTTGTGGGGTGGGATTGCATTTGTGTGACAGATTTGTTCATTATACATAATAATTGTAATTCTTCTAATTTATAAGGGATTTGTTTTCATGCTTTTTTGCATTATTTTAAATAAACAGTGTCTATTTTACTGTGGCTCTTCTATTTTAATGAAACAAGTTAGTTATGAGCAAAGATTACATATGAAATACAGCATCATAACCAAAAATATGTCTACAGTTATCCAAAAGTAGGCTACAGAGTCCCATACAGCAGCATGATGGAAACAGACAAGCACTGAATGTTGATAACTGTTTCAATCCATATTTTAAAAAAAAAAAGTGTATTATGAATGATCATGCAAATAGAACATGCAAGTGACATTTAGATTTTTTTTGATAAGGTAAAGATGCCTTTTTGGCACTAATGTCTATATTTATGCATAGTTTTCATCTCAAATGCAGTCAAGACAGAAACAATTTGACCTGACACGCACAGTCACAGCAAATTCTGGACAGTGAAATGTAAGAAGAACGTCCTCCTTTAAAATACTTGTGTTCTGGAAAAAAAAAAAACAAGTTTGATGATGACCATAAGTTTAATGCTTCCTTTAATGCTGCAAATCGTTTGTTATAATGGAATTTTAAAATAGGGACTTCTTCTCTCAAGAAAAATTTGCGAAAATAAGTAAATTGTCACCACTATTAACGGATAAAGTGTGTGCATGATTCCTTAAAAAATGCAGTGTTTATGCGTTATGAAATGTTTCAAGGTGGTCAAGTCTGGACAAGATAAAGGTTTTAGCTACTTTCCCCAAATCAGTACGAATGGAATAATGCCTGGACCATTCAGCACAACAGAGGTTATGTTACAGATCAGTCATAAATCTGTACAAATGCAGCAGTAACAAAACACTATATGTTCATTTCAATAACTGACAACATCCAGCTTTGTTTTACAGTCGGTCATTGGTGCTGGCATTATAATTTTGGACTGATTTTTCCTTTCCGCCCCCCCATCCATCCGTTTTCTCTACCGTTTTTATTCCCAACAGGGTCACGGGGACTCAAACTGGGAACTATCTTGCTGTGTGGTTATGGTTCTAACCACCAAACCACCGTGCCACCTCCTATTCCTCATTCTAAATAAAAAGATAAATTTAAAGGCACTTTGTTGTTGGCTTCAGATCTCTGACATCCATAATTGATCTTTTTGCAGGACCCAGTATCAGAACCACGAATGATTCACAGTGTGCATAGTTTATGAAACAGTTTGTGGAGGCACTTTATCCCAGGGATATATCTTTATATGTTCTGTCTGGTGCAAACTGTCACTTTCTACAGTGGGGAGAGCCGTGGCATGATGACTGGTATAGTCAGATCACACCTAAACTATTGTCTCCTAGAAATAACTACTAAAAATATTAAAAAATATGACTGAAATATTAACAAAAGGGCCTCATTTGGAGAAATGAATGCTTTTTTTGTTTCAAAAAGTTGCCCAACCAATAACCAATTAAGTACTTTAGTAGTTTTTAAAAATATATATTATTATTTGATCGGTGTAATGGACAGTGACCCGCCTTGACCCTCTTCTTCTTCTCGGCGAGACGAACCGGACCGCCTGCGGTGACGTCACCGCCTCCCGTGGTGACGTCACCGCCCCCTCCCGGTCCGACTCTAACGCAGCTGCGCCATCCCTCCTTTGTCTGCCGAGGACAGCGGACACACACCGGCCCCACTCCGCCAGCAACGCCTCCCATCCTCCCCCCACGCTTTCAACCCGTTCCACGCCAAAGCCACCGAACCGGCCAAAGCCCTGGCTGATAATCCGACCGCGGCAGTTTGCTGTGGAGACGAGCGACAACTGACGAGAACACCCCCCGAGTCCGCCACGGAATCTAGTCCGGCAGAGAAGAAAATCAAAATGGAAGACTCGAAGTACCTCCCGGAGCTCCTGGCCGAGAAGGACAGTTTGGATTCTTCCTTCACGCACGCCATGAAGCTCATCACTGCAGGTAACGTGGACGCCGTTAGCCCGGACGGCTAACAGTCGAGTTAACGGTAGCTCGGCCGGGGCCTGTTTTTTTTTCCCTCTTAGTCTGCGGGCCCGAACAATGGCGTATGAACCACGTGGTTAGGAGCGATGTGGGTCAGCCTCCCATTCAGTGGGGATACGGGAGGTTTACTTTAGTTGGCTATTCGCCGTTTAACTAGTTACTATTCGTTTTTTACATGTATTTGTACCCCCCCCTCCAAAAAAAATAAAATTAAAAAAAGCTTGTTTAGCTGAACATAGCCGCCACCTTCCTCGCACTTGATTGACTGTTATCCTCAGCAGCTAAGCTCCTCCATGTAATGTAATGACCTAGATACCAGGTGCAAGCTGGGAAATGCTCTGCAGGTTCATGCATTAGGAACCCCCGGGGGGGGGGTTATTATGTCCATTTTGTTGGTGCCACATGCTAAGAGCACTTTTCTTGCCTGCAGAGATCGAAAGGATCCAGAAAGGTGACACTAAAAAGGAGCCAGAGAAGGAGGCCTACCTGGACCTGTTTGCCACCAAGAGTCTGAAACTCAAGGAGCGAGTCCTTATTCCTACCAAACAGTATCCCAGGGTAAGCCTTCTCTTTTTTTTTATCCCCGTTCCTGTGTGTAAAGTTTAGACGATGACTGAGTTTTGACAAGCGAATGAACTGTGAGCGAATATGAGGCCTAATTCAGCACATCTAGATGGGCCTCGTTACCTCGTGCATGCAGGGCCCCCGTTTCTGCTTGAACGGCTCTGCAGGAGCTGGGCGGCGTGGTTGGGACTGACTCTGATGCCCCTTTCAGGTCAACTTTGTTGGAAAGCTCCTGGGGCCCCAGGGCAGCACAATCAAGAGACTCCAGGAGGAGACCGGGGCCAAGATCTCTGTTCTGGGGAAGGGCTCTATGAGGGACAAAAACAAGGTCTGTATAAAGAGTTTCCTTCTGGGCCTGGTTGTAACGCTTTGTGGGTGGAGGTGTGCTGATTGTGGAAATGCACGCCGCTTCTCAGGAGGAAGAGCTCAGAAAAAGTGGGGAGGCGAAATACGCTCACCTGGCCATGGAGCTGCACGTGTTTATTGAGGTCACGGCCCCCATACCGGAGGCGTACCTGCGAATGGCTCATGCCATGGACGAGGTCAAGAAGTTTCTCATCCCAGTAAGTCTCCTGGAGGTATTATTGCACCTTGATTTGTATCTTCTGCGTGTTCTTTAATTTAACGTCTTGGCTTTCTCTGATCCCCAGGAGCCCGGTGAGCAAGATCCATACATGGATCCCCACTTCCTGAATGGTTCCCAGGACGGCTCGGGCAGGGGTCGGGGGGGTCTCGGAAGGGGAAGAGGTGGACCACCTGGTGCTGGACCAAGGTAGGAGCCGTCGTGGGCGTGCTGGGGGGGCGGGTTCGGGTGTGTTGTGGTCTCTCCTGGTCTGGCCTCACCGTGAACGCCTCCTCCTCAGGGGGCGAGGGATGCCTCGCGGGAGCCTCAGAGGAGCCATGCGGGGTGGAGCTCCGCGCGGAGGCCCCGGGCGGGGCAGCGCCCCCAGAGGGGCGCCGTCCGGCAGGGGCGGGCTCCCCTCGGCCCAATCCAGGGGGGGCTCGGCCGTCCGCTCCAGGCCGCCCACAGCCGGGGCCCCGAGGATGCTGCCCTCCGCAGCCATGTCCCACCAGCAGCACCAGGTTCCCCCTTCTGGGTCGCAGGGTCCCAAGCCGGATGCCTACGATGAATATGTAAGTTCCCATTCCCTGTGAAGGCAGATGAGTGAGCGCAGCGCGAGTTAAAGGTTTGATTGTGTTTTCCTTCCAGTCTTCGTATGACGAACCTTACGCAGAGCCCGCCTATGAAGGATATGATAGTTATTATAGTCAGCAGTCTGCCCCAGCGTAAGTCAGAGCTGTTGGTCACATTACCAGCCTACGGTACATTGTAGTCACTGACTTATTCCTGTTTAATGACTGGCTGTAGGGATACGGAATATTACGATTATGGACACGGTGAGGCGCAGGACACGGCGTATGAGCCTTATGGTAAGACTGAACGCTACCGACTGCAGACTGCTCAAAACATGAGAGATTTTTCTTAGACCTTATTTTTGTGACTTTCTATGGTAGCTCAAGAAGATTGGGACAACTCGTGGTCCGGCTCAGGGGCAGGAGGCAAAGCCCCCCCATCCCGGCAGGCGAAGGGGTCATATAGAGAGCACCCGTATGGAAGATACTGAACGGCTACTGGTAGAGAGTTGCTATGGCAACTGTCTCCAATTGTAACTGGCTAAACTTTTCAAAAGTAATTTCCCTCTTGTTTTTTCCCCCCCTTTTTTATGGTTTAAATTTAGTTTTTTGTTTTAAAAGTCGTTAGAGGGTTTTTGTTGGATGTATCAGCCTGCCGGAGGAGAGACATGAACGCAGTAATTTTTTATTTTATTGTTGATCTGTTTCCATTTAATGTTTCAGTTGCGTAGTGAAGTCCAAGAGGCATAAACCAGGAACAAGAATGACATTTTAGTGTTATTTGATGGCTATTTCAGTTTATGGGTTCTTAAACTGTGATTGTGGCGATAAACTTTTATCACCTAGGCTGCATTTTCAAAAGTCCTTCTTGACAGGGCAAAAACTATTAATAATTAATGTTAGTTTCCTATAACTAAAGCGCATTTAGATACAAATGCAAATATAGCCTTGAAATAATTTTGATTAGCATCAAAAGTCTTGTGTTGTATGGATTACAGATTCTAAAATATTGTAAAAGTAAAAATAAAAAAAAGTCAAAGAACACAGGCTTCTATTTTTTGCCCTTTTCTAATTGGCACGTAAAATGTCGTCCTGTACTGAGCTAAATGATCACTGATCGAGCAGTTCCTGTAAAAGTTTTGAAGGATTACCGATCCTTGCTGTGTGTGAGGAAGGCTGCAGCCAACTCAATATTTTGTACATAACTTTAGGAAAACTGTGTATGCTTTAAGTCGTGCCGTCTCCAAAATGCATTATGCTTGTGTACCTTTTGACTAAATAGGATACTAAACATATCCCAAAATGTTTTTCTGCAGTGCGTGTTTCAATAAAGTTTCTAGTTTCTTTTTAATCAATCTAAACTTGGTATTTTGCCTTTGTTGTACCAAAGGAATGCCTTCAGTTTGTGATCCCAGCAATGCTGAATAATCTGTATGTATACACGTCAAAATCCCCAAAAACAGTGTTTTGCCAGTGAGCTTATCCTCTTAGTCTGTCTTCAAAACTAAATGACGTTTGTAATGCCACCATCAAAACACAAAATAAAGCTCATCATTCCTTGAGGTAATGTGCTGCCAAATCCATGTTTGACTTGACAGTGATACAGTGCTTTAACGTGTATTGTCATTAACCTTTAGCTAGTGTATCTCTTCAAGCTCTCAAGAGAGCAGCGTATCTTCAGCCACTTGAAATGACTGAATTTCAACAGTATTTCAAATCAAGCTTGCAGGGATCTTACTTGACTTTGATGCAAAGTCATGCTGGCTGGTTTTTATAAAAGAAAAAAATCGCTGAGGAGAGGATTCTAAAAGCCTAAAGATCGCCACAAGAAGGTAAAACTAACCCAACACTCATTTATTAGATTTTTTTATTTGATTTATTTTTATTTGTTTAATGTGCAAAACATCAAGTAATGCAAGTCATCCAAAACATCAAAACCATTGAAGTACAAAAGATGCTGTCTGTAGTTATTCCGAGCAAAACAAGCCGCATAAAACAATCATGGTTGTGATGCAACTCTGGCTCAAATAAAACAAATAATTGTTAATTTCACTCAATACTTCCATCTTATGTCTGTAGACTGTAGATGAATGAAAATGAAGTAGCTGCACTCTAAGCCTTAAAACACTCCATTGATGGACCAAAACCCTTCAGCTTGAGTTGCATGATACTTTTGTAGCGTAGCTCTTCTTTTTGTTCTGCATGTGTTGCTCGTTGTGTTGCTCAGAGGCCTTCGTGTCTCCACGCCCTCATTTCTTTTTCTCCTCGCAGGTGGTCAGGACTGCGTATGAGCAGTAGCCCCCCCCCCCTGCTCCGGCCTGTCGGCTCACTAAGGTCCGTTAAACAGATTTAGACCTGTGTGCTGCCTCCGGCCGCTCCGGTGACCCGGCGTCTGTGTGTTAGCAGGTGTGCTGAAACCGTCCGGGAGAGGAACGGCTGCGCTGTCACAGGCGCTTCCTCGTGGAGTTTCTTTACGTTTCATCGTGGAGAAAAAGTGCATTGAAAGACTTTTATTTATTTTTACCCTCCGGAATTTGCAGGACCTTTTTGATGAACGTTTTTACACTGAATGCCGTTGAATGGCATTTTAAAAGAATCTATGTAGAAAAATAACCTGAAAATAAAGTGGTTACTGAAAATGTATTTTTATCTGTATATGTTGATGGAATTTAAGTTTTTTTTCTCTCAGAGCTATGAACAAAACCAAGTTGCTGGTTTTGAGAACCCAAAGTGTGAACATGTCTGTCTGAGGGTGGGAGAAATTCCCGAGCTGTAATATAGCCAGAGTCCCAATAAAGCTGCACCCATTGGTACGTCTCTGTCAGATGGCTTCATTTCCGGTCCGTCTCACAAAATCCAGGACGCACAGCTCCAGAAATATGAACTGAAAAACCTCAAACGGAGAAAGTAGAAGGTGGCACAATGTCTGGAAGGTTTCTCACTCCAGTCCAGAGAGTTCTGACAAACTGCTGAGCTCAACTAATCGGAGCTCAGTTCAGCAGTTGGATCCTTTAGGAGGAGGACGTTTTACACGACAGCTCTGAAAAGTCTTTGCCCTTTAAATGTGAAGCAGTGTTTCACGCTTCAAAGAAACCATTGATGGGATTTTTAAACGTCAAAGGGTGTATTTGTAGTCTGTCTGATCACTGCAAACGTACCCCGAACGCCACTGAGGCTTAAAACACAGCAGCTCTTTGTCTGCAGGCCGCTGTCTGCTTCACACACACATCATGAAGGCAGCAGAGGGAAAAAGAGGGTCAGTGTCTACTTTGGCACGTAGAACTGGGGATTATAAGGTTAGCAGTTTGATTCCTAGATTCCCTGAAGCACAAATCAAAGTCCTCTAATGCATCCATCAGTAGAGAATCAATAATCCAGAGCGGCTTTCTGTTTGCAGGAGTAATCTTCCTCTAATCGATTAAGTGTAAATTATTACTATGGAATAATATAAGTGCCTTTTTAGGCAATAGATAAAGCCTCTGGAATGAACAGGTACAGGCGGGTTTTGATATAAACATTGTTTAATGTCTATTACAGACTTCTATACCTCTCCTGTAGAATTAGATATACAGAAAAGGCTATTCTTAGGTAATATTTAATAAACTGTGTTGTAGCATTAATGGCTCAATCCAGGTGAAGCTTTGCTCCTCCTTAATATAACATTGATATTAAACCTGTTGGAAATCTCCACCTAATATCCTGAAAAGGCTGGAAACCAAAGATTTGGATATTGTGTTGTAATCTAATAAACTGCAGCTCTATAAACACATTTTAAAAGGAGCAAGTCAGCAAAACGGTGAAAAGGGGAGCAAAAAAGTACAGTTAAAACTGTGTAGACATTTTTAAGAACATGGAATTGGAGTCAAACACTTTATTAAGGAAACGTGGCTTCATATTGTACATCTGAGGACGCTTTTAGTAGGAGGCTCGTCCTGTCCCTCCGTTTATTCGTAAAGTGGTTTTTCGGTGACAGGCAGCTCATTTGGTCCCTTTGTGATGTCGGGCATCTTTTCGGCCCCATTTTTGGCGGAATGTCCCTTTAAGGACTCTCCGCCCACCGCTCGCGCGAACCCGTCCGCGCCCCCCTCCTCCCGGCCAGCGACCAGGTTCACGTCAACAATGAGTTTCTCCGCGGACGGCAGTGAAAAAAACACGCCAGCGTTTCAGTAAATCCTCTGAAAATGCGCGGCGTTTAGCTGGTCCTCCGCCCGGCCGCGCAGCACCGAGCTGACACCTCTCTGGTAGGAGACATTTTTATTTTCCCAGCCTGTTCGGCAGGCTAGCCGTTAGCTAGCATGCTAGCTGCTAGCTTAGGCCTCGGTCTTGATATTAAACCAAGCATGGTCTCGGGGATGAGGCGGGGGTCTGTACCTCATTGTGCTGGTCCACGTTGTGCCCCCCCCCCCTCCTCCTTGCCTCTCTGTGCCTCATGTCTGAAATACCGACAGCTCGCTAAAAACGTTAGACCCGGAAAAGGGGGGGGGGGACTCATAATTTGTTTAAGCTGCTAACTTGCTGTCTGCAGCTTCCGCAAAACTTGCCCCATATTTAGGAATGTTTGCAGCCTGTGCAAACTCGTTAAACGCCAATTCTGCGTGGCTTCGTGCACATTTGAGAGGGAGAAAAAGCACATTGAAGAGGAATCTGCAGGTCACTTCTCAGACTGGCCTTGCAAGTATTCGTGGCTTTGAACTCTTGAGGTCGCAGCGTTTTGTTTGTTTGTGGTCTCTGTGACTCCCTTTTTGGCCAGTCAGCTCTGGACTGTCCAGCCAGAGAGCAAAATACAGTTTGCTGCGCGGTGCTTTGTTTGTTCTTGTTTTAGAATAGGTCTGGGACAGGGTTATGTAAATAAATTGAATGTATGATTAAGATAAAATAAGATAAATGTTTTTTGACATCATTTCTCAGTCTGTAAATTAATTTATATAGAGCTTTTCTAGTCAAGGTGACCACTCAAAAACTTTTCACTACGTGTCATTCCCCGTTCACACACACACATTCACACACTGGTTGCATCAGTAGGTAACTTGGGCTCCTCGTGGTCTGGAAGAACATGGACTTGAACCACTGACCGTCTATTCGGAAGGCAGCTGCTCTCTCCTCCTGAGCCACAGCCGCCGTGTGACTGACCTGATGCGTTTTGTTTCTGTTAAAGGGTGGAGATAAAAGGAGAGGAATCGACTAGTGAGAGCGTTAGCTGAGTACAGGAGGCTCGCCATGGCCGGCGGAAGGCGAGGGGCCAACCGCACCGCCTACTGCAGACCCCCGCTGAGCAACGACCCGGGCTCCGTCAGCAACGGGAACCACACCACCAGCTCGCCCGTCACGGGGGTGCGATCCCGCACAAGGTGAGCCCCCCCTATCCCCACCCCCCACCTGTGAGGGGATCCTCGGTTCTAATGGGGTGTGCCTGCAGGAACGGCTCGGGGACGTGCATGTCCAGCCCCCCCCTGGCCACGCAGACGGTGGTGCCTCTGAAGCACTGCAAGATCCCCGAGCTGTCGGTGGACCGGAACGTGTTGTTTGAGCTCCACCTGTTCTTCTGCCACCTCGTCGCCCTCTTCGTCCACTACGTCAACATCTACAAGACGGTGTGGTGGTACCCCCCGTCACACCCGCCCTCACACACCTCGCTGGTGAGTCCTTAAGCGTTTGTCATGGTTTCTGCCATCCTCCCCATTAAATAAACTAAGAACTGAGTCCTGAATCTTTTCCATCCGCAGAACTTTCATCTTATTGACTACAACATGCTGGTGTTCACAGTCATCATACTGGCCCGGAGGCTGATTGCAGCGATTGTAAAAGAGGTGGGTATGAAAGACTGGAACCACTTCAGCTCTACAGAGGGCATCTTTGTTAATCACTACCAGACGGGTGACCACGGGGGGGGGCGGCACCAGCTGCCTTGAACATTTTGTCACCCGGGTACCATTAATCCCATCACTCTGAACTCTGTCTGTTTATCTGCTTAGTACTCCTACAGTGTTTCCTCTGTTTACATGCATTTTAGTGGAATCATTTGTCTCTGGCATCTTTCACCATAATTTGTTTTGCATAAACATGCCCTTCTAACACGCTATGCCCCCCCCCCCCCCCCCCCGGCCACCCCCGAGGGGGAAAGGTCCTTCCCCCACTCAATATTTCTGGTGACGGCGCGGTTTGCTGTGCTGACGCTGACCGGCTGGAGCCTGTGCCGCTCCCTCATTTACCTCTTCAGGACCTACTCCGTCCTCAGCCTGCTCTTCCTCTGCTACCCGTGAGTACGCGCAGCACAAACAAAGGCAGATTTGAAGTGTTGTTTCAGCCAATGAGCTGAAGTCCCTTCCACTGTTCCCGGTTCACCTCTGACTGTGGCGGTGTCTGTTCCTGCTGCTGCGTCAGCCACACAGCCAATCAGCACGCCGAGGGTTAAAGGGTGGAACATAAAATGAACATTTAGCTTTCTAGCTACTTTTTTTATTGCCTTTTGAGCATTTTAGTGACTTGCCTCAGCACTTATTCATGAAACGATAAGGAAATGCAACTTCAAGTTGATCTTGAAGGATTTATCCTTTTTTCATGTCTGATAGGTTGTCGTTTGGTTATTACACATTTATGTGTAATTACACATTTATATGTAATAATCCAGTTTGCATCCAGGGTAAAACGATTTAGCTCACCTTACTGTGTTGTTCCCATGACACACAAAACATATTTTTCTGATCGCCCTTGAAAAACAAAAGGGTAAAAGTTGGAAGCTCGGCTCAGATTCACCGGTTATTTGCTAAATGGGTTGGCTGTGCATCAGGAGTGGTTAGGGACACCTCTGGGTCAGGTGGAGGCAGCCTCGGCTTCTCTAATCAGACTTTTTCCCTCGTACCAAAAACGGGAGTGATTATGAATTCCTCCCCGGTAAAAAGCAGCTTTTCTGGGGCTGTTTTGTCGACCTGGGAATTGAATGGCAGTTCTTGGGTCCGAACAGATTCGGGATGTACATCCCGTTCTTCTGGCTGAGCTGCGACTTCCGGCGGGCGGGCTCTCTGTCCCCCATCGCCAGCATCGGCTCCAAAGAGGTGGGCAGCGTGAGCCGGGGCCGGGACTACTTCACCGTGCTGAAGGAGACGTGGAAGCAGCACACCAGCCAGCTGTACGGCGTCCAGGCCATGCCCACGCACGCCTGCTGCCTCTCCCCTGACCTCATCCGCAAGGAGGTGGAGTACCTGAAGATGGACTTCAACTGGAGGATGAAGGAGGTGCTGGTCAGCTCCATGCTCAGCGCCTACTATGTGGCCTTTGTTCCGGTGTGGTTTGTAAAGGTAAGGCGCCGTCCGGTTGGAGCCTTTCTCTGTCTGAACTAGGGTTGTCAAAAGTATCGATACTCAAAAAAGTATCGACACTAAAATGTTGTATCTGGATACGATACTCATTTTCAAAAGTATTGAAACCACCCCCCCGACCTGCTGACACTGCGCCCCTTCTCTTTTGATTTATTTATTTCTGTACGTTGTCTATGATCATTAACGTGACGTTAGCCTTGAATTGCTAGCTGCGGCTAATGGCTGATAATGACACGCCAACATTAATGTGGGCCACCTGCCACAATAACAGCAGTAAAAGGTCAACCAAAGACACTAACCTGTCGAAATTCAGTTAAATTTTGGGGTCTTTGTTTTTATCTTTGTGGTATTGAAAATGGTATTGAGTATTGAATATTTTTCTGTGTATCGGTATCGAGTTGAAAATGTTCGTATCGTGACAACACTAGTCTAAAGCCGAGTCCTCACCTTCCTCCTGGCCGTCCACTCTCCTGCAGAGCACGCAGTACGTGGACAAGCGCTGGTCTTGCGAGCTGTTCATCCTGGTGTCGGTCAGCACGTCGGTCATCCTCATGAGGCACCTGCTGCCGCCCAGATACTGCGACCTGCTTCACAAGGCCGCCGCCCACCTGGGCTGCTGGCACAAAGTGGACCCCTCGCTCTGCTCCAACGTCCTCCAGCACATGTAGGCGCCGCCCGCGTCCACCGCCCGGCCGGCTACGGTCAGTTTTAGTCTTGCTCACGCTGCTCCCTGTGATTGCACAGATGGACGGAGGAGTACACGTGGCCACAGGGAGTCCTGGTCAAACACAGTAAGAATGTCTACAAGGCCATGGGCCACTACAACGTGGCAGTTCCCTCTGATGTGTCCCATTACCGCTTCTATGTGAGTATAACTGCATACACCTGTGTCTCACGTTTAAAAGCACATATTTACACATGTTGTTCTGCTCTTTTTTTGTTTGTTCTTCCCTCAGTTCTTCTTCAACAAGCCCTTACGAATATTAAACATACTCATCATCCTCGAGGGCGCCATGATTTTCTACCAGCTCTACTCGCTGATCTGTTCAGAGAAGTGGCATCAGACGATATCGCTGGCCCTGATTCTCTTCAGCAACTACTACGCCTTCTTCAAGCTCCTCAGAGACAGAATAGTCCTGGGAAAGGCGTACGCGTACCCCAACAGCTCATCTGACCAGAAGGTCAGTTAGGACTGAAGCTTTAGTCGACCAAGCTGACTTTGGAACAAAACAGGCCCGAGAGCTCTGTATTTTTTCTATAAACTGCGTTTTGTGTCACATTTTTGTTCTGAACCGCCATAATAAAAAGAAATATTTTTGTATTACTTTACAAAGTTGTTTGGCTTCATTGTGCTTGGAAATGTGCGTTGGACTGGGCAGAACTGGGCACAGGCCTTTAACCCTGTAGGTGGTGCTGTAATTGGGGCATCTTCTGCCGATGATGCACATAAATTATTCACACTGGAAAAATCTTGTTCTTAATAGGTGGTGAGAAGCTAATAGAGGAATGGATTTGGATTATTTCTCTTATTTTTGTTCTGTCTGAAGAGATTCAAAGAGAACAGATCAAGCTGATCCCTAGCTCAGGAACAGTGGATACAAGTGGAGCCACTTCCTGTTGACCAGCAGCAAAACGGGCAGATGTGACATTTGAAAAATGTAGATGATGGATGTGAAGATTGGAAATGGCGCCCCCCTGCGGCCGGCTGCCGGTAGCTCGTGTTTTGGGTTGCTGGGGGCTAAAAGGAGGGCATGTACAAATTGAGGGAGATCTTCTGGGAGGGGGGGGGGGGCATCATCATCACCAGCTGACGGATGCCCAGCATCATCCTGCTCACTGTTCCTGGACACCGGAGTCCCCCCCCCCCCCCCCCCACACACACACCCACCGACACACTGATTGGTGGACTGGCCCTTTAAGAAGGATAAAGACAAGAGCTCCTCACGAGCGGAGCGCGTTACGTTTTTCCTCGGTAGTTTCCACAGAATCCGCTGTGCGGGGTTCATTTTTGGGAACGTCTCCGCGAGGCTGCATCATCCACCGCGGCGCGAGGCAGCGGCAGGAATGAGACCGCGCGCGCGGCGTAATTGATTCGGTGAGTCTTATTTGTGTCATCCGCAAACGAGCAATCTCTGCACGTATCCTGAGAGACGGGATTTCACCCCGTGATAAATAAAACCAAATAAACAAACAAACAAACGGGTCCTCTGCGGTTCATTCAGCCTCTCTGGAGCGCAGACGCTCTCTCGGTAAAGGAGGATTTCGACGGACAAAGTTCCTATTGTGCATCAGTGGAGTGGCCATCTTTGGATTCCACTTTGAGCAGACGCTGGTGCAGCGTTCTGGAGATAGATGCTGTTGTAGTAGTTTGTTTCTTTGGGGGGGGGGGGGGGGGCGTCACGCAGACCTCATCCTAGAATGATCACGGTTAATGCTGCCTCGTCTTAAAGTAAAAAAAAAACCCATCTCCTGCTTTAATTGGCCACTTTCATGGCAATAGGGAAAAATCCAGCGTTGTTATTCAATGAAACAAGTAAAAAAAAAATATTAGAAAGGATTGCGTATGTTCACCTTTTGTTTTTTTTAAATCGGAATCTTCCTTTTAACGAAGCCTAATCCCCATGTGAGAGAGCAGAGCAGTGATTTACCAGCAGGCTTTTAGAGGCTGATCTGGATCATGTTACCGGCTTGTCTGAGTGCTCCTGAACTGCATGATGAACATCCGTTGGAGTTTAGTTTTCATCTGATCCTCCATTAGTCCTGATGTTTTGAACGTGCTGAAACGGTCTGAAAAAGTTCCTGAACAGTTTGGTTCGTGCTCATTTACCCTCTTGGACCAGAAACTAACCCACTAAAGTGCCTCCATTACCGCCCCCCCCCCGCTGAGGCCCGAGCCTTCCTCAGTGGAGGGGTCAGAGGTCAGGCCGGGCCCTGTCGTCCTTTCTGGTCCGGCCTCCTAGTTTGTTTTTGTTTCTTTATTTAGTTTTCTTTACTTCCTACTTTTGTTGTTTCAGGACGTCAGGGCAGCGGCCGGGCCGTGAAGCCCCCCCCCACCGCCCTCACCCAGCCCACAGGGGGGGACCGGAGCAGGAATGGAAGACAAGCGCAAGAAGCGCAGCCCCAAGGTCTCCCTCCCGCAGCCCCCGCCCCCCCCGGTCAACCCCCGGAAGCTCTCCGTGCTGCCCGCCAGCAAAAGCGCCACCTTCTCCCTGGGCCTGCCGCAGCCCCCCTCCCCCAAGAACCGGAGCAAGTACAAGCGCTCCATCGGGGCCCCGGGGCAGCCCAAGGAGGCCTTTACGGCCGTGGTGGCTCCGCCCAAGACCACCAGGTAAGGAGTCATGGAAACAAAAACAGCCCAACAGTGTTAACTCATTGACTGGCAGCCATTTTCAGAACAGAGAGTCCCATACTGCCAGAGTTTTTTGAGCATTTTGACTGATTTTTCAAGAGCCACAGAATAGTTTGTGCTATGACTATGTAAACACCGAACACATCAAAAGAAAGAGTAGACTCTCTTCTTTCATCAGGAAAAAAAATTTGTTTCTACCGTATTCCGTTCTTCCTCGACTTGCGTCTCACCGTCGCCATTTCTCGCATAGCGAACCATTGCGTTTTTTTTTTATTTGCCTACAATCTAAGCTAATCTCCCATCAAAAGTGGTACAGCTACCTAGAGGGTAAAGTTGTTAGTACATACTCTGTCTGGAAGCCGATATTTACGGAAAAGCTTTAGCCGATCGTCCCCCAAGCCACTCGCGTTGAAAAACATAAAAGACGTCTATAGACCTCTTTGGCAGCGAACGGTTGTATTTGAATTGACGTCTATAGACGTCTTTGGCAGCCAATGAGTTAAATGGTGGGAAATGGGGGCCTGTTGTGTGCCTGTTTGTGTTACTAAAAGTGGCCACCGGCCTTCTGCCAGACCTCACAGGGAGAAGCCCAGGGCCCCGCAGCCGGCAGGGCCCAGTAAGGGGGCCCAGTGCTCCCCCCTGCAGCACTCCTTCCTCACAGACGTCTCCGACGTGAGAGAGATGGAGGGCGGCCTCCTCAACCTCCTCAATGACTTCCACTCGGGCAAACTGCAGGCCTTCGGTAAGAGGAGGCCGCCTGGGGGGGGTGGGGCGTCAGGTTACCGGAGACGAGGCCGCCGAAAACAACCCGCCTGCGTCTGGTTTTCAGGGAAGGTGTGCTCCTTCGAGCAGCTGGAGCACGTGCGCGAGATGCAGGAGAAGCTGGCCCGCCTGCACTTCAGCCTGGACAGCCACGTGGAGGAGCTGTCCGAGGACCAGAGGAAGTGCGCCTCTGACCACAACCTGGAGCACCTGCTGTGCAACGTAAGCCCCCCGGCCACCTCCACACTTCTAAATCCCAGAAGCCTCACTTTAAACACACAGGCCCCGGGAGTTACCACGGACCAGGCCTTAACTCTGAGGGGGGCGGGTGGGATGGTTTCTCTTAGAGGTGTGAGAATCAAACCACCCCCGCGCGGCCTCCAAGAGTCTAAACTAGGTCCCAGATCCAGGTCAGCTCCCTCAGCCGGAGAGAGGCCGGGAGTGTGAGGAAACTCAGTTAGCGCGCAGGTCAGATTCGCACACGGTTACCATAGAAACCCGGAGTTCTTCAACCTCCCTTTCTAAAAGAGGAAGAGCCTCCGACTGCTGGCTTTTAGAACCGATCACAGGTCACTCGCTGTAACTTTTTTGATTTTTTTTCGCTGTAATACATGTTACATGTGGCAGGAAGAAATGGTTTTTTAACCTCCTGCTCCTCCATCTTGGTGAAAAGATGAAAAAAACACCAACTTTAACTCTCGGTTTTTCCGCTCTGTGCATGTCGGAAGGGTCACAGAATGATGTGTGCGATTAAAAGGGAGACGGTCGATGCGGCCGTAGCCTCTGAACAGAGCTTCTACTGTCGGCCGGCCGCCCACCCCTGGTGCTGGTGTGGGGGGGGGGCGAGGGGTGGGGCTCACCACCCATCCAGGGGCCTGACACCATTTTTTCCGGCTATGGGGGGGAAGCTGATCGTGGTTAGCTCACATATCGACCGGTCAGGCTTTCAGAACGCAGACAGATCAGAGCCCAGCACAGCGCTCTATTTTTGGCTGTTCTTCCTCCCGCCTCTCATCCTTTGACGTGTTTGTTTCCACAGCTGGAGGAGCTCAGCACTTCCATGTATCCTTTGGTAACTGAACAGATGTTTGTATGACTCCAGATGTGTTTTCCCCCTTCAAAGCCCTCGGGCGTGAATCCTTAACGTGCGTTTGTCCAGACAAAAGCTCCACTTGGCTGAGAACCAGGACCTGCCCAAAACCTCTGAGCCCTGAGGGGCGGGGCACCGCTCCGGCAACCCCCCCCCGCCCCCCCGCCCGCTCATCTGCTCCAGACATCACGCAAAGTCCAGGTCGCCACGGCGTTGATCCAGCTGCCTTAGCAACGGAGGCGACAGAGGAGGGGTGTTTTTTTTTTTTTTATGTATTTATTTTTCCCCCCCCACTCCCATTTGGCCAGCGGAACAGAGGACTGATAAAAGAAGCTGGGCTTTAAATGGCCGCCCCACCAAATCGGACAGGAGCCCCGGACGCTTGGGTGGGTGGGTGAGGGGGTCAGGTTTTTAGAAAATGTGCTCCACGTGGTCGGTGCATCATTTAGGTGAGTGTGGTCATTAGCTGTAGAGCAAAAAGCACATTTCATGTCCATTTCCCCCCCCAAGTTTAAACCTCCTTGAACATTTTGGGGTAATTTTAGATGGCGCGTGTGTGTTTGCACACTGAAGCAGCAAACATGTTTGAGCCTTTAGTGTTCAGCACAGATGAGTGACCTGTCCTATAAGAAAACATCTGGATTTCAGAGGACCCACCCATACCTACAGTCTGACCCTGAGTGGAGTGGGCAATCTCATTCTGTGCGGTCCAGCTACCGTTTCTGGGGACGCGGCTGCCTTCTGGCTTTTTAACAAAACGCTTCTGCCGCAAGCGTCTGCGCTACCGAAATACTGTTTAAGATAAAAATAAAAAAAGGAACATGTCAGTCATGCAGTCGATGTCAGACGCTGTCAGACTTGTTTCTCGTCAAACTGCAGAAAAAAAAAAGAGCACAGCCAAATGCAGCTGGCATGAATCTGTACAAAGCTACGTCAAATGGCAGCTACTTTCATAGCTCCGTCGTTCTCTGCTGAACGTAAACCCGGGCCTCTGCGCTCCGGCGCTGATGAAGCACTTCCTGTGATGATAGAGTAACAAAGCACTACTGCTCCATCGCCTCTCCCTCTTAAAGGCCTTAAGGTATGAGACTTTTCTCCGTCCACCCAGTTTTCTGTTAGCTACTATACATAAAGACGAGTCGTCATCATCGGCTTCTGACACGATGGAAAATATATTCATTATGAAACTAAAAGGGAAAAAAGAGCGATTGCAACCATTAATAAAAAAAACCCTGCATCACTTTAAATGTAAGTCTTGTGTTTCTTTAAAGGGACGTTGTGTGGTGTTTTTAGTATTTTATCAGGTAAAATAATTTTCTTCATTTATAAATGTGACCTGATTTGCTGTAAAATGATCTCTGCAATGATCTGACTTCTCCTCATAGGCAAAGAATTTCCTATCTGTATGTACACAGGACGGGTAAGTCCACTGAAGTTTCCATGGAGAGAAACTATAGTTTGAGAAATCGCAGAGAGGGACATAAAGCACTACTCTGCCTGTCCAGCTAATCCAAAACAAAATTCCTACACCGTGTAGCTTTAAGAGAATGTATCCAGAACAACGTCCTTTTTTAGATGTCCCCGTTTACTGCCGTGTTTTTACTTTTTCCTTTACAGTGAAACTTTTGTTAAGGTAAAAGCATCCACTAAGTTCGTAAATAACCGTGCAACCCAAAATGATGAAACGGATAAGTATCTGTGGACAGTATCCTTCTACCTCATTTCAGTCTTAAATGAAGCACACTGAGGTTGGATTTAAAGAAATAAACGTGTTTATTCATATATCTCTTTCTTCTTGTTCACAAACAAGTTGAATATAATTTAACAGTTGAGTTAAAAGGCTACTTGAAGACTGGCACTATACTGAGACATAAACAGAACAGGCCCCTTCAAGGTTTCTCGGCCAACAGCCGGAGTAAAACCGTTTTTTCTTTCCTTCTGCTCCTATCAAAGAGCAGTGCACTGAAACCAACCTTGATTGAGGCATCCCTGTGTACAGTCACACACACACACGCACACACATACACACATGCGTCTCTAGCAAAAATGCCAAACACCTTTGACTCTGCCAGGAAATTTTGGTCATGCAAAAAAAGGACAGACAGTGCCAGCTCAGCACATCATTAATATAACTGTTAAACCGTTACACAATAGATCAATAACAACTGTAGCATCATACAGCATACACACAGATTAAGCTAATACTGTGCAAATACACGTTAGAGCTGTACAAAAGTCCTTTGTACTATTCTTATAATCTCATGTCACAAATGTTCAACTACATAAGACATTTAGAAAATGTCACATCACATCCGAAGAAACGGCAGAAAAATATACACTTTTGGGGTCCCTGTCTTCTTCCTTTACTTTTTGTGCATTTCAGTTTTACATTCTGCAATAGTGTCTCTGATCTGTCAACAGACATTATGGAGGAAAAAAGCCACGACGATGAGCTACTTTTCAAAGTGCAAAGAGAGCAGGTTGCGTGAGCGTTGGACCTGATGCCTTCGGGAGCTTCTGTAGCAGCAGAAGTCTCACTGAGATAAAACCTTCCTAATTCAAAAGGACCTTTTTGTAATCGATATAAAAAGTGCAGGCACTATAAGAAATGTAGAACATCTCTGTCTTCAAGTAAGGTCAGTGGTAATGTTCTGCTGCCCCCTCCGCTGTGTTTGGGCTCTGCGGTACCTTAAGGGGGGGTCCTCAGGACCTCGTTTAAGCTTTTATGGACGCTGGCTGACTGGGAGGCGGCGCACTCGCTCAGGCTCTGCCCCATCTGGGCGTGGAGGGCGTGGCACAGGCTGGCCGTGGCCGCCCTCACGCTGCCGGCCCTCCCGTGAACGGTGCCGCTGTGGGTGGAGGTGCCCAGCAGGTGCCACAGCAGGGGCAGCACCTTCTGCTCCACCGCCTGCGGCTTGCGAGGGTAGAGCTCCGTCACCAGGTCTGCACACAGAAACATGGGAAACAACCAAAATGCATCCAGAGGGTTTCCCTGCCCGGACGATTAAAGGGTCAGAGGTGTGACGGCGGACATACCTGCAACCTTCTCAGTGAGGTCCACCTTCGCTTTACCGCTGATGAACTGAGCCTTGGTGCAGAACGGCTGAAGAAGAAGCATGTTGTCTGCGAAGAGAAGGAAATGGAAATCAGGCCCAGAACTCATCCTCCAAATGAGAATGGTCTCACATTCAACGCGATCAAAGTGATCACCCAGATTGGAGGTGAGGGCGTTGATAGCCGCCATGGCAGCAGAGTGGATGGCGTTGTTTTTGGAGTTGAGGTGATTGTCAACGATCGCCGGGACGAGGATGTTCACCACTTGGGACAGGTTGTCCTTCATCAAGTGGATGATTTTCTGCAGAGACTCCAGAGCGTAAAGGTTGACTTTACTGTTGGACTCCTGCAGTCTGGCTTTGAAGGCATCAAACACCTGGCACAAAGGAGGCACACACAGAGAAAAGAGCAACACTCAGTGAGACAGGATTCTACAGAGAATGGAAATAATGATGAGATTTTAAAAAAATGTTTGCACTGACTGGGAATATGCTGTTGACGACCATGTTGGGGTTGTGTTGACAGTCAGCCACGAGCTGGTCGATGCCCTTGATCCTCTCTCTGAAGTCTTTTGAACCCAGCAGACCTGAGATCTGCTTGATGTACTCAGTTTTGTCTGCAATGCTCTGTGTCTGGGATCTATTGCTGTGTGGGATGTTGGACTCCCTGCAAAGGATTTAAAGCATCAAATGGGTCAGTTCCAGACCATGTCCGCTGTGTGTGGAAGCTAAAGCGCTGCATGGGGAATGTGCTGCTGTTCTATTCTACGTCTGTCCTCACCTGTTGGTCTGGTTTAGTGGCTCTCTGTTGAGAGATGACGCTCGCACCGTGCTGCTGCCTGGAAGGGAGCGCCTCCCCCTGGCGGACTGAGAGTCTTGGGGCATCTCACCAATACCCTAAAAAAAACACAAAAAAAAAACAGGGATTCCCAAGTTAGATTCTTGTGAGACCTGAAAGAAACAAGTGTGCCAAAAAACTTAGAAACTACGTCTCACTTTCGTCTTGAGAGTGAAGACCGTGTCCCTGACGGTGGGCAGCTCCTTGGTGGGGACATATTTCTCCAGGATCTTGTCAAAGTCCGGGTGGGATGAGAGACACAGCAGCATGCGCCGCCCAAAGTATCTGTGGGGCCACATATCAGAGCTTCAGACACTTCTTCACCAATTCAAGACTTCAGATAAATCTATGACAAAAGCATGAATAAGCCGGGAACTCTTCGTCGACTCCACATACCTGGCTTCCTGTGAGGAGTCCTGTGCGAGTTTGGTGACGGCAGGTAAGATTCTGTCGGTGAGATCTTTCCCCCCTGAGAGGAGGCGGGCAGCTCCGACCTTCTCTACGAGATCAGCCAGATGCTGAGCGGTGCATTTCCGCACCACTGGATTAAGATGGCTATGAGCAGAGGAGAAAACAATCCAGCATGTAAAAGAGCCGAGTGCTGGGAACGGCCCGCGTCGGGGGGGAAACAGCGTTTTGCTCTGTGTGGATCCCAACCTGAGTCCTCCGGTGAGGAGAGCGGCGATGCTGCGGGTGGGGGTGCAGCTCTGCACCATGCAGCCCAGCGCTGCATCCACGTCCTGCCGGATGAAGGCGTTACACTCCCCGGCCTTCTGCAGCAGGGCTTTCGCCGTGCCCTCCAGCTCCTGGTCCATTGCCCTCTGCAGGTGTGTGTACAGGTCGGCGAGGGTACACACTGCAACCCGCGACACGCCGGAGCGCAAGTTCTTCACCTAAAGGAAAAGCCCAGGTTATAGACGATCAGTGAAACACAGTCATTCAAGCACGAAGCAACAAGGGAGGCTAAGACTGAGGATACCTTGACGACAAAGAGCACAAACAATCGCAGAAGACTTGGAAGTTTACATGGCCCTGTCAAAACTACACATCCCAGTCGAGGACCCGTATGAGTCAGTGGCCATTTCAGACTGTGGTTCCCCAACAATGTGTCCAGTTATACTAAAGGAAACCAGTGGAAGTCCGTGTCTCTGTGTCTTTGGAGTAAGGAGTGTTTTTCTCTTTGTCTCGGGGCATCAGATTATTTATTCCCTTACTCTGGCCAGTAATTAACAATTAACAATCTGAGCTCTTATTTTAAAAAAAATAATGTTCTTTAAGTGTTTTTAGAAGCTCATAAATAAATTATACATGTGTTTACATTATAAACAACTGAGCCACTGGTGTCTGGCTTTGAGTCCTGAGTTACTTGAATGTACAAACATGGAGGTGCCGGCTTTGAAAATGACAAACTTATGTCTTTTGTATCTACAATTGAACGTTTTAAATAATATGCGCACAACTTAAGAGGTTGATAAAATATCTACCTCAATTATGTAAAATGAGGTAGATTAAAACAAATAATGCTGCATTAATATTACCTCCTGAGTCAGAGACAGACAAACATCGTGCAGTCTGCCCTGGAGTGTGTCTGAGTGGTAGTGGGCCAGAGAGCGCAGGAACATCAGACCCTCGATTTTTTTCTCCCTGGATTGAAAAAAACAAACAAAAAAACAAATGTTGGGCATTATTTTTTATTGGCTGAAACAAGTAAAACATTGTCTCCTCCTTCCCTCTCATCTATATGTCTGCAGCTGATTCAGTTTTGATGTTTTCTCCCTTTTAAAAAGTCTAAACTATTCTTAATTTCATGAAAGCAGTAGGGAACCTCAGCTGTGAGCATCGGTGGGATAAATATTGATGGACCGACTGTTTCTCACCAGTCTTCGGAGTTCAGGAGGTTGAAACTCTGTGTGAGCGCCAGGTCAGGCTTTGAAAACGGGCACAGCTCTTGAGGCTCCGAGAGATTTTTCTTGAGGCTCATGGTACCATGAGACAGCTCGTCTAAAGGAAACGCACAACAGAAACACACATCTCCATCAGTCTGAAAATAAGCTGTGCGTGTGGCTGGCGGGGCATTAACAGCGGGCTGTCAAAACAAAGCACTGCGGCTCATAACCAGAAACAAGCATCTTATTCAGCTCCGCTCGGATGGCACTGGCAGCCTAATTAATGTTCCAACATTTTCTCTAAACAAAGGCTCAGTGAAGTGCTGCTCGGTCTGTTTATAACGCAGCGAGGAAGAGGCAACGCAGCGACATGATGAAGCCTGACATCTGACTTCATTACATGTGGATGGGTAAGTCTGACATCTCCCGCTTTTAGATCGGCTCACCTGAACTGTGGGAAAGGGAGGGTCGGGCCCTGCTGAGGCTGGGTGCCCGGCGGAGACGGGAAGCATTTTTTGGATTGGGGGGTGCTGTTGGGGGGCTCGGCTGGTGGGGCGGAGTGAAGCACTTTGATGGACTGTGGAGTGCTGGCGGACTGGTGGGACTGATGGGGGACTCGTCGGAGGGAGGTTCTGTTTTGGTGGATGTCAGCGTGCTGCCATTCAGCTGTAGATCTACGACAGAGAAGATCAACCAGTCAAGTCTGACCGCACATGACCAGCATGCGTTGAGCATTTTTTTAAATAGAGTGTCAGAGAGGTCCTCGTGCCTTTGATGAGCAGCTCTCTGTTTTCCTCCACAGGTGAGTCGGACAGCATTTGTCTGACGCGGTGCCGTAGTTTGTCTCTTGATTGGTCTCCCAGACATAACAGATCCTCCAGTTGATCCAGACGCTGTAACCTTGTTTTATTGCGGCCCAACCTCACACCTTTCCCTTTTTCCTGCACGAGTTTGTAGAAAATAAACCAGATGACCCTTAGGCAACCAGAAACTTGCTCTGAGTTGCTGTGTGTGCTAGTGGCGAACAAAGCGTGACTAACTTTAGTCTCCTCAGGATACGGGCTGTCGTCGCTGTCGAGGCGACTGCTGCTGTAGAGGCCTGCTGGAGGGTCACCGGGGGGTTTGGCTGGCGTTTCACCCCGATCAAGTGTCAAGGCGACTCCTGGGTGGCCGGAGGACACTCCAGTGCCAAACACGCCTAAAAAGCACGGAGGACACTTTTGACTAAAGTAGATAAAAAACTTTGACCTAACTTCTGTGTCTGACTGGAAAGGTGCTCAGTGACCAGTACGAGGACAGAGATACCAGCCACAAGAAAAACATTTCAGACGGAACTAAAAGTGTTGCAGTTTAGTATGAAACAAACCAGCTTTTTATATGTAAAGAAATTAAACCCCTTAAGTCGACAACCGCAGTCAATTTCTGAACCTATAAAATGGGCTTAATTTGGAATTTTTAAGAATTAAGGGTTATTCTAATGGGAAGAGTGATTTTAGGTCAGGAGACTAGCATGAAAATGAAACCCGCCCATTAAAATAAAACAATGTACAGTGCAATCAGAGGAGTTTTAGCTTAAACTACCCTTCAGACACTGACCTCTTCCAACCACTGCCTCAGGCATGTCGGTGCCTGGTGAATTCCTGCTGCTGCTGCTGTGACCCTGAGAGCCTAAAAGCCCAAGGAGAAAAAACGTGACTCATTTCGTTCCCTAACAGCACACAGAATGGTGTCACATAGTTGGCCAGGAGAAAACTGGCTAACCTTTTGCAAGCTTCACAACTCTGACTGATTCGTGGGAAGCAGGTTTGACCAGTGGAGGAGACGGAAGTGTTGTCTCTTCCTCAGTTCTGATTGTTCCATTGGAATAAAGGACTCTTTGCCCAACGACCCCCACCTCAGAAGACAGTGCATTTCTTTGGGATGTCACTAACAAAAAAAACAAAACAACAACAACAAAACATCACAGTGAGATGCAACATGAGGCAGAAACATTTTCCACAGCATCTAATTACTTTATTACCTAGAAGGTTGTTGAAGTCCATGGATGCAGAAGTCCTCAGTTTAGCAGAAGGCACTCTTGCAATGCGGGGTTTCATTACAGAAGAGGAAGAGCTTCTGGGGCTGGTGACAGGTGTGACAGGTAAGAACATGAGCTCCACGCTGGTGAAATGATCATTACACCTTTCAAGGTTGTGTGAGGACAGCTACTTCATGAACAAAATGAGAACGTAGAAACGTAAACCTGCCTAATGTCCCTACACAAAGTAAACCACATGGAAGAGGAACATAACCCCGCAGGCCAATCGCTACAAAAATGAAAGATAAACCTAAACAAACAAAACCGCTGCTGACCTGGTTTTGATGCCATTGAAGCTGGAGTTGGCAGCGGAGGTCAAACTAGAGAGTTTACTTTCACTGGCTGAGCTGGTAAGCACAGGAGAGGTGTGTATCGGGGAGTCCAAACCCAGGTCAAGCCTCACGGCTGAGTCAGGACTGTCTGGGTCTGGACTGCTATGGCTCGCTTTGGCCCGCTTCTTGGCAGCGCTGTTACGCAACGAGCGCAGGGAATTCAGCATCTGTCAGCGACAGGCCAATGGGCAGACGCACATGAGAGTGGGAAAACAACCACGTAACTTTATACCACGGCAGGACGGTTTTTCTGACCTCTTGCATGTCCAGAGGATCGTCCCCCTGTGGATCCTGCCAGGCACTGATGCTGTCATGGTCTTGATGGCTCTGAGGACTGCTTGAGGTATTAGATACATGGCCGTTACTAGAATGGGCCGGTTCTGCTTGTGGGACCACAGGTGAGATGGTGAATGTGGCTCTCGTGTTGCTCAGAGCTCGTCGGAACGATGAGGTGGAGGAGGAACTCACAAGGGATGCACGCAGGGGCCTGGGAGACTGCCTGCTGGATAATCCACCTAGGACAAAAGAGAGAGGCAACAGCCAATTAAAACAGAAGCAAACACATCTTTTCTGTTTACAGACCAGCTTCTTTTTGTTACTTCACCCTTTGCAGCGCCTGCTGTCTCTATCCACGGCCCGGCTTCTCGTTGCTGAGGGCTGCTCTCCCTGATGTTGGGCCAGGTGTTGGACATGGAGAGGGAGGAGTCCACATGATGGCGGGACAACGTGGGAGTAAGCTTGCCCCCTGTGTGTGCAGCCAGTGGGTATGAGGGCAGAAGGAAGGAGCCGGGTGCAGTGGAGCTTGAAGGGAGGGAAAACGTTCGCTCAACGCTGGGATTCCCGGACAGCACACGTCCTTTTGGTGTCACTGCGAAACATTGAATCCCCATATCAAACAACGAAGCCGTTTAATAAAATACAAAGCTTCTGCCGACTATGGTTTGCTGAAGCTGAACACGGGAGATATTCAGCAGAATGGGTGGACAATTTATCATCCCAGCCGGAGGGGTGTCTGCAGCCAACTAACAATTTAGTCTGAACCATCTTTGTTGTGGACATTTTACATGAGAGCGGGGCGGGAAAAGTTCATTTTAATTCTCACGTACCACCACTCTGCAGCATGCCAAGGACATTTCAGGACTCCAGTGCATGTGAGAGAGCTGGATTTAATTTAAAACTATAAACCAAACACTGTTTAAATGCTGATCATTTTCACACGTGAAGCTTCACAACTTTGATCTTCTGTTTGTCAGAGCACAAAGTAATGTTTCTCTTTATTTAGCAGCTTTCAACAACATTTTCTAAGTACTTTTATCACACAGGCTACTATTTAGTCACAATCAATCAAACTGATTTGATCAGTTCTTCTAAGATATTAACGTCTTACCGATGCTGGGTTCAGAGAAATGAGTGGATTTAAAGATGTCTGTGTCTAAGTTGAGGCTTCCACTTCTTCTGAGATGTGTAGGAGATTCTCTCCTTCTGGAGCTCTGGGGCCTCTGTGGCTCTCCAGAACCTAAACAGAAAAAAATTAATTCCCATTGCGCTAAAAAGCCAACACAGATGCAAAGTAGAACTGCACAATGAGTCAAACAGGAATGCGAGTTTAGCGGAATTCACTGCACTGTTTTTATGTTACTTTGATGGAGATGCTGTCAGATGTCTCTATGGTTGTGAAATCCAGATTTCATCTGAGCAGAGTTGAAAATGCCTTAATGATAGAAAATTGGCAGATAATCTTAAAACCCTGCTTTATAATCCTGTTGTCTGATGTATTTTGTTCTTCTGACGAAGGCACTGAAAACTGTGGGAATGGAAACAGCTTTACTGGGAATTCAGCTGATTTGACTTAACTTGACTTGACGATGGAGAGTGTACAGAGCAACCAAAGCTATTTAAGCTTTGATGAGCATAACAATGCTGGAGTGATTTGGATAAAAATGTACTGACACAATAAACCGTTTCAGTACCATCATAAAATTAGTCAAAGGCCTGTCCTGATCTGAACCTTCCTTTAACTCATAAAACAAAGCCCAGCTTAAAAGTTGGCAATATATTCAATTTCTCTCGCAGATGGATAAATACTAAAAAAATATAGTTATATTTAAAAAAATGAAAAAGTTCACCAGCTCTGAGAGTGTATTTGAATTTGAGCACTGACTGCTTCATGGTTCAGTTACAAACTGGTGGAAAATGCCAGCTAAGCACAGCTTTGAGTTTTAGAAGGCTATGGAAAGTATCGCTGCATTTAAATGTTCCAAGAACAGGTCTTTCATTGATAGTATTTGGGGATCAACTCTGACGTGTGTCAGCCAGAATCATTCAGCCAAATAAAAGGGAAAATCCAGCGTTCAACGTTTAAGAGAGATATTGTATCACAAATCTGGCCACTGAGTTCCTCCCCATTACTGCTGTTAGTAGAGCTTTAAATTCACAGAATTGTGAATACAGCCCTTAATAGTAATAGCAGCACTAAATGCAAAGCCAGGCATTTAGAGAACAGCTGTATGGGGCCACACTTTGGCATGTGTGAGGCTGACCCAGCAGCCTGGAGCCTCGCTTCTCTCAAAGCTTTCAGCGACATGTGGAGTGGTGACTTCTTTGACTCAGCATGCTAATCCAACCTAAAGCTGCTCTAAATTGAGTGAGGCTAAAGTTGAACGTGATGATCATTCAACTGTGCTCGTCATCTCACTGGGTGGCCAACGTTGAGAGAAGTCCAGGGACTTACTGAAACTGGGTATGTAGGCCTCCGACTTCCTGGACAGAAGCAGGACATCCTCACGTCTCGCCTGTGCACAGGGAACAAAACACTCCCTTAAAAAGCATCAGCATTAAGAGGTAACTTTCAAGTTACAGAGCTAAAATATCCTCAAACAGAAGAGGGACGTCAGTGAAATTCCACCCACAAGCCTTAACAAAGGGATGTAGCTGATATGTAGCTCAGACAATAGACTGCTGGCTTTGGGTGTCTTCTCAGGTACTGCAAGGATGTTTATGGGTGTAAAATCACCTTTTGCTGTCATGCTAAGACCTGTGTTATAGATAACAAAAAGCACACATACATAATAAGAAGAGAGCCTTTGGGTTGCAGCAGTATGGCCGAGCGTAGTCTGACAGCCCACAGTAACACTCATCACAGAGCACTTCATTGCAATCAACAGCAGAGCATTAACCAGGCCACGTTTTCCCAGTATAACCCTGTGATACTACCAATAATGAGTAATGGCCCCTTCAAACAGTGTGCTGCGTGGTAATGGGGTTGCTGGGAGACAAAACATCGCCATAAACAGAAGATTGTTTAAATGGAGGCTCCGAGCTGGAAACATTCCTGAAAACGAGGTGTGATCAGTGAATATCTCCTAAAAACCACATGCAACAACAGAGTGGATCCTGTTGGAATAAAGCTCATAATAGCAGCTTTACTTTGTGATAAAAATAACCTTCAACCAAACAGTGAATATTATTAAAACAAACTCCGGCTGATCAGTACAGCGACAGCTGGTGGATGTGAAAACATCATTAAACACATCATCTATTCCATTTCCTGTGTGAAGGCTGTCTGTGGCCATGCAGTGGCCTCAGTGTGGATCTCCATTTTTTTATCAAACTATTCAAACAGACAGAAAAAACTATTTAATGATGGTTACATATTTACAGAAAAAGGAATGAGTGTGGATGCACCGGCGTGACTGATCCCCACAAACGGAGGAAGCACAAATTGAGACGACTCGTCTTTCTATCCATGCTGCAACATGGGAGGTAACAGCTATATTTAGGCTGCTTTGCCTCAAACTGTCTCTGAGGAGAGTGTAATTGCTATGTTTTTTCATTTTGCCTTCGGATGAGACTAACCCTTTTCAAACACTACAAATACAAATCCTACCAACAGAAGCATTTCTCGTGCTTTTATTTATCAAGGCTATCTTTATCTTTTATCTGGGAACTACAAAGGGGCAAAGAATAATTACTTTTGCCCTTTGGAAATACAATGTCAATATTGGTTGATTATGGTTAAAAACTAACATAACGGCAAACATGGTCTGGTGCTTCTAAACCTCTAAAATTGTGTGGTTTTCAAACCGTGTTAGAAAGACGGGTGCACCACCCCTTTGAATGAACTTAGGCGTGTTTGACCACTAAAAAGAAAAAAAGATGTCCAGATTTTGGGTGGATTGACACGTAATGATAATACTAATTGAAGACAGTGAAGAGAGAATGGAGCAAATGGACAGTGGCGACGGGCCTCACCTGGTCAGAACCCTTTCCATTAGTCGTACTGGACTGCTGCTGCTCGTTCTCAGTGGACGAGAAGCTGGACATCTCCCAGGGTAGTTTGTTCTTCCCTTTCCCTGCACTCACAATCCTCCGTTGAAGTGGGAGGTCCTCAGTGAGGGAGCCTAGGCTGCCGTAGCCACATAGCCGCTCACAGTCTGGCTCCGTCCTGTAGCTCTTGGCGCTGCTGACTCGCCCTCCATTCATGACCCAGTCCAGATCGGCCCCGCAGCTGTCCCCACCGGAGGACCACTGTCCAGGCTTGGGCACAACTAAGCCGTACTCCACAGCGCCCTCCGAGGACACTTTTGGAAGTACGTGCCTGGCTCTTCTTGCTTGCACAGCTGCCATCAGACCGTCCGCGTCCTCGTTCAGCTCCACCATGTCCACGGCTTTCATCAGAGGCTGTTTTTTCCCCGTGTCAAGGCAGTGGTCAAAGACCGCAAACAACTCGAGGGCCGCGTGGCGGACCTTCCTTTTGCTGTCCACCAAGTACGGTGCAACCTCAAAACAGAGCTTGGGGATATTGAAGTTTTTCCGAGGATGAGTGAGCATAGCTGCCATAATGATGTTAAGAACATCTTCGCGAACTCTGGAATTCTTGTGTTTCAAGTTGCCGATCACTAGATCTAATACTTGCTGCGGTGGAACCGTTTTCATCAGCTGCTGAAACACATTAAGGTATTCGTTCTTGGTGACGGCCAGAGTATCCCCTAAAGCTTTCAGGGCAACTAAAACTATATGTTTAAAATATCTATCTACACCGGTATTCAGCTTCTGGATTAGTAAGTTTAAAACTTGCAAGGTGCCGTGCAGCACCTTAAAATTACTGTCATCCAGAAGCCGAGGAAGAAAATTGATGAACTCCTCAATATTACTGGGTGGAATTGAATTAATGTCCACTTCTGAGAGGATTTGTTTCAGTTCTTCCACACCATTCGTGCGATTCTGGTAATTTCTCAGGTCCAGAAGCTGTTCATGTAACTCCTTGGAGATCAATCCAGGTATCATTATCGGTATTTGTGGGGATGTGATCAGATCTGAGAATCAAAGACTGCCACCGAAATCCCATGAGGAGGACAGCGTTCCTCCCCTTTAGGCTGTGCCCTCATCCTGCTGGGCTGGAGATGGAGAAACTGCAGTCCTCAACATCAAGCTGTAAATGATCACGGAAAATAACTAGTCATCAAAGATATGGGATATTGAACTTTTCCAGTATGATCCTTTTTTTTCTCCTTTAATGAGAATGTGCAATTCTTTGGGGTGCAGTTGTGATGTACATTCCTGGAACTATGAGTGGGATTTTTTCAAATATACGGCTGTAACGATGTTGTATGTTTTGCAACCCTGGGTAACCGTAATAAATTCATACAAACATCTTGAGGTAACGGACAAGTCTGGGAGAGTTATGCATCTTAAGTGAGAGCGTGTTACCGCTAATTCACGGCACGTGAGATAACAGCGATGGGGTTGATAAGGGCTTATGGACACAACCACTTGTGGCTATCAGGGACGGTGGTAACGGGCAGGGTTTGGGTTAACCATTACTGGTGTGTGTTACACGAGTCCCTGGTACTTTAACGTTTAGTAAAAAGTGTCTCTGCTGAAGCATTTGACAGTTATACGCAAATTAAAAAGACTTGTAGCCTTTGACTACCCGTTACCCAGCCGTTAATTAGGCTCGTTAGTTAGCGTAGCCACATAGCAAACTACCCACAGCCATGAAACGGTGCTAAGCTAACCCGCTCCTCCGCAACGTTTGTTTGTTTTTAACCGTGGTAGATGCTGAGTGTCTGGGCTAGCAAAGTTAGAAAAGACGGCAGACCTTGCGTTCTCCCCGGTCCCTCTTCGACAACCCCGGCCGAAACTATCTCCCGTCGCGTCGTCCAGACCTCCGGCTCATTCCGCCGCAGCCACGGTTCCGTCCGCAAGTGCAGACATTTCTTCTTTCAGCTGGCGTCCGAGGAGTCCGATGTTTGGAAGCTACGGAGGTGTTCTCCGCGAGAGAGGCTCACACACATACACACACCGAGGCAAAATGGCGAATACATGTCGCAAACCGAGCGCTTCCATGGTGACGCGTGCTCCAGGTTCCTCCAGGCGGTATCATCATCCTCACCGCCATCATCATAACAGAGCGGACCTCAGGACTTTAAATCGAGAGTTTTACATGAAGACGTCATTTATTATTATTCTTTACATTTATGAATACCTTACATAGGTTCAAAGTACACATGAATGAAATTACCTGAACATTTTAATCAAATAATGTGAAAAAAATAGGCCTTAAGAGTTTAGATAGGCAACACTTTTTCCAAAGTGATTTATATAAAATCACTGATAGTGATACAGCATGTTTTTCTTTTCTTTGTACACCGTCCATGTGTTCATATTCATAGAGCATAAAGGTACTATTTATAAATGGGTTATTAACATGAGGTTGTTATGGTTGTCAAAATTGTTCTCCTTAATGATATTACCACGATCATGATTAACATGAGAGGAATTAAAGAAATTCTCAAAAATTGTTTCACTTATTCTGTTTATTTTTAATATACTTTTAGGGAAACCCCATTAATGAGTAACACGGAGGTGGAAATAAACTGTCTCCATAACAGATCACAAAAGATCAATAGAGCCCAACATTTAATCATCTCAAAATGGAATAAAAGGCTGCATTTTCAACAAATGATGTATTTAAAATAAAACAACAAATAAACATCCTGGGACAACCAATCAATTTTTGCAAAATTGTAATTCTAAGAGACATTTAGTAAAAGTAGTGCATTATTATATCCTTTCCTGGTGCTTATTAAAGAGGATCTAAATAAGCGTTTTTGAGGTAAACGCAGACATCGATTCAGGTTATGCAGTGCTGTCCATTATGTGTTATTTTCCTTTCCACAATCAGCTCCAGGGGCTCCAGCAGTTCAATATCTTCTTTTATGTATGTGTCTCGGCCCTTACTATGTATCTAATCTTTTCCAAAACTTATTAACAATGTGCTAACACTCAAATATATTTACATTTTCTAAGAATTATAATACATTCTGCCCTTTCTTGTAGATGACCTCAGAATGACATTTTCTGCCATATCTTATATCCAGTTAAATACAGAGCTACCTGCTGTCCTTAACAACACCTTCACCTCATCTACAAAACTGCCCTGACATATTAATTTGCTGATTACACATTCATCTTTTATCTAATAAAAATCATGGTTACTGTCAATACATTTGAATGACCCATTACTTCAGAAATCACTGCATTCCCCCCTCTGGGCAGCTATAATTAGTTATTTGTTTACTTCGAATGGAAATCTGTCAGGCACTTATAAATTATGCAAACCTGTAATGGAGGTGCCACTTAAGATATACATTTATATAAAGAAGTTTAAGTCAGCTGATTTTGAGTCTTTGCTTTTTAATTCTAGAGTCAGTGCTTGATAATCATCAAAAAGAACATCTGATTTGTTTTATTGGGGTTTAAGCAGTTCTGTATGTAACGTTTTGAAGGTGGGCATAGTAAATTGGTTCTTCCCTGTAAATCCAGCTGTAAACAGCATTTTATTGTGAAGGCACCGGAAGTGGGTGTTCCGTCCTGCCAGCGCGTTCTTATAAGAGCCCGTCGTTAGCTTAATGGCTAGCTTGGCTGGATGTCGCTTGATTTCTCGGTAGCTGCACGGGGTTCCCACTTGTCAGCACAAACGGCCATTAAATTGGCACACCACACGGACCACAAGTCGCAGGTTTGTTTTTCTTCAATCCGACGAGATTAACTGTCATCTGATAGCTAGCTAAAACGTCACGTTTAGTATCTGTCAGCCATGTTACTGTATATCAATCAATGATGCAGCCAGCACATGAACCGTGTTTATTTTTAGCAGCTAACCTGTAGTGCATCGAAACAACAACACCACACACCCTCTGATTCAGATCTGTTAACAAATCGGCGCTGACGCTGGTGTTGTGAATGTTGAGTCTGTGCAAATAAAAACAAAGCTGCTGGGGGAGGACCACTGTGTTGGCTAGCAATGTAGCTGTCCACTCATCCACAGCTAACAGGTTGCTAGCGAGTTTTGATTTGACAATGTCCTCCCGTCAAAAACCGAGAAAGGCCACCGTAAACAAGCCGTCAGTGTTATTCTGAGCCCGTGTCATAAAGGTGGAACACACAGTTGGTACATGTCAAGGATTTGGCTGCAGTTATCTCATAATTCGCTTACTTGCTAATACGTTTATTTTAAACGGCGTTAGCATTGGATTTGGAGGATAAAACTTCTTTACCCGGCGGATACTAACAGGAATACGTAGAATGAAAGCTGCATTACCTCTAAAAAACCCTGAAAGCTTCCAGCAGCTCGTTTGTTTCTCCATTCTAAATGCAGTAAAAACTTTATGCTGCTCAGATAGACAGTCACAGTATGTTAACTGGTCGAGGTTGCAGTTGGAGGATGTTCATTTAAAGTTATTCACAATGTTTGAACTGCCTGTAATCTGTTTAAAAATTGTTCCACACAGGACTGGTGTGTGATTTCCTGTTTCCAGATGGACCAGCAGGACCAGTCCTATATGTTTGCAAGTCTGACACGGCCCCACTCGGAGCAGCTGCTGCAAGGCCTCCAGCTCTTGCGGCAGGATCATGAACTATGTGACATTGTTCTGCGAGTGGGCGATGCCAAGATCCATGCTCACAAAGTAGTGCTCGCCAGTATCAGTCCCTACTTCAAGGCCATGTTCACGGGAAACCTTTCGGAAAAGGAGACCGCTGAGGTGGAGTTCCAGTGCATCGATGAGACTGCTCTGCAGGTATGTTCGGAACCAGACGACGGCATCCTGAATAGCTGTAGCGTCCATTTACGGAGACTTTATCCCTCTGTGTCTCTGTCTCTCTTCCAGGCTATTGTGGAGTACGCTTACACCGGCACGGTATTTATCTCCCAGGAAACGGTGGAATCTCTGCTGCCAGCTGCCAATTTGCTGCAAGTTAAGCTTGTGCTTAAGGAGTGCTGCTCCTTCCTGGAGAGCCAGCTGGACGCCGGGAACTGCATAGGGATCTCGCGCTTTGCCGAGACCTACGGCTGCCACGAGCTGTGCCTGGCCGCCACCAAGTTCATCTGCGAGAACTTCGAGGAGGTCTGCCAGACGGAGGAGTTCTTCGAGCTGACGCGGGCCGAGCTGGACGAGATCGTGTCCAACGACTGCCTGAAGGTGGTGACGGAGGAGACGGTGTTCTTCGCCCTGGAGTCGTGGATCAAGTACGACGTGACGGAGCGGCAGCAGCACCTGGCCCAGCTGCTGCACTGCGTCCGCCTGCCGCTGCTCAGCGTCAAGTTCCTCACCCGCCTGTACGAGGCCAACCACCTCATACGGGACGACCACGCCTGCAAGCACCTGCTCAACGAGGCCCTCAAGTACCACTTCATGCCCGAGCACCGGCTGTCCTACCAGACCGTGCTGTCGGCGCGGCCCAGATGCGCGCCCAAGGTGCTGCTCGCCGTGGGAGGCAAGGCGGGACTGTTTGCCACGTTGGAAAGGTGAAGACCGGAACCTTATCCCAAATGTGCAAAGAAGAAATCTATTTTTTTGTGTTTTTTATATTTTTTCTCATCTTTCCTTTCAGCATGGAAATGTATTTCCCCCAGACGGACTCGTGGATCGGCCTGGCCCCGCTCAGCGTCCCCCGGTACGAGTTCGGCGTGGCGGTGCTGGACCACCGGGTGTACGTGGTGGGCGGCATCGCCACGCACATGCGGCAGGGCATCAGCTACCGGAGGCACGAGAGCACGGTGGAGAGCTGGGACCCGGAGAGCAACACCTGGTCCTCGGTGGAGCGCATGGCCGAGTGCCGCAGCACGCTGGGGGTGGTGGTCCTGGCCGGGGAGCTGTACGCGCTGGGCGGCTACGACGGCCAGTACTACCTGCAGTCCGTGGAGAAGTACGTCCCCAAGCTGAAGGAGTGGCAGCCCGTGGCGCCCATGACCAAGTCCCGCAGCTGCTTCGCCACGGCCGTGCTGGACGGCATGGTCTACGCCATCGGGGGCTACGGCCCAGCGCACATGAACAGGTAACGCAGCAAACAGGCTCCCGACGTGTCGTTTCAGATCCAAATGCTAATCGTTCTTCAACGTGTTCCTACCGGTGACATTTCAAAGGAGTAACACGAGGTCGCCGTCTGCTTTTTGATCACTTTGATGGGCTCCTCGACCTTTTAAGACCTCCCAACCTTGATTTCTCACTCTGGTTCGTATTGGATGTCTAATAGAAATGACATCCAAGTGGAGAATATCAAGAGGGGCTGCTGAAATGGCCGGGGGCCTGCTAGTGAGGGAGGAAGTCATGGTAGACGCAGTGGCTGATCCTGGTCGAGATGGTGCCCGTCTCTGTGTGGCATCTCTGTTGCTGGTTTCCCTGACGCCCAAAACCCCTCAGGAGAATGTGTTTGGACTCCTGATCTTCGGGGAGCCTTTTTCTTTCCACTGGGGCCTGTTTGTCCTAGCTGTCTCTGCAAAACAGTCTCACGATCCCAGAGGTTTCACCTGACTGATCAGACTTGCGTCTACCTTTTTAAAAAATATACATACAGTATATACATAAGTTCTTTATTTATTTTTTAATAATGAGTTTGCTTTGGTGTTTCATTTGTGTAGCCTGATTGTGAATTGTATTTTTATCTCCAGTGTGATCCAAAAAAAATTGAGTTTACTATAAGTCAGATTGTAGTTTTGCATCATGGAAGAGTTAAAAAAAGAAAAGACTTATAACCCATTGAAGTGTTTTTTGGAACAGGGTTGAAAATACCTGAAGTGAAATGGAAGTTTCTGGAGATGGTACAAGCATCTATGTGCATTTTTTTTTCCTCCCCAAAATTGAAGAAGCTAGCACGTCAACAAGAATGCTTTGGCATTGAGTAGGACGGACTTTGTACTTTTTCTCCATCTTCTGTTTTCCTGATTTGGCTGCCTCTGCTTTGCAGCGTGGAGAGGTACGACCCCAGCAAGGATGCCTGGGAGATGGTGGCCCCCATGGCAGACAAGAGGATCAACTTCGGAGTGGGTGTCATGCTGGGGTTCATATTTGTGGTGGGTGGACACAACGGGGTCTCCCACTTATCCAGCATTGAGAGGTATGATCCCCATCAGAACCAGTGGACAGCCTGCCGGCCAATGAACGAACCCAGAACTGGTGAGTTTATGGGCCCCGGCCGTTTTGTTTTTTAGTTTTCTCCCCTCGTAGATGTGAAGTGGCCTGGTGACTCGGACATCTTTGTCTTGCAGGTGTGGGCTCTGCCATCGTGGACAACTACCTCTATGTGGTGGGCGGCCACTCGGGGTCCTCCTATCTGAACACTGTCCAGCGCTACGACCCCATCTCGGACAGCTGGTCGGACTCCAGCGGCATGATGTACTGCCGCTGTAACTTTGGCCTGACGGCCCTTTGACCCATGGCCCGTCCAGCTAGAACCCGAACCACTTAGAAACCGAGACTTTTCTTTTTAGTTGTCTCCTCTTCTTTCCCCACGCTCATCCTCCAGGTGCAGGTGAACCTCACCGCACCCTTACAGGACCATCGGAGGAAGGGCCGGCTGGCCGGACGCGCGGGCCCAGCCGGCTGGCCAGACGAGGGCCGCGGTCAGGATGGCGGCGAGAGCCCTGGCTCTGCGGGGGGGCACACGTGTTCGGATGGCCGTTACCGCGGATACGGATTGCCGCTCTGCTGCCGCTTGACTCCAATGAGGACTTTGAGCCATGTCCAAGAGGATTGTGGGAAATATCTGGTTGTTGTTTCGGAGCTTTATGTTAGCAGAGACCTTTTTTTTTTTGTTTGTTTGTTTGTTTTTTGTTTAACCCTTCTGTCTTTAAGTTTTAAACTTAAGTCTTTTCGTCTTATTTCGCCGCTGCGATCCGAACTACAGGTTCAGAATTTGTAGGACGCTGCAGTCTGCTTGTGTATCTGTATGAACATGTGGTGGTTGGCTGTGTAGCGTGTGTGTCCGTGTGTATGCCGGATGGGGGTACGTGCATGTCAGATAGGACTCTTTGTTTTGTTCAAGCTCAGCGGCAGAGTTCTGCGTCCAAGTTTGCTTCACATAAAAAAAAAAAAAGAAGAGCAGAGGTGGATTCTTTATATTTTTCTCAATAAGGGCTGCCTTTCTTTTGTAAATAGTCTAAATGAAGTATATAGACATGAGTATATCCTCTAGTACATTGCCTGTAAATGTTTATCTGCACTGGGTCACTAACCTGCGTAGTTTGTATGTTTGCCACTCGTCTTTGTTTCATCCTCCGGCAATTTAAAGCAAAAAAAACAAACAAAAAAACACAATAATCCCCGTGTTCCAGCATCTGTTACATGTTTCTGGGGTCGGATCACTCGATACTCTTGATAATGGTCTTTTAGTAACACGTTTCACCACCTTTTGGTCTGTATGCAATACTGACTGGTGCTATATTTAGGACTCAGCTGTTTGTGTTGCTTTACGCAGTCTGTCGACCTTTGTCTGGACTCTGCTACGTTGTTTTGTTTTTTTTGTGCTTCATGTGCACTTTTAAATGCCTAGACTCTAAACAACCCCTCTCCATGCAATAAGATAACTCATTTAAAAAAGGGAACGCAGGTTGTTGCACAGCCACAAACTTCTCTCACATTTCCGCAGACACCCGGGGATCAGCATGACTTCTCTTCTTCCTCTTTAGTGCATTTAAACTTTGTTGCAGGACAGAAACCTGCTATCCGCTCGCACACCCTCACATGGTCAGATCTCGCTTTCAAGCTCAGGTTTGAGATAAATGTTCACAGCTTGATGTTAAGTGCCAAAACCTTTTTATTTTGAAATGAATATAGGTCAATTCCAACCACTGCAATGGGGAAGGCCTTTTATCTGACGGTGGGGGGGGGGGGGGTGAGATGGGTTTCTATTGAATCTGATCTACTAGCTTAGAAGCATGGCGTTCCTCCTCTTCGCACGTGACCAAACTCTCTGATCCAAAAGGGTGATTTGCAGACACGTTTTGGTCTTCAGCTAATGGCATTTAGATGATGCAATAAGGCTTCTGTTTCCCCCTCTGGATGGGTGTGTGGCGTCCCCTGAAATAGCCAAGGCATTTGTGTGTGTTGCTGTGAGGGAACCCCGCGCACCGGCTGCTGACCAGACGGCGCCGCTGACCCCTGACCCCCCCCCCCCCCCCCCCCCCCCCCCCCCCCCGCGTGCCGCGTTTGGTGCAGGCCTGGTCTCTGTGTGGCCTTTTGTCTCGCTGGTGTCTAACGTCAGAGGCTGATGGCGCCTCAGATCCACGCTTTGCCTCCTTTTTTAAACGTCATTTGCCTTGAGAGCAGACCCAGAGGCCCCTTTTTTTTTTTTTCTTCTTTCTCTGAATTCTGGTGTGCTGGCTGGCAGAGGAGCGCAAAGGCGATCCCACACGTGTCCGAGCTGTGTCGTTTCATTTACCGAAGACATGACTGTTTTTGTATTTATAATTATTTATTTAACCCGGTTTCTGTTTTGTCCATTGCAATGTTTTTTTGTTTTTGTTTGTTTGTTTCTAACTTTTTCAACAGCAAAAATCACGCTGGCGTGATGGAGTGCTGCCGCCATGCATCATCTAGCATTATTATGTACATTGATGTGTTCTGTGGTGTATATTAACTACTACTTCAATGTGATTTGGAGAAAAGCTAACAAAAAGAAAATCTGCAAACATGAAATCTGCAAAAAGAATGGATGTTTGAGTTTCTAGTTTTTTTTTTTTTTTTTTTTTTTAAAGGCCTGTCATGTTTTGACACCACTCTCACCAAAGTGCTTGTACAGAGAGAGCAGAAGGAGGATTCGACACTTGGTTCTGGGCTGCCACTTTTCTGTTTGTCTGAGAGAAACTCCTGTGAAACTGATGTCAATGTTAGCCAAAATGACCACTCAGCTTCTTTTCCATTTCCCATCGTCTGTCCGGGATAAGGTGGTTAATCTTTTTATATCCTGTGGATTAATGCTGGAAGTGCAAGACGACTTAGGTGTGGGGAGGGAAAACAAGAAAAATGGAGAGAAAAAAAATGTAGCTTTTCACATTTTATCACATTTGATTGAAGACATTTTACATACATTTTAGTCTGTGTGGTGCAGTTTACCTAATTTAAAATAAATGCCTGCCTTAAAAGGTATCGTCTAATCCTCTTCTTTTTGGGCTCGCTCGTAATAAAATGAATCCAGACAGGAGTATTTAAAATATCTGTATTTGCATGACTTTTAGATTTAAAAATGAATCTTTACTCAGGATTTACGCTCAACAGGACTCTCGCATGCGGGCTTTCCTTGGCAGAGGCACGTGTGGAAACAGGAATTATTTGAGTTGGAAAAATCTCTGCTAAAAACAACAAACATTCAGGAGAAGATTTCATCACCGGCTCAGCTGCAGCGCGTTCTGCCAGAACGCCGCGCGCTTCTGCCTAATTATTAACAGACAAGTTTCAGACTCAGCTCATTTCATAAAAAAAAAAGATTAAGGAAAATGAAAACTATTGTACATTGTATAAAATGCTTCCGGCTGGATAGCAGAACAGAATTACTGACACGTGTGGTGAACATTTCGCCGTGCTGCTTCCTGAGGATCAGACTGACCGTATTTGGTCGTCTCTTTTCCTCAGACCACAGTTTACGCAGAGCACCAGTTCAGCTTTTAAGGAAAAGGCTGATATGCAGAAATGTGATGAGCGAACAGAAGGGGGGAGTTTTTAATGGAGACTCAACGCGTCCCAGGAGCCGCTGGGCGGACGGCTCCCATCATCATCCCTGCATATCAACCCAGAACTATTATAGTCCATCATTTTCTTGGATTCCAAGCATGGCCAAAAGGAAAAAACTCTAGATTTGCGCGGTAGGCTTTAAGTGAACGTTTGAGTAAAACCTGTACGGACCCCGAGCCTTAAACCGCTGTTAATTCTACCAATTAAACGAGGGAATGGACAGCGGAAATGTGGATTTTGGGGCAGAGTAGACAAATCCATCGGTTCGCTTTTCTCTGCGGTTTCGGTGCTGGCCCGTGACCGGGGGCCCTCACTTGTCCGGGGAGCGGATGTAGACCAGGGAGGACAGCAGCAGGAGCTCGGGCGGCTTGTGCAGCAGGATCAGGTTGTCGCTCCTCAGGCCGTCGTAGTGCATCCAGCAGCCGTCCAGGTGGAAGGCAGCCGAGTAGTGGTGCTCCTCCTTGTTGAAGAGCGTGGCGCCCTCCAGCAGGTATCTGCAGGGAAAAGGGTTTGAAAAGGAAATGTTGTTTGGTCTTTGACTCTTTAATGATGAATAAAAAAACCCTCCTGGTGGATCCCTGCGCTGTACCTGTGCTGACAGAGGGCCAGATGGTAGGGGACGTAGGACAGGTCCTCCGACCTCCACTGCTGCATGTTCAGGATGACGAAGGGAGGGGGGCCATGGCAGAACACCCGCTGGGAAAACTCCCTTAAGCCGTCGCACCTGTCCAGGAAGGATTTAGCCGGTCAGAAAAGGGTTCAAAACACCACCCAAATATAACGACAGTGCCACAAACAACCCCCACCCCTCCCCCTAGACCAGGTCTCACCCCTGTTCTGAGCAGAGAAGCAGCTTCGGGCAGAAAAATTCATCCACGGCCGACTGGATCGGGTCTCTCTGAGGAAGCTCGTGATGCGGACTGAAAGGAGACGGAGAGAAATGAAGAACCCCAAGTTGGTCGATGGCCCTCTTTAGTGAAGATGGAGGAACGAGGACCAGGCAGAAAGTGACTGATTCTATCGTGTGGATGTGGAAACTGGGAAAAGTGTTCCCCCTGTGCGTCGTACCTGATGCTGATGGTGGTTTTGATTAGGTCCTGGAAGCGCACGGGGCAGCTCCAGTTGGTGCACAGGCTCTCCTGCACGGTGGACATGAGGTTTTCCAGGTTCTCGGTGAAGTTCTGGTGCTCGTTCCCGAACAGGTCGATCTCCAGCGCGGCCTGGTGGATCTCCGAGCGGTACTGTCTCTTCGACATCCTGTTCCAGATCCACAGCATCTTCACGGTGGCGTAGTCGCAGGAGTCCATCAGGTAGAGGAAGTGGTCCACGAACTGTTTGCCCAGGAAGACGGCCAGCTCCCTGTGGAAGCCCTGGTTGTCCCGGAGGATCACGTACAGGATCATGAGGAAGCCGTCAATGGTGCAGGTGTTTTTCAGCTGGATCTCCACGTACAGGGGAATGCAGGAGACGGCCTTCCGTCCCGCCTTGATGGGGAAGACGCCCCCCCAGGGGAGCACAGGCCTCCAGAAGGCTCGGTCCTCTTCGTCATTGTTGTTTATGGAGGCACGGATCTCCTCAAACAGCGTCTTAGACCTAAAGACACACACACCCGGGGGGGTTAGACGTGGCTTATGCTCGGGCTCATGTCACTGGGCGGGCCCGATCCGCTGGCGTTGGGCGGAATGTTTTCAAAAGGGAGGACGTAAACAAGAGTCAGAGCAGATACGTGCCAGTTTACACGAACAAAAGAAGACGCGACTTAAGTCAGCGATCACCCAGGGAATCGTGGCAAGTTCACAGCCAGAACTGCACAGCGCTTCAGAGCAACTTACCTTTCGGTGTGAAAAATGTTTTCGGCGTTGGAAAATCGCGAGAGGACGTCTGTGTCGTTCAAAACACTGAATCTACTCTCCATTGCTCTATGAATTTCTTCATGTCTTCCGTCGGGACTCGATGCCTGATGTCATAGAATTTCGTTTAATAATATCTTGCAGATCTTTCTCGAAAACGCGAGACCTTTTAAAAGGATCCAAACAATATCTAGCGCAGCTTACGCTGACCCACATATAAAAACACCCGTGGAGTGGATTTTGTGACATACATCCCAGACTGACAGTAATCACACTGCCGCCCTCTGCCGGCACGCAACGGAACTACACCCACGTAATCCCGCCCATTTTCATGGAGATTTGGGTGGTTCAACCAAACCCGGAATACTATTGGTCAATATGTTTCGCTATGCTGTTACATGATTGGCTGGTACGGTTGACAAGTCGCGCTCTCCGTTCATTGGGGAAGAGGCTGCGTTCTACGTAGAGTTCTATTCCTGAACGTTCTGCGCTTGTTCCCCGGCGTAATGACGTTCTCATGGACGGACGCTGCGTGCTCACGTCGAGGCTCAGGGGACCAAACTTCTGCTGAAGTCCAGCTCCACGCTGCTCTACTTGTCAGGCGCTGAGCGTGCTGTGCACACCACCACACCGACACACCGACTTCCAGGACTAAAATGTCAGCTCAAGTCATAAGTGGGAAAGAGGTTTCGGCGTAAGTTCTATGTTTTTCTGCACGTTTATTGATGTCCTCTGAAGTGCACTTAAATGAACGGAATGCGTTTGGCTAACTAAACAGCTAACGTGCTGAGTTACACTAAGAGTTATTTTTTCATTACAAATGCATGCCACAGTTCATTTTAGTGCATTATCCAAACTTAGGAAGCATTTTAAATGTAATTCTTTGTGTATCCCATTCATGCACACAACACACTAACATTTGATAACACGTTTTTGTGAAATTGTACATGATGTCCAAAAAAAACCCCCAAAAACAATCAAATCACGGACTACATTCTTTGCAGGAAATATTTCAGTCAGTGTATTATTATGGACAGTCACTGACTATCTTGCAGGGTTATGTAATGTTTGTGGTCGGTCTGTATGATCTTTGTCCTCTTGCTCCATCGACTTCTGGTGGAGAGGCTGACAAAACCATGCTTTTGTTTTTTGCACTGCAAACTCTGAACCTTTCATTGTGAATTCTAATTGTACAATCCTGCACATCTGCTCGCTGTGAGTTTGCAGGGTTTCAAACGTGTCTGGCCAACAGGCTGAATCTGTCCTGCAGAGACTCGGTGTACACTAAACCGCACGTGCAGGTCACAAGACTGGACAACCTGCAGCCTGTTAGGGCCCCTCACTGCTCCCATTAGGCCAAACATTTGATGTAATACAAAGAGGCCGTAGAGCCTCTCATTAGTCCTGCTGTGCTTTTAGGAGAAAGATCCACAGCTATAAATGTTGAAGATTTAAGAAAGCTGCTGGACACGTGCCTGCGGGATGTCCTACAAATACAGGAAAATGGCCCTAGTTATATAGTGATCAGGAATACTTAGGAATAGTTTACTTGAAATGCACTGGCTGTGTGAAATGTCGTTGTGTTTAGATGTAAATCATTTCTAATCCAATGTTATTAAACAGATTTAAAAAAAAAATATGAAGCAACACAGTCAGGATTGATTTTTGTCTTTCACAATCACAGCAGGTCATCGCAACGCTGTCCTCCATTTGTTTATCGGAGTTTAATCTTTGTCTCAGATGTGGTTTATCACCTCACTTAGAATAAAGTGCTGGAATGCATCCCAGCCTCCAGACAATAACAAGGAAAGAGATAAAGAAAAGACGTGGTCAGAGATAAAAGCACTCACTGAAGCCCCCGTCTGCTTGTTGCATGTGCCGGCAAAATTGATATCAGAAGAGTGGAAAATCATTATCAGTTAACAAGATGAGATGCGACTGAACAGAAAATGTTTAATTAGCTCAGGGAAACACTAAATGCAGCCTGAATAAATCTCCTATCTTTTTTCCCTGTTTTTTAGGCAGGTAAGGGAGCGTCTAAAGAAGGATGTGGAGCGGATGAAACTGGTGGATCCCAACTTCCGCCCCGGTCTGGTGGTTTTACAGGTAGGCTGAGTGTTTGCTGATTGTTTGCTGAGGGTGAAAACACAAGTAGAGAACTGTCTCTAACATTGTGCTTTCTCATGGCTTTTCCCTGGAGACAGTCGGCAGGTAAGAATTTGGACGGCTTTGGTGACCGTCGGTGTGCCTTTTAGTGTGCCGAGGCATGGATCCGGAATGTGCATTTTGTGGGTGGACACATGCATGCTTTGTAGGGGTGTGTGTGTGTGTGTTGCAGAGGGCACATTTCTTCAAATAAGCACAAAACGCCACACTTTGTCCTCGCAGGTTGGAGACCGCGATGATTCGAATCTGTACATCAGCATGAAGCTGAAAGCAGCAGCCGAGGTGAGTTAGATTATTACGGGTTCCCAATCAGCCTGCTCAGTTTTCATCTGCTAAACACAAAAAAGATGGAGCGACTCGCTTTGTTGTCAAATGTACAGTAAGAAATAATAAAAGCATAATAGATAGACACCCAATGGGGATGGGTGCCCCAAAAGAAATGGACCTGCATGTATGCACACATTCCACATATGTAATATAAACCTGTTTGTGTTTCTGTTTGATAAACTGAAACTTGTTGTGTTTGCAGATTGGGATAAACGCGACGCATATGAGACTTCCTAAAACCACAACAGAAGAGGAGGTGAGAAACATAAGACAACTGTACACGTATGCTGTTTTTTTCCAGCCGAGCGGTCGTTTTTCGGTGTGATGAGGAATGAGAGCAGCATGTGAACGGTGACTTTCTGCACGCAGGTTCTTCACGGCATCAGAGAAGTGAACGAGAACTCGTCCGTCCACGGCCTCATCGTTCAGCTGCCTTTAGACTCGCTCCACAAGATCGACACGGAGAAGGTCACGAACGCCGTGGCTCCAGAAAAAGACGTAGACGGGTAATCAGTGGCAGAAAAAAGAACAGAAGTTTGCTCACATTGGAGGTTCTATTGCCCGTTGAGCCATGGTTCTGCTCAAGTTTTTCCTTGCCTGTGTCGCCTAGTGCTTGCTCATGATGGGAATAGTTGGGTTTCTGTAATTAACTTCAGAGTAGGGTCTGACCTGCTCTGTTTGGAAAGCGCTGTGAGACAACTGTTGTTGTGATGTGGCGCTATATAAATAAAATTGAATTGAATTGAAGTTGTTAAGGGTTTATTTTCCTAGTTTCAGTCCTGCTGGATAAAGACCGCTCTTTTCAGCTGTCTGCATGCCCACCGGTGCTTTGTGCTTTGTTCCCAGGCTGACCAGCACCAACGCGGGGAAGCTGTCCCGCGGGGATCTGGGCGACTGCTTCATCCCCTGCACGCCCAACGGCTGCATGGAGCTGATCCGCCAGACAGGTGAGCGCCCGTCTGCTCCTGGATTGGGAATCCCGACGAGCCGGAGGAAGTGACCCGGCTCCCACGTCTCCGTTCCCCTCAGGCGTGTCGGTGGAGGGGAAGCGGGCGGTGGTGGTCGGCCGCAGTAAGATCGTCGGGGCGCCGATGCACGACCTGCTGCTGTGGAGCCACGCCACCGTCACCACCTGCCACTCCAGAACCGCAGACCTGGCTGCAGAGGTACGCTCCGGAGGGGACCAGCCACCGGATTTCTCTTTCCTGAACTTTGCATTATTTCCATTAGGGATGTCCCGATCCAGCTTTTTTCACTTACGATCCGATCCCGATCCCGGCCTATCAGAGCATGTGTTAAAGTTTAAAGTTATTTATCTACTTACTTAGTTGTCAGACTCATGATGAACAGGGATTTATTCTGATAACAACTTAGTAGTTAGGACACAGACCTGTGGGTTAGCAGATGCTAATAGTCGTGTGGGATCGGACTTAAAAAAAATAAAACTGGATCTGCAGTCTGGGTCGACATTTTCTTCTGCCGGCCGATACGCAGTTTTTTTACAAATATCGGCATCCGATCCAAATATCAGATCGGGACAAGCCTAATTTCCATACTTACTTCTACATCCCACCACTTAACCTCAGTTCCCCTGACACCAGCTCCTCACTCAACAGATTCTAAAGCTTCACAAATCAATTAGCTGTTTTGAATTTGATGGTCATTAGGTGTCTGCTGGTGGAAGATGTGCATCTGCTGCCATCTTGTGGCAGCTTTTATTATTTATTTTAAAAAAATGAATCACAAGTATCTGTTTCTCTGTCCAGGTGGGGAAAGCTGACATCTTGGTGGTTGGCATCGGAAAAGCGGAGATGGTGAAAGGCGAGTGGATTAAGAAGGGCGCGGTGGTGATTGACTGTGGTATCAACCATGTTGCAGGTACCGATGAGGTCACGGGGGGAGTTGTGTTGGTTGTGAGTCGGTAAGCAGGAGTAAAGAGCTTTTTGTTCCTCCAGATGAGACAAAACCCAGTGGAAAGCGAGTGGTGGGTGATGTTGAGTTCAGCTCGGCCAAAGAGCAGGCTGGCTTCCTCACGCCCGTCCCCGGAGGAGTGGGCCCCATGACCGTCGCCATGCTGATGGCGGTGAGTTTGTACAGCTCCCAAAATGCTGTTAGTTTTGAAGTGTGTCTTTATAATTTCTTATTGCTATTAGATATGGCGTCTCCTCTCTCTTTTTGTTGTAGTGTTTTCACCTCTGTGTAATGTGTGTGTTTATGGGTAGAACACAGTGCTGAGTGCAAAGCGTTTCCTGGAGAGCCACCAGCCCGGGAAGTGGGACATTTCTTATACCAGACTTAACCTTCAGAAGCCGGTGCCAAGGTTTGTCCCCTTTAACTCAACCTAACTGCTGTCATGTGCAGTAAATGCAGCGACAAATACGGGGTGTATTTGGTTGACTCCTCTTGCTCCCCTCAGATCTGAAGCTGAGTGTTTTTGTTTTTTTTACTAATCCTGACAGTGACATCGTGATTTCTCGTTCCTGCGTGCCCAAACATATTGGCCATCTGGCCACAGAGGTGGGCCTGCTCTCGGATGAGGTGGAGCTGTATGGGAAGACAAAGGCCAAGGTCCAGCTGAGTATCATCAAGCGGCTTCGATCTCAGCCTGACGGCAAATACGTGGTGGTCACAGGGTATGTTACAGCCAGCGTACGGGGAAAAAAGCTAATAAGGGTCCCTAAATATGAAACCTTGTCCGTGTTTTATTGCCCAAACATCTGCGGCTCTCTGTTCTGCGTCCCTTTGTGCAGCACTGTCATATTTTCAAGCTTTTTTTCATAAAAACACTTTTTAAACATACCCTCTCTATGCAAACGCATGCTGGCTTCAATCTCACAGCACTTTTCCCATTTTGTCCTCTCAAAAATAACGAAAATGAAGGAAAAGGCGGAATTTGGAAACATGTCTGAGAATAGTATCCCATGCATTTGTTGGAAGGAGTCAAACAGTTTGGGCTGTGTCACCAAAGTGGTCACAGCCCAGGATTAAAGTGGCCATTCGACACTCTGCTCAAGTGTTTTCAGCTTTACACGTTCGCCTCCACACACGTAAACCTGATAAGTGAGTTAGTGCCGTGGCTCTCTGTTCTCAGCATTACGCCCACCCCTCTGGGCGAGGGGAAGAGCACCACCACCATCGGCCTGGTCCAGGCCTTGGGGGCGCACATGAAGCTCAACGTGTTTGCTTGTGTCCGGCAGCCGTCTCAGGGACCCACCTTTGGAATTAAAGGTGCGCTTTAATTTAATTCCCGCAAAGGTTCTGTAGTTGAAATGAAATGAAATGCTGGCGTGTGGGTCGATTTCTCTCCTGTCACCAGGTGGTGCTGCGGGAGGTGGATATTCACAAGTCATTCCCATGGAAGAGGTACGATTGCTGTTCTAGTGATGCGACTCTGAGACTTGGATATGATATAAGACAAAGAGTTTCACTAACAACCTATATCTATTTTTTTGGTTTTGTAGTTTAACCTCCATCTTACTGGTGACATTCATGCCATCACAGCTGCCAACAACTTGGTGGCCGCTGCCATCGATGCCCGCATGTTCCACGAGGCCACGCAGTCCGACAAGGTTGGCTCTCCTTCCCGTGAGGGCCGGACGAAAGTCCACTGCCAGATTGTGACCGTTTTCTTTTTCAGGCTCTATATAACCGCTTGGTTCCACTGAGTGGAGGGCAGAGGAAGTTCTCCCAAATCCAAATCAACAGACTCAAAGTAAGAGATCTTTTTTTGTTGTTTTTGTTTTTTACTTAAATCCCATTCCTGCTCTTGGCAGCTGGGAGCATTAACGTCTCTCTCTGTTTAGAGATTAGGCATCGACAAGACCGATCCTTCGACTCTTTCCGAAGAGGAGATCACCCGCTTCGCACGCCTGGATATTGAACCGAGCTCGGTCACCTGGCAGAGAGGTATGAACCTGCCGTCCGGTGTGGGTCAGCAGCCGGAGGTCTGCCGGCAGCACAAACGCATCCATGTGGTCTCTGTGTGTTACAGTGTTGGACACAAATGACCGGTTCCTGAGGAAAATCACCATTGGCCAGTCACCAACTGAGAAAGGACACACACGAGAGGCAATAGGATTTATATATGTATATTAATCACCTTGATGGATATGTAAAGAAGTTATAATTCAGAAATTTGAAGCATGATGAGGAACGGTCGGTGGAAGAAGTGCTTGTTTTCTCTCCGCCTCCCATGACGGAGTTCTTCTAAATGGTGAGCTGACCATCTGACCCCAGGCCCAGTTCGACATCACGGTGGCCAGTGAGATCATGGCCGTGCTGGCCCTCACCAGCAGCCTGGAGGACATGCAGCAGCGCCTGGCCAAGATGGTGGTAGCCACCAGCCGCGGCGGGCAGCCCGTCACCACAGAGGACCTGGTCAGCGTCTCCTTACGGGGAGGGCGGGGGGGGGTCTCCAAAAGTACGTCAGGAATAACGCAGTGTGGCGTTCTCTGTGTGCAGGGGGTGAGCGGAGCTCTAACCGTGCTGATGAAGGATGCCATCAAGCCCAACCTGATGCAGACTTTGGAGGTGGGTGAAACTGGTCAAACGGCACATATTCTGCCCTTTGAGGAAGGTTGGAGGTGGGGGTGTTTGTTTTCAGATCGGGTTTTTAATGGAAGGGAAACCTCTGAATCCACAGGGAACGCCCGTGTTCGTGCACGCTGGCCCCTTTGCCAACATTGCCCACGGAAACTCCTCCATCCTGGCTGATAAGATTGCTTTGAAACTGGTTGGACCTGAGGGCTTTGTGGGTAAGAGGCGCTCAAATAAACAACGTAGATAAACACCACTGATGATGTACCTGGTCTTTAATATCACTGTTGTGTGTCGGCTCTGCGGTTTGGCTCCAACAGTGACAGAAGCCGGTTTCGGTGCTGACATCGGCATGGAGAAGTTCTTCAATATCAAGTGCCGCTATTCAGGCCTGAGACCCCATGTGGTGGTTCTGGTAGCAACAGTTCGAGCCCTTAAGATGCACGGAGGTGGACCAACGGTGAGCCTCTCTCAGCCCAAAGTCAGAACTCTTATCACACTCAGATTTGATGCATTCACATGTCTTTATTCTGAACAGTTTAATGGATTTTTCTACTCCACTCGCCTTATGATTATGAAAGCGTACATGATTAGGAGGAAGGAATCAGCCGGTATTTATTGTTACATGATTTTGTGAACAAATCGTTTGTTTTGTTGAGCATTAAAAACCTACATCTTTTGTTCAGGTCACTGCTGGGATGCCATTGCCTAAGGAATATGTGGAAGAGGTAATACTGAGGAGCAGCCGGCCAAAGCTCTCTCTTTAAATGAGGGTCTATATTTGGACTCTTTTACTAGAGTTGTAACACGAGATAGAATTCTGTCTTTTTGTTGTTATTTACCTTTGAGGAAAGCGGTTTGTTTTTAGCTTCTCAAAGGACACACAGTTTGTGTTTGTGTGTGCGCGCAGAACCTGGAGCTGCTGAGGAGCGGCTGCAGCAACATGAGGAAGCAGATAGAGAACGCCAGGCACTTTGGCGTGCCGGTGGTGGTGGCTGTCAACGGCTTCAAGTAAGCGACCGCCGGCGCGCGTAAAAACGAGCGAGACGCCCGGAACCTCACGGGGAAGTGGGGGATATTCTCTCTCTCCCCCCTCAGGACGGACACCGAGGCAGAGTTGGACTTGGTCTGCGGCGAGGCCAAAGCGGCCGGGGCCTTCGACGCCGTGCGCTGCTCCCACTGGGCGGAGGGCGGGGCTGGCGCCGTGGCCCTGGGTCACGCCGTGCAGCGGGCCAGCGGCGCCCCCAGCAGCTTCAAATTCCTCTACGATTTGGAGGTGTGCAGGCCTTTTAAAAATTCTTTTCAGGCACAACGTCGCAGGGCTTTACTCGGGTGTTATTTCCTCATTCACCAAATACACTTTTTGCTTTCTCTCAAGCTCCCAATCAGTGACAAGATTCGAATAATTGCTCAAAAGATCTACGGCGCCGACGATATCGAGCTCCTCCCAGAGGCCCAACACAAGGTGGAGCTGTACGCCAAGCAGGTGAGCGCGCGTCGAAGCGGTTCTCTCCTGATTCTAAGGCGTGTCTGTCAGTTCCTGCTGTCAGCCAACGCCACAGCGAGCGGCCTTTTGAACAGATCGTGTCCTCGTCTCCCCTCAGGGTTTCGGTAATCTTCCCATCTGTATGGCGAAGACGCATTTGTCTCTTTCTCACGAGGCAGACAAGAAAGGCGTGCCTACAGGCTTCATCCTGCCTATCAGGGACATCCGAGCGAGTGTGGGCGCCGGCTTCCTCTTCCCATTGGTTGGCACGGTGAGCGATCATTGACAATAAATAATAAATAGATCAGCTTCTTTCCGTTTCTCAGTGTTTTGTTTTGGGCGTGACTGAAGCTGTCTGCACCCACACACTGAAAATAATTGGGCGTTCCAACACTTTGTTCTGCACTGAGAGATTTAGAATGATCTAAGACGATCTCTTTACGTCTTTGGGGCTTTTGCGCAAAGGCATTTAAATGTTGGGCGCGCACAAGAATGAACAAAGCATCACAAGAATGAACAAAGCATCACAAGAATAAACAAAGCACCAGTGAGGGTTGCCTTGTGTTTATAACTGCGTAGTAATATGATGGTAGATTTTCCAGTGACCGTCTATGGCAGCCATTTCTCGTATAATGCGCTTTTAAACTCGGTCTCTTTCGTGGATGATCATTTCTGTCTCTGTTTGTGCAGATGCCAACGATCCCCGGCCTGCCCACCCGGCCTTGTTTCTACGATATCGACCTGGATCCTGAGACGGAACAGGTCAACGGGCTCTTCTAAGACAGACAAAGGCCTCCGCCCCTTCTGAGGCTAAAGACAGCAGCTGGAACACAGCTGCATGCGGTCACCTCTCACAGGGGGATGGTAACAGGTCCACCAATGTTAAGCCGGTTTTTTTTTTTTTTTTCTCTTCTTATTTTTCCTTCCATTCGACAAATTCCTGTGTGTCTCTCTGAGCCTTGATTAACTTGGAGTGGGTAATAACCGGAGACGCTCTGAGCTGCTTTATCTGGTTCCTGCTCACTGATGTGTCAGTTCCCTGAGGGTACCGGACACATCAATGAACAATCATAATCACACAGCAGTTCCTTTCTCCTGTTTTCGTGTTAATAAATTAGTGGGTCACACCCCAACGGCAACATTCGCTAACTTCACCTTTAGTGTCAGGAGTTTTTTATGAAAGAGGCATCCCCTCCAGTCCCCTGACTTTGAAGTGATTTATTAGAATGTGTTTTCTAAATGGAAAATAATTAAAGAAACTTTTTGTCTAACAGATTTGTTTTCTATCAGCTTGATGGACATGATGTTCTGATCCACAGTTTTTCTGTATTTTTTAATCTAATGTCTTTAAAACCATCTTGCATTAATGGTCAGACTACTATTTTTGTGAAGCAAAACTGACAAATTTACCATTTATTTCTACTAATTAGCAACAAAAGACTAAATAAAGGCTTTGAAACCGTGTTGGGTCGCGTTAGTATGTCCACACCCTGTTTGCTGTGACAAATAGCCCCCCAGCCAGTTAACATTGATGCTCAGTGAGATCATGAATGTGTGTGTGTGTGTGTGTGTGTGTGTGTGTGTAAAAAAACCATAGGCCAGTGTTCTCATTAGATTAGTTTATTAGATGCACATCAATATTTTACAGTAATTTCATTGGCTGTTGATTTAATGCATTCATCATAACTTTATTGGGAAAGCTTTAATGCTTTCTTCTAATTTTTGCCACGGCCATGTCCATGGCCCTTTCCGTGTTCTCCTCCCTTTCCATGCTTCTCGTCAGACTTTCCACGTCCCTTGCTCTTCCCTTTGCCCTTGCCTTTTCCCTGGAAAATGGCAAGAATAGAGTCAGTTTCTTAATTATCGTTCAGTTCAACAGATCTAAAACATTGGTTTCAGAGTTTTACCTTTCCACCAGGTCCACCCTCCTGTAAAAGAAACAAAACGACATAAGCGCCACACGATTACAACAGAATCTCTCAGAAAAGAGATGAAGAAAAGCATTTCTGGAAAAAGTAATGTGTCTTACTCCGTCCGATTCTGAGCCTGATCCTGAGCCCGATTCTGGGTCCGATTTTGGTGCTTCCGGCTCTTCCACAGGCTTCTATTGGACATAAGAAAGACAAACAGCATTGTAATTGTGCCTTTCACTTAATCGATCTTAAGCACTGAAGGAAAATCAAATGGCTTACCTCTGGCTTGGCTAAATATACGAAAAAGAAAAGGAAAAAAACAAGGTTAAATGTTGCAAATGACATGTGATATGCAACTAAAGGATTGGCAGAGGACAACATGGAAAAAGGCAAAAAGGAATGTGATAAGTTTTACGAAATTGAATTCAAAATGAAAACTATCAAAACAGAAGAATGATGTTTAACACTGAACATGCAGCTATTGGATGCCTAATTCTCAAAGCTGCATATGTGCGTCAAGGAATTGCACACAGCAACTCAAACAAAGAGTTTATGTGCAAAATTAAATAATTAGCTTGGTAAATCAGATTAAATGAGGTGGTTATCAGTATTTTTTCTAAAATTGACGGAAAAGCAGACAATTTAAAAAAAGAAAAACATCATCAAAGACTTACGGTCACTCATTTTTGTCTCGTTAAGTTTTGGTCTTTTCAGAGAGCGTTCGCGAGTGTTTTCCTGCAAAACAAAACAGAAGAAAGGTTAGAAACACCAACGTTAAGCAGTTCAAACCGTTGCTGATCACCGGTGGACTCACCTGCTGCAGAGGTGAGGTGGTTTGTGTCGGTTCTGCCCCCGGTCTGTATTTATTAAGCTGCGCGCCGGAGGAGGAATGCAGGTGTGTCTGTGCTGCGATGCCCGTGCGCACGACCAGTAGTGGCAGAACAGGTTGGATTTAACACTTTCAACTGTTGTGTTGCCCCTCCTGGAAACAAAGGGTTCAAAGCTGGAAATATGGGGTTTTTCACCATCGCTTGAGGGCACGGGGACCCATCCAGTTTAGCAACTTAATTCAAGAGGAAAATACACTTTCAACTTTAAATGTCTTTGCTGATGCACATTTCAGAGTAGCTACTAAAAATAGTTGTGTAATGTGTAATTAGACCAGAAATGAGGGAAGGAAAAGTCACGTGGACAGCGTGAGGGAGGACGTGGAGCTGACATGAATCCAGGACTCCTGAAATTCCAGTCAAATTGTAGTTTTCTATTCATTTTGACTTCTTTCAATCTCCTCCTTGCATTGGAAATCCTGCACATCCAAAAGTCCACTATGAGGTTTCCCCTCTTTTCAAAACCCCTGACTGACTACTAACAATCTGCGCATGTGAGGAACTAACAAGTTAACTCCATGAAGACTCTCAGCCATAGGCAAATAAACGTGTATTTATATCTATGCTCCCAGCTAAGGGATCATATTCAGCCCCTTGTGCAACGATGCATTAATACAAAAAATGTTTTAAAAACACAGGTTTACATGTTGGAAATGAGAGAAATGCCAAATGACTGTTCCAGTTCTGGAGCTTTCCACTCCCCACCGGTTCCACGGCTGTATTTCTTTCCAATAGTTTCAGGTAATAACTCGGCATACGCCTTTCGAGGCGTCACATCAGGTCATTCACATTTTTGCACCCGGAAAAAAACAAGCGTCTGAATGAAGCATGCAGTCACACCCAAATCACTACAACCAGTCATATTAGTCTCTCAGTGTTCTGAACGAGACGCAAGATTTACATGTAGATTTATGCATTTAGCAGAAGCTTTTATCCAAGGCGAGGTTTAGATCTTTATACCAGGGAGCTGTCACGTTTTAACACCTTTTTTTTCCAGTTGGAACTGTTGGCTGCGGAGGTGTTGTAGGTTTGTCTTATCATAATAATTGAAGACAACCAAATATAGATACACATCCGTGGCAAGCCTTGTCAAGCAAATACATTTGGAAGGATCCTGAGCAGCAAATTTATTTAACAAATAAATAAACTGGACTTGCCAATAAATCATGCTGTGATCCACCTAATACACCTTCTTTTACTTGATTTTTTCTTTCATTTTTTAAAGATCTCACCTAATGCTGCGCACCAGAGGCCTGTCAGAGAGTCATGATTCATTTGATGAACAACAAACACCCCTTTTTCTTCCATTTTTAGAACCTTTGACTTTATTTAGCTACGTGGTGAAACATTTGGTGGCCAGTGAATCAGTTTCAAAGTCTCTCTTGTTTTCAGGTCTAAGTGCCAATCAAACAGAGGCAGTAATTGGAGTCTCAGCAGATCTGGTTCATCTTGTTGAGGGAGTAATGGCGTGATGTCTTCAACACTTGATGAGGTGAGAACAGAAAATGAAGGCATTTGGATAAGCAGGCCCAAATGTTCAAGTGATCATTTTTAATGCAGTCTGATTGAGAAGATGTTACAAAAAAGGTTTGGTAAAAAATCAAAGAGCTCTTTTCAAAGGATGTGAGAACAAAAGTAAAGGCTCTTAAAAAGCACCATAACCTCAAAAGAAATGGGCAGACATCCATTCCTGTGTGTGTGTCATCATGTGGTCAACACAAAAGACCATAATATGGTCAGATCACCTTTAAGAGCTCATTGGTGGGAAGAAAAAAAGTTTTCACACAATCAAATTTCTGTTATGTTTGTATGTGTATATATTAAACCTATTTTCTCGTCTTAAAAACAAACTTATATAACACATTGTATTTGAACTTTTATTCTTGGAACGGGTGGTGGTGTCAGCACAATGCTTTGGCGCCATCTAGTGGGTGGAATCGGACTCTGCAGTCAGTTTGTGACGTCTGATGGCGTCGAATCCTGTTTATTAGACTATGTTGAGGTGAGTTTTACTCAGGTTCTCTCTCTCTGTGTATGTTAGTGTTTTTTAAATATGATTTCGTTTGAACTAGCTATCATCATTTTAACCATTGAACCACGACATTTCTCAATCTCATTGCATAGTGGTTCGCTTGTATAAAGAATTACGGGAGTATATCGTTGAAAAATGTCGTAAACCTCGGAAAACCATAGATATAATCCCCTTTTTGAAGACCGTAACAGCAACATGCAAGTGAGTGTTGCAAGGAGCAAAAATAACAAAAAGGATGAATATGCAATAACAGATCTTTGCAAAAATACTAAAAGCTGCAAAAAAAATTTTGACGACTAGAAAGTCGCCCAAAAATAGGCAATATGAGCGTCAAAACAAGTGTAAATGCAGAATAAACAGGACCACAAAAAGAAATTAAACCTAAATGATGAACTCATACGGCGACCTGCTCCATTTTGCATTAGAATATACTCAGAATAAGCCATTAACAGCTCTATTGTATTTTTCAAATTCTTACTACAGTCTTTACATTAATCCCCAAACAACTCCAGCTAAAATATTCACTAAAGAGCTTTGGCTCATTAGCCGCGGTGTGCACGTGTAATACGGAAGCTATGCAGGAAATGTTGCCCAGCCAGCCTTTGGTTTGGGCCTGAGATGCGCACGGTGCGGCTCTTGGCCTCTTGAGGGCAGCCGGACCTGTGTGCAGCCTGCAGGGCTCCCAGACCTGCCAAGAGGCAGCCTGTCTCGTTTGAATAATTGTGGGAAATCCTGTATCTACCCCCCCCCCCTCCCAGACCCCCGCCCGTTGTCTGTGGGCAGCTTCTTTAGAAGAGGCGCAGCTGGGAACCAACGGTGCGCATCTCAGTGGTGGGATTTCCATGGTGGTGCAATCTATTAGCGTCAATGAGCTCAGAGGAAATGTTAAAGGCTTGTAGAAACTGTCTGTCAGTTCATTTGAAAGCAATAAATGGCTTCTAAACTTATCAATTAAAACATGAAATTCAGAAACCTGCATTTAAAACAGATTGCCCACAGTTTATTCAGCTCTTTAAAAAACAACCTAAATGAATTTCACCTGGTATGTTAACTGTACTGGCAAACCCATTTGTTTTTAATTGCAAGAAATAAACTAAATACACAACAAAACTAAGACAAATGAGGAAAAAACGTTAAAATGTTGAATACTGTGAGTCAAGAAAACACAACAGAAGACGTAAGACTGGCTGACAAAGTTTTGCAAACTACAAAAAATTAAATCGTGACACCTTACAAAGCCAAAAAACAAGATGAAAGAAACCCCCCCCCCACAAAAAAACATAAAAGCCTCGAAAACCGCTGAAACTCAGTGATGACACAAAAATCACACCATCATTTTTTAATGCACCACACAACATCAGAACCAAACACACAAAAACATTTTAAGAAATGCACAACTTCCAAATGGCAAAAAATCCACAGAAACAACTCCCAAACCCATAAATGTATCAGGAAATGTATTTTGTGCCTTTTGTTTTCCTGAAAGGTTTGTCATGCTGTTTTGATTGGTTGTTGGGTCCTCTCTCACCACAGAGCGCCACACTGATGACCAGAGAGAAAAAAGCTCCAGGAGCTATTAGAAAACTGTCCATCTAGGTTTTAAACCTGGTCAAAAATACATATATATATATATATCATAGAAGCACTGGAGCAGATTCGGTGTTGGGTGACACATGAGCGTTTAACGTTGTTGTTTTTGTTTGTGTTTTGTTGTGTCAGAAGTGCGTGTGTGTGTGGGGAGGACGACAGCATGGTTTCAGATGAGTGCAGAGGGGAAAGAGCAAGTGCTTCAGAGTTGGGAGAGTGGGAGCGACAGACAGAGCACGCAGGCGGGAGGGTGGGAGGTTTTGGAGAGAGGGAGGACGAGCGGGAGGGCGCTGCTGTGAAATCTGTTAACAGGGGAGCTCTGTGCATTTGTTAGACGTCTTGGCCGCCTGCCCAACTTGGCTCATTGTGATCGAGGCATGAGCGTGGACTCCGGTCAGCCCTCCCTGCCGCCGCGGCCGCCTCGCCTCGCCTGGACCCAGCCCAGCGGCCGCCGCTGACATGGACGGACCCGTGAGTGCCTTCTTTCTGCTTCTGCTCCCCGGTGTTAGGTTCCCCCTCTTCCCTCCTCGGCTCTGTCGCAGATTTAGCCGTGGCTACATGCAGCATTTCTCTCTCTCTCTTTCTCCCTCTCTCTCTCTCTCTCTTTCTCTCTCCCCCTGTTGTGGCTCCTGTAGGAGGCAGGGACGCCGGGCAGGGAGAAAAGCCTTGGCAGCTTTCTCCCTGCAGGCCCCTTCCTCCCCGCTTCGCCCGCCCGTCCAGGCATGGGCGCCGGCCATCCGGCCGTCCACCCCCCGGCCGTCCGCCCCGGACCCCACAGTGTCTCTGTGTGCTTTGGCTGAGTGGACCCGTTAGCTGAGCTGCTGCTGCTGGACCGTGGCACAACCGGCCACGGGAACCCCCACAGATTTGCCGTCCCCCCCCCGGCCGCCCCCCCCCCCCCACTCCTCCGGGTTTTGGTCCGTGGAGGCCGGCGTCCACCCTCAGCCTCCGCCGTCGCTCCCTCACGCCTATTCCTGGTGGTATGTCCTCACGGTCTGTTGTGTTTGGATACCTTGACTACCAGAAGCGGTGAGGTAACCACTTCTCAGCCCCGCCGCCTCTCTGAGTGAGTCCAAAACTTTTTCTCACGCTCTGGGTTTTGTCCCAGCCGAATTCAGGAGAGATGGGCGCTCGGGCGGCTGTGACCGCGGGATGTCAGCCATTCTTTGCCGGTGTAGCAACAGCAGCAGGGATGGAAAACACAGTGATGGTCTTTGTGCGCTCGTTAGCAGTGAGTCATCATCCTGTTCTAATAACATCACACGGAGGAAACCTCGACTTTTGTGTCGTCACTGGGGCAACAGTGGAGGATGACTGACTCCTTTTTTTGAACATCTCCTTCTCGTTTCTGTCTGGTCGTGTAAGAATAACTGACGTAGAGCCAAAAGAGACTGTGATGAGTTTTCTTCCCTGTTGAGATTGACAGAATTGCCATTTTTCTATTTTGTTGCTGAGAATAACAGAGTGAGGAACACGTGCTTGAACTGTTTAAGTTGAGAGCTCTTTTATTAAGTCATGAATCTAATTATTTTGGAGTACATCTTTTTGATTAAATCTTCCAGACCTTGTAAGGAAAAGCAGCCCTTTCAATCAGAGAATCACACAGAAACAAAATGCCACACATTTCTGTGTCATGACACTTTTCTGCCGTAAATGCCAGTGAGATGTTACATCTCAAACACATTTTAAATGGCGATCTTGGACTCTTTCACGTATTTTTATGTCTCAAACTGAAGTATAAGCGGTTTGTTTTTCTCATCTGTTGGCACACTGTTCTCTATACTGAGGATACAAGTGCAGATTTTTGGAGTTGGACCTTACAGTAGGCCACCTGTCCCTAATTTGATTCATTACACATAATTAAGGAGGCTCAGAGCTGACCATAAAAACTCTCACCGTCGTTGTCAATCCATAATGCTGAGAGAAATTGTCCCCAAACTGTAGGAACGGGATTGTTTCAGAGCACATATCTAAAGAAAGATACATGAAAGCTCCCCACCAATGAGAGACCAATGAGAGAGACCCGATGGTGGCCATTCATCACTAAAAGGCACATGACTGTCTGCTGGGAGTTTACAAAAAGGCTTCAGATTGAGTCTCACACCATGAACAAATTTCATTAATCTGATGAAACAAAGAGAGAGCTATTTGAACTCAGCTCCTAACAATGAGGAAGAAAACAGGCCCCAAACATCACCTCATTAAAAACACGTCTTTTGTCAAATATGGTAACGGGATCCAAGTTTTTCTATTGGGGTAATTAATCAAGGTTGGTGTAAAAATGAGTGAAAGACAGTTCTGACAGTCCTGAATGAGAAATCCAGAGTGTTTTAGGGCCATGTCAGGACATTTTGATGAAGCAGTGAACTGGAGCATAAAACACAGGAGTGGACACCACCATAGTCCTGAGGTGATCCAACAAGAGTTTGCACCTAAAGTCAGCATGACATCTCCTGAGAAATTCTTGATTTGCAGCTATCAATACAAACGTTTCTGCAAAGGGGAAAGCAGAAAACTTCCCTGAGGAAGATACGCCAGCTAGCTGGGATTATTTTAGGGAAGGTAGAACCATACGCTGCCAAACAAGCAGGACAGAAAATGTATGGAAACGTGGGTGAGGGTATGCCTCAGTTAGACCAGAGAGCCTTGTTAGGCAGGTGCTCCCATTACCACAATTTACGGCTGTTGTCTGGATGGATTTAGCTTTGTTTGGCTAAGAAATGTCGAATCTCTTTGAGAGGTAAGAGAACTTAGACGTTAACAATGCTTTAATGTAAGATATGCTAACTAATGAGCCAAAATTGGGCTATTGTTGGAGCTCCTGTGAGATCTATTAAGTTGTTTTTTATTTCCAAAGTCATTTCCAAAGCCACTGGTGTGGAAAGACAACCTTAAAAATTGTGGTTGTGACTTTGAAAACACCATCCTGGGGTCCGGGCACACAAAACAACCAAACACACGGGACGTGGTGAATGAGCTTCACGGGCTTTTTAAAGGGGATCACACGTTTTCCTCACCCTCCAGCTGCAGACTACAGTCAGAGAAATGTGCCCTTTAGGGCTGGACAGGGACGGGAGCCCTGCTTCCCCCTCGCACTGCACAAACCAGATTGGGAGCACAGCGAGCCGGAGGAAATGAGATCACCGCGTGGCAGATGCCCGACGCTTCGCCGCATATCTCGCCTCAGCAGCACCTTGCGCGGGGCTCTGGTGTAAGGAAGCATTAACTCACGGCGAGCTTTGTGCGTGCGCCGGGAGGTTTTTTCAGCCCCGTGTGGTGTGACTGCGCCGGGATGTTTAGGATGCTCTGCATATGTGTAACTGATCTCCGTAATGAATGCTCCATCTGTGGGAGGATGCGTTGTGTGTCACTGAAACACACACACAGTGGCAAGACATGGACGTGGAAGTATGATTTAATCTCTCTGGGTTTATTTTCTCACTGACCATCAAAGTTTGTGGTTATGCTTCAGTTAGGTTTTGTTTTATGGACCGTTTGGGATCTTATGTTCATGGTTTCAACACACAACATGTAGAGGACCAAGAGTTTGGACGTCACCATAGTCCAACCTTATAGTCAATATCATTATGTTTGTGTCCAGTGAAAGATGGCACATCTGGTTGTTCTCTTTCTTTCTTTCTTTCTTTTTCTTGCTGTCTTTTCTGTGAGAAAATTCAACAAGTTTGACATCAAAGCTGGAATACAAAACTTTTTTCAGCCTCTTCTCATGAAATGAATAAAGTGAGACAGTGTCAGTGAGATTTATTCTTGTATGACAAAATGTGGATCTATTTCAAAATGATTGTGTGCTTTCTTCAAAGGGGATTACTGATCTCTATACAATGTGTCTGATAGCAAAATGATTCCAGCTTAATGGGCAACTGTGTATAAGTTTGCTCATTTTCTGATATGGAAACCTTTTTTTTAAATCAACATTTTGTGACAAAATTCAAGATTTTTCATGACTTAAATTAAAAGAAAAAGACCCGTTTTATAGTTGACTAATTTTAAGTTCTAAGATCAGTTTACAAAACAAAATCTTTTTGAAAAATAAAAATGACCTGATGTGTCTCACAGGCTGACAGTGATATGATGCCAAAGAGGGATCATGAGAAGGATCTAGAGCTGGACAAGAAGATCGAGGCTCTCCGCAGAAAGAATGAAGCTCTCATGAAGCGGTACAAGGTGAGGAGAGGAGTCCGCAGGCTTACTGTCGGGAGTGGAAACTCCTATAGGTTTCCTGATTTTTATCTGTTTGCATCTAGGAGGTGGAGGAGGACAGGAAAAGGGCAGAAGAGGAAGGAATGGCACTGCAGAGCCGAAAGGGCAAAGCTGATGATCTGACTATCACGATCAGCAAGTCCACGAATGTGAGCCCACACCGCAAAATCACAGTCACCTTTCAGGGGACAAAAGCTGTAGACCATATTAATATTTCATGACCCGCTCTGTGCCGAGGGCAGGACAATCGTGTGGTGGTGACAAAGCCATTCAGCGGTGGTTCACCAGCTGGGAAAGGACAGCAGGAGGCCGGGCTGGACAAAGGGGGGGGCGGCCCAGCACAGGGTGGCGGGCGAGGCCACAGGAAGCAGCTAATGGTCACCATGGCTGGCAAAAAGGTAAATGAGCTGATTCCTGGTTCAAGGGGCAAAGACAAATAAATCAAAAGCATCTTTAATTTGAATGTCAATTAGGGACAAATAACCATAACCCATTTTTTTGTATTCATAAGGTAAAATAATACATTTACAGTCTGAAAAAATACAAAAAAATTATGCCATGCAGGGCACACTTTGTTTGGCTTTTTATATTTGTAGCTTAGTTTTTTTATGATTCTTTTTTAAATTGATTTTTTATTTAGTTATTTAAAAAACAAACATTATAATGTTCTCTATTCCCAACAGTGATTGATATGATTCACTCACAAGTATTTTGAAGTCTTTTCAAATATTCAAAAACCTCAGTGAGAGCAGACAACTTTAAGATGGGTCACCCTCTTAAGGACAAAAGCAGATTTCCATAACAAAAAAAAAAAAAAAGAAATAACCTTTCTATTCATGTAGAGATCTGAAGGAATATTTCTCATGTTTACTGTCGTAGATTTCGAATTACTTCAGGTGTCAAAATGTGTTTCTCCAAATCTATAAGCAGCACTTTCAAAAGGATTTTTTGAAGGACTACAAAAGCGTGTCGTTGCAGTGCACGTTGCAATGGCTGTGATCCTCTGACTTGAGTCAGTAACTGTCCAGGGTAAGAGGGTGGTGAGCGAGAGACCGGAGAAGAGGCCGGGCCCCGCAGACGTCAGGAGCCCCACACATGACGGACAGCCGAGTCAGAGAGGGAGGCAGCCGCCTCACCCCACCAGGAGAGACACAGCACAGGTCGGCTCACACACGCTGAATACTCCAGAGCCTGCTCTCCCACATCCCCCTCTTTGTTTAGCCCCCCTTGTGCTGCACCCATGTGTTTTACATAGTTGTCAGACATGTTGGCTGGCCCTTCCCCTCCAGTGACGCAGCACAATGGAGCGTGGACAGGAGGTGGACCCAGCCCGTGACTTACTGCGGAGGGATTAGCAAAAGGGGGACGACTGATAGAGCTGTTTGCTGAGAAGAGGATCTGTTGAACCAGTTTTTTTTTTTAAAGAATGTAATCCCACTAATAAGGTGGATATTTATTTTCTTGATGGATTTAATCCAGTGGTATTAAATCAGAGCTAGATTTCTTAAATTGGTGGGATCTGTCTGTCTGTCTAAAGCTTTTTGGGTTAGGGTTCGTAGGACAGGGCTACAGATATTTTAATATGAGATGTTAAGGATTGCTACCAATGGTTAGATTCCATGATCTACCTCCTGGATTCCCTCTCAGAAGAGTTCAACCCTCATTAATACACCTGTCCAGGTGCCACGAGGCCTAGCGAAAATGTATGCTGTGAAAAGGTTCTGTGAAGTACTATTTAAAGCAGTGCTTCTCAATGTTTATGTTGTTTATTTATATTATTGTGGCAATGACAGATTCGATATATATCATGGATGTCTAATTGTGGCTGTACTGCAGTCTGAGGGGTTTCATTAAGATGCCATATTTGACTATCAAATGCCCCCATGCAGTGCCACAACCAGGCTGTGAAATGCCACCCTGTCGCTGACCTCAGGTCCCCCTGGGTGTGCAGAAGCTCTGGAACAGCTGCTCTGCCTCAATCTGAAGTCGAACGCTCACATTGAGTGAGCCACACACACAAACACGCACACACACACACACACACACACACACACACACACACACACACTCTCACAGACTCAATCAGTAAGCTGCTGCACAGACAGCTGATCCTCGCCACTGTAAAAACAGACACAGTCGGGTTTGGAGGGGTCTCTGGACACAAAAGCAGAGCTGAGGCCCAGTCTAAATATGTACGCCTCCCTCTGATTGGCTGATCCACAGCGGGGCTGTCTGAGTTCATGTGGACTACAACTACAGGCCGAACACACTGTTCTGCTGCCTTTATTTCTGGCCTGCCTGGTCTTTCCCCCTTTATTTATCATGTGGACTGAATCAGCACCTGAACAGGGGCCAGCACTCCGGCTCACCAGTCCTCTGGCAGTTGCATAAACCTCGTCTCCTCATGGTTTCTGTTTACATTACTAGTATATTCTGCATTGAGAGCAGCAGAGAGAAAAAGTATTGTGCAAAAAAAGCATGATAAAGTTTATTTAGATGGTTTTGTTCTGCCTGTAGAAATGTTTCCTAATGAATGTGTGTGTGTGTGTGTGTGTGGGAGACAACCTGGAAATAACTAATGGCTTTGTGAGAGGGGTGCGGTTGCATGGCAGCGTCCCAGGCAGATTGTGGTGCCTGGAGGTATCCCATGACACGACTGTCTGTTCACACTCATGAGCGAGGGGGAGAGGAAATGTGAAGAGAGCTGGCAACCCCCTGTCTGTCTCAAACTTTAAGTGGCCTCCGCTCCTCTGGCACAATTGTTTCCTCATTCCCAGCACCCTGAAAGGGCTGATTTGATCTAATTAACATTCAACTGCCTTCTCGCTCTGAAAAGGCTCATTATCCTGCCAAAGAGCCCGTCCTGGCAAGGTTCCAGGAAACAGTCGAAGAGGGAGCGAAGGAAGGGCTGTGAGGGAGAAGTAAAGGTGGTCAGAGGTCTTTCAGGTTTGTGTATATTCTCATCCGGATCTAGCTGTGGGCGCATGAGTCGATACAGACCGCTCCATCACCGCTTATTGACTTTTTCCTCTCAGGATCTCAGTTGCTGTTAAAGGCATGAATCATCCCACAGGTTTGTAGTCAGAAACATGATCTTTCTCTTCTTGCAAGCAGATGCATTTTATATTCCTCACCACCAGGTTGTGTCCAAGTTCAGTTACCTCTTTGCAGACGGGACCAAAACAGGCCGAAGAGTTCAGTTCTGCTCTTACACTTTGGAGCCACTTGGTGACAGTGTAGACCTCACAATCTCTCCATAGAGCTGAGTCAGTGCCTTCCCCTGACTTTCTTTTACTCTTTATTGCACTTTGACGCTACTTTTCTCATTTAGTTGGATGCCAGCAGGTTGCTGCGTCACCTTTATCGCTGTTATGTTCATCTTTTTATCTTCTTGTATCTCCACTCTGACAGGAGGAGACTAAACAAGGGCAGAAGCTCTCAGAGGAGCCCCGCGAGACGTCAGAGCAGTTGCAGGTGAACTCAATGAATTAGATCATGAATGGCTCCCAACACAGATGCACGCAGAAGTTTAAGCATTAGAAAAACAGACATTGGGAATTTGTGAAATGACGGCGTTTCAGATTTGAAGCAGCCTGCGACCACATGAGCCCACGGAAATGCAAACGCTGTCAGGCACGCTGCTCTTTTTCTAGTGCTTGTCCCCGTCTGCCTCCGTGTGTTGCCGTCGGAGGAGCAGCTCGGAGCTGTTTCGTACATCAGCCGTGTGATAAACAGGCCGACTGGGGAGGCAGGGAAGGGAGGACTGGCTTCAAAGGCACAGCGAACACGCCGCATGACAAGTGATGCTGTTCATGCTTCCCCGGGCCTTCTGTGCCTCGCTTCTCAGCAGGCTGTTTCCTTTTTCATTCAGAGGACCCGTGGCCTCGTTAAGTTTGCACTCGGAAATATAGAAATAGCAGCAGTTCAGCTTCTTGGGTTTGAACTGTTTAGAGTGAGAGGAGGACATCAGCGCTGACCAGTCTTGTGAGGTCCGCTGGTCCTCCGGGCAAAAGGCCCCACAGAGCAGAGAAAGTGAGGAGCTCTAATTGGCATCTGGGTGGCAGCGGGAGACGTCCTGTTGGAACATGTGAGAACGGCTTCCCGTGAGGCCCCTGACGTCCTCTGAGGGGCCACACAGGAGGAAGGTGGAGAGGAGACGGTAAACAGGGATGAGCACAGATGCTCCGCCGTGTTCAATAACTGTATGAAGGAAGGCAACATGTTTACTTAACTGTGATTGGTCCAAGTGGAGCAGACAGCATCATACAGTCTCATGCCTGCAGTTTTTTTTCAATTCTTGATGACAAACTCTTTCTTTGAGAGACTGTCGGTCTTATATGTGATTGTTCTCACGCGCAGAGCCGTGTGTTGTCCCGGTTTTCTCTGGGGTTTTAGCAGACAGACACACAGACTCTTTCTCTTTTGATCTGCATCAGATTACACAATCATCTATCAAAGAGGAGCTTTCAGAATGAATGAAAATCCCCCCAAACATGTTTTTTTTTTTTTTTGGTCCCACTTGTCTACATATTGCCCTTTCCAAATCTCTTTTCATGCCCACCCCATGCGGAAATGTCAGCTTTCCTTTCCCTGATCCTTCAGACAGACAGTTTTAAACGTGCTGCTTGTTTTACTCACGCAGGAGACGGAGAACCAGGAGGCCAGCACAGACCTCAACGTCCCCACCTCAAAGGAGGAGCAGGAGGAGTATCTGCGCTGGAAGAAGGAGCGCGAGCAGATTGACAGGGAGAGGGTGGCCCGCCATAAAAACGCCAAGGGTCAGTGGAGACGCGCATGGGACATGGACAAAACTGAGAACATGTAAGATCCCTCAACACTCAGCTCACCAAATGTTGCAGAAGTCACGTCACTGTCACTTTATTTATTTGCTAAATCCGGCTGAATAGATTCAATCTCATCCTATCATCCTTCATCGTATTACTTCCTTTTTATTATCTTCTTACTACAACTTTTTCTATCAAATTTGATCATTGATGGTTCATTAATTTCATTAGCTGGCTAAATTTGGCCTGGAAGCAGCAATGTGAGCCTGATATTGTCCTAGATCATTTAAATGCTCTAAAACTCACTGCATGCCATATCTTTTTTCATTAAATCTTTGCAGGAATATGCTATCTTAATAATACAATCACAGATGACCTCTAATTTCTTGTAGGATTTCCAACCAGATTGTATTCAAACAGTTTTGAAAGGGGCAGGTTTTGGTGGAAACAACACATGTTCTTTTTATCTATGTGTATGACATGATATGTAAAATTCTCATGACCCTGCTGCCCCTGGTCTGAGTGTACGTCTGAGTCCCTGTTCTGTTGTAAAAAGTATATGCTGCAAGTATTTTATCTGAAGAACAAACTGGTTAGATTGAATCAACCAAAGATCACCACATGGTTGATGACAAGGTCCAGCCTTGAGAATGTCATGTTTTAGGAATGCGTTCAGGGAATTCTTTCAACTTTGGTACACACTTCACAGAGAAGCTGGAGAGAAGATGGCTGAAGCCACAGAGAGGTCTCCCAATTGTTTTTGGATGGACCGTTTGATGCCTGAAGTTGGATTTTGAGTCTCGGGTCTTTTTTTTTTTGGAAACAAGAATAGGGAAGAAACTCTGCTCATCCATATAACGACTTACCACCTCACACTGCTTTAATTTCTGTTTTCTAATGTGCAATTTAAAAAAAGACTTAAAACTAGAGACTGAAACTGTGCTAATGAGGTAACAAATAAGAAGTAGCAATAACAGTCTTCTCCTTAGAAAATAGCTTTTAATTAACTACTTTAATTTTGATTCATCACCTTGGTCCCCATTCATCTTCAAAGCCACGCATTGAATCTGTAATTACGATTAGATCTCTCAATCTCAACAGGGCACAGGACGTTGGACAATGACAATAAATGGTTGCTTTTCAGCCGTTATTGTATTTCCCGTCTGATCCTAAGACTCTATCTGTGGTCGGCGTTGTTCCGAAATGAACAGCGTGCTTAAAAACCTTCTGGATCCTCCGGCCTAATGTCTCTTGGTGAGATCACGTGGTCAATCTGGCTGGTAGAAAAAAGCAGTCCATTTAGTAGAAGTGTTTGTTACATTTCAAACAAACCAAGCCGGAGTACAAAGAGGAAATTAATGTGCTGTTAAGGAAGCATTAAAATGTAAAGAGACAAGGGAGGAACTGCTATTTATAGCTCGGGATGGAATGCGTTCCCTTATTTGGCGAGGCTTAAACAAGACCCCTGAGTAAGAACACAGGAGGAAATGTGTCCTTTATTCAACAGCATAGTTTCTGCAGATGCTACATGTTGGGGTGTGACTGGTGGAGCGAAACCTTTTATTGCCTGTGAAATTTCCAGTCGCTGTGATAAATGTTCTGTGATTAACTGAAATGTCAAAGAAGCCTGATTATGGGCTGTAGATGAGCTGGAAAGGATTTATTACACTCAAACTTGATCAAGACCCACCATGAATTGCCTTTTGCTTCCCTCTAAACTCAGTGTTTGCTTGTAGGTTTCCAGACAAGTCCCCGTCCGATAAAGACTGGGGGCCTTCGAGCAGAGGTAAGAACGTGGCCAAACAAAAGGAGGGAGACTTTTGACATCTGAATAAGATGGTCAAACTTTTTTTTCCTACTGTTTCAGGGGGAAGAAATGCAAGAAGAGGGCAACAAAAAGCTGGCAGTGATTCCAGAGGTACAATTGATATCATTTATTAAATAAATATGCCTGTATCAGGCAGAAAAGCTGAAAAAGTGCCTTGTATTTTTTTTTTGCCACAGGTCATGATAAAAGGGGTAAAGACAAGGCAGCTAAAAATGTGCTTGTGATGGGCAGTAAAGCTAAAGGCAAAGATCGTCTGACCGGAAGGGCCAGGAGGTCAGTAAAAACCCGACATAACCTGCCCTATATTTCAGTTCCTTCAGCCGTTTACCCACTACAAACTCAATTAATCGTCATGAGACAAATGCCAATGACTAATAAGAAACGTAAATAGGATGTGGGAAAGCCATTTTGTTTTCCCTCACTGTGCCCTTGTGTACAAATTCCCCCGAATGTCATGAGACTTGATTTAGAATTCGTGGCAGCTGATTAAATAACCCAGAAGGCCTCATTTGTATCTCTCTGCAGTCAGATTACAAAACTGGAGGCTGTGTTTTCCAAAAGTTGCTGTTTTACAAGCACCGCATGGTGTTTTTTTTTTTAAGCCATGAGACCGTGGAGCTGGAAGGGAGGTGTTATGCAGAACTATATCTAGAAACGTAATGTGCTCAGTGAGTGGAAGCGGATGTGGGTCAGGGAGCTGAGGTGCCTCCTGAGTTGGCAGCAGATTCGAGTGCTTTGAGAGGCAGGAAAAGGACAAAAAGCCCAGACCAGCTGCAGCTCAGAAGGTCTTAGCCCAATAACTTTAATCACAGTCCACCTTTTCCACTCATCAGAGTCGGAAATTGAAGTCCAAATTGCTCCCAGAGGTCTCACCATCACCTTTCATGATTTCCAGTGGGGTGTGAGCCTGCAATTACCAGGCAAATTGAAAATCCCTTTTAATAAATGCTGTTTACAAAACTCAGTTTGCAATTACATATTCTCTGACAGCACAATTCCATTACAAAACAGTATGTGATGCTGTTAGAAATGAATAACTTCAACAACAATTTTCTGTAAGTGCTATGGAACGGAGGAGAGCAGCTCTGGTGGTTATGATTAAAAAATCCCCTCTCCTTTAGTGCTTGATATAATCTGTAGTAGCTTTTGTTTCACAGTGAGCCAAATGTTCCAGTCGTTCTGGACTGCAGTCAGTTCAGTACAGCTCACTGACTCAGCTGCTACAGATTTACACCGAATGTGCGTCTGCAATATGTTGCTTAAATAAACAGGACATTCCTTATGGTGAAAGAAAACAAACAAACATCTGGATGGCAGGAAATTATTGTTGAAAGTTACTCCCCCACATACAGTATATATTCAAAGGCTTTGTGCTCGGTTAGCTCTCCACCTCAGCTGAATTCTGCTTATTTGGATTTCAGTTTAATGTATTTTCAGGGCAGAATTTTGTTTTTATTCATGGTATTCTGCTTTAAAACTCTGCATGATATCAATATACACCATAAACTACAATTATCAGCAATCTTGTTTATTATTTTTTAGCATGTTTTCCTTTCTTTTGTTGCTTGAGTACAAAAAATAAAAATCAATAGTCGACTCAATGACTTCCAGCGTCTAACAGAATATGCTTTGCCTTCAGATGGCAACCGAGTGATGATGAAGGGAATCCACAGGTGAGAGATCGAACAAATTCAGATTCAAAAGTATGGCGTTATAGATGAAAACACCTGTCTGCTTTTCTTGTCTCATCTCGTAGACTTTTAACGCAACACTGGAGGAATTCCTAGAGGACCTGGAAACCCTCACAGAAGCTGAAGGAGACGATGTGAAGGATCAGGACTCAAAAGAGAAGGCGTCCCCCAGCCCGGACTCACTGAGCGCCTCTGAGGAAGTGAGTGGGTCGGCGGCTCTGGTGTCTGCTGAGAGTTTGAGAGAGGACACCCTCGCTGAGGGGAAGGCAGAAGCCTCGTCCCCTCGGGGATCAGAGAAGAAAGTACGTTTCTCAGAGGAAATCGTCCAGAATGTTCCCGTCGGACAAGACTCAGTCGGCTCAGAATCCAGGGGCTCGCTCAAAGCCTCCTCACCAAAAAACAACAAGCGAGAAGCGCGCGTGAGTGTCGGGGAAGATGGCGGTTGTTCTCAGGCTAACGGAGGCGTCCCCCCGACTGATCCCGTCACGCCGCCGCCTGAAGCCCCTGAAACAGACAGAGACCCCGCCCCGGCGCCCAGCCCCCCTCCCGCCGCAGAAACAGCCAGTGCCTCGCCACCCCAGATGCCTGTCCAGCCAGCAGAGCTGGCCAAGTGCAACATCAGCAACGCCAACGCAGGTACGCCGCGTCCGAGATGACCGCCCCCCCCCCTGGCGCTCCGTGCCATAAACCAATCCCGTTCTTTTTCTTCTCCCAGAGGAACTCATAGACTCGGGCCTGTCCGTCTTAAGCCTGGAGTCAGGAGAACCACACCCAGCACACTCCACCAGCAGTGACAAGGTCAGTGTTGGGGTGGGGTGGGGGGGGGGGGTGGGGGGGGGGTGAGTGGACCGATGGGGAGTGGAGCTGCAAATGGCCGACAGGCTAAATGGATGAACCGAGGCAGGCAGCATATCTGCACTGCGGCTCTGATCCAAGTATAGTCCCCACCTCTGAGGTCTGATGGGGAGCAGATAATACCTCCTCATCTCATCATCCACTGGAACACATAATATATAACCGCCCACTCAAATCATTCATATAGAAAAGCGGTAGGCATGAATTACATAAAATGCGAATTATAGAAAAAGAAGTCCCAGTCTCAACTGCTGGTTTTTAAATCATGTTCTTCTTTTGTTTGCAGGCACGGGAGAATGGGAAGATTGTTTGATGTTTTTTGGATGTAAATACTAAAACCAAAACACAGCATTTTGATGATTTTTGCTTTTTATGGCTTACAAGCGAAACTGTGTTGTTTTTTTTTGTTTCGTTGCCGTGGCGCACCCCACCTGTTGAGTCTAAGATTTGACGTAAGCACGGGGAGTGTTTCTGAACAGTAACACACTGAAATCTCGTCACGTCCAAGCACTTTATGCGTATACAAGCCTGTGTGCTGACACCTTCAGTCTGTTGGTATGCTGCTTGAGTGCAATATCATTGAATGTTTACATATCTGTGAAATGTCTAGGTACATATCAGGTGGCTACATAATCAAGAAAACTTATATAGCCCTTGAAAATAAACTAAGCCCCGGTCAAATGATCTAGTGCCTGATTCTGCTTTGATGGTATTCCGAATAAAGTCTGTAAAATTTTGATGCAGACCGACTGTGGAGTTTACATTACTGCACTAAATCCTGTCTAGGCAGACATTGTTTATGCACCAGCCAGTGGCCTCTCACTAATGAGAAATCTCTGCATTACTGACCTGCACACTGGGATTTAACCTGTGACCAGCACTCAGTTTCCAAAATGTCCTCCTTCTTGCCACTGACATAAACGCATCTATTTGAAAGATGATGTACAGGGTCACTCCATCTATTTGACTTCTCAGTATTGGTTCATTGGAAGAGCAGCTGTATTATGTATCCTATGAGTTATTCCTGATTTAATGGTAACCGGGAAACTCTGTTTTTAAGTGAGGAAGAACTATAGAAAACACAGTGCAAACTAATCAGTAACTCGGGTAAGGTTTCCCAAAAAAGAGTAAATGCAAAATATTACTTAACTCATTCTTGATCCTATAGGCGTTAGTAATTGAATCCTTTCTTATTTTAGACTTACAAGCAATTGTTAGTAATGGAAAACTTATTTTAAAAAAGCAAATAATTCCCATGTTCACCAAACAAATGGACCTCAGAAATTGTTCGATTTAGACTCCTTATTTTTCAAAACAGGGTACAAAAAAGATGCTGCTGATAACCTGATGAAAAGCTCAAATTTGCCAGATACTGCAAGTCAAATTAAGGAGTTTGGCCATTGTGAAACCTACTGTTTTACCTTTTCAAGGTAAACTAAAGAGTAAGTGAAGAACAAAATGCTTCACGTGTAAAAATATAAAACTAAAATCTTCTTACAGGTACTCCCTAAAGTTTTACAGCTCAGCCCCAATCAACAGGCCTTCCTTTGATTATAATTATAATTATAAACTTAGTCCGTTGTAATGTATGAGGATCAATTAGAAAATAAATACTTCCACTTAAATAGTTTGCTCAAATAGTTTTTTCTATCTAAAATTTTAGCCCCTTTGGAACAAGTTTCAAAATGCTGTATATCATCCAAATCTATGACGATTCCACATTATGTTTCAGCAATGGGATTATGCTGTAATTCCCATTTCATTTAATTGCGTTATATCTTTTAATAAAAAAAAGTCAGCTACTATTTCTCAGAAAAGCTTTCCTTTGTGAAGAAATCAGCTGGCTGTTGTGCCTTGATTTTTAGTTTCTTCAACATTAATTGTGTACATTAATTTCATTGCTTGTATCATAACTCCTACATGCTCTGCATTGACATTGCAGCATTCTTTATTTTATTTATTTGCATCTCCATGTGGACAATTGAAAACATCAATTTTTCAGTGACATGAATGATTTCCTTTTTATTTATTGCCAGTTTGCCGTTTTATTTTTGGCATCAAACGACAAAGAGCCTTACCAGAACTCTGCTCTCAAAAAGGTTTTAGGCTTTCATAAGCAGTTATGCAAACCTGGAGGAGACAACACAGAGCTCATCAGCTTCGACTGAGGTTCCATCAAACACAAAACATCAGGAATGTACTGGACGTACGTGGAGGAAAAACAAGATGAAAACTACGATGTCTGATGCCAGTCCATCCATGAAGAAAGAATAATAGTAGAGGCCTTATTTTCTGTCCTACGAGTAGAACAGGTGGTCATTGACGCCTTTAAAACTATGGATTTCAATACAGTTTAGAGCCTACAATCATAGAGCAGTTATGTGTCCTATTAATTTTAGCTAATATCCCCATTCATTGACTCTTTCCCTAAATGACAGATGTAAGAGGTGATGTGGGGTACACAGATAAGGATTGTACATATGAGTGAGGGAGGTGTGTTTCAGCTTTTTGCTGTTTGAAATCTCACGCTGTATTTGAATCTGTTTGGCAACAAGGCTACACATACTGTAGAGAAATGAATGCTGCACACCAAACATCAATAAAACATTTCAGCATTTCAGACAGTCCTGTGACTGGTGTCATTGTCATCCCACCCCCCCCCCAACCCACACCTGCAGTCACAAAGCAGATGTATTAAAAAAATAATTCACCTGAGATCGTTTTAAAAAAACGGAAAGCCACAGTGATTTTAATTTCACCCACCGTCTGCCTTCAGGTTGAATTAGATTAAATGAGGATGAACTCTCTGCAGGCTTGCTGCACTTGAAACGTGTGGGATTTCCCACAGGTGCCACCATTTTAATTATCTCCTCCCAAGGCTATCTCCATAGCAGCCCTGCCTCTCTGTGACCTACAGCACCATTTGTACGGCAGCCTCGGTTCTGTTGAAAATGCGTTGAGCTGCTTTCTATTTAGCTTTAACTTGAAGCTTTTTGATCTCTGCAAATAGATAACACCCACCTTTTGTGGTTAGAACTATCCTTGCTCACTTTTTGCTAAGCTGATGGTTTAAGGGTTTGACACATTAGTGCACTTCAGTGGGGGCGTTGCTGTTATGGAAATAAGTTCTGTAGGCTGCGTTAGAGGATTGGAGTGCGGCGTAGGATTATGTCAGCTGAACTCTGCAGAGGAGAGAGGCTTCATAAGCTTGATTTCATGAGGACAGAAGAGCTTTATATTTGGTTTGGTGTTCAGGCCCGTGTTCATAGATGACACTGCAATCTGTCTCTACGTGCAACAATATCCTTTTGTTTTGCAAATCTGTGGCTCCCAGAAGAGTTTTCTCAGACAACAGCATTCTATGTTTTGGCCAGCAATCTGCAACCATCTGCTTAAAGACAGAGAAAAACACAATCCTATCAAATATGGCATCTTCATATCCTTCAATTGACCAGCTGGTTTGTATATAATATCCATGTGCATTATATTGTATATAAATGCAGTCATCTCACATTAGTTTAACAGTCAGAGATGCACAAGGTGTCTGATTACAGCTGATGGATGGGGGTTCAGAGGACGTGAGGCCTGGCCTGGGTCAGCTTAGTGACCCTGACAGAACCTGACAGGTTGACCATCCCCACTGAGCGTGTGCGTCATCCCTTCTGCCCCCCCCCCTCTCACCTCCCCTTTTCTTCGACCTGGAATCACCAGGCCAGGATTGGAAAGGTGTTCCTGCTGGTCTGAGGTCAGCTCAGTGTCTCCTAATCTAATTGGCAACACACTCATAAAAGAAGACCCAATGTTTCCATTAGGGGTCCAAAGAAAAGGTCCTGCCATGGTACCCTTGATGTTTCTCCATTTACTAAGCGGGAACATAAATACCTCTCAGGCCCCCAAAAGTACAAGTGTTCTTATCTGCCTTATCTGACATTTCTTTTGTTTTGGAAAAAAAATCCTCTGAGTTCTTGAGCTAATCTCCAGAGTTATGGTACCAGATGTTCTGTTTTAGCGTAACATAAATAAACTGATTGGTAGAGATGTCTCACTCAAGTTTACGTTACTGATCTTTATAAGAAACAATATAGCTGGTGTACCAAGAGGTCAAACTAGATATGAGGGGTTTGAAGATATATCAAATTAAATTAATTTCTTCTGCAAGGTTGCAGGACGGTTGTAAATGTACAGTTTGATGAGGGGGCCTTTACACACTCGTTGCCTGAACTGTGTCACAGAACCTCATGAATCTCATGCTGAACTCTTTTTAAAAAACGTGATGGTGTAATCGTTTGGACTGAAAAAGGTCCAAGAACCGAGCTTTTGCGCTGCGTCCTGACTCAGATGTGTCTTCTAACTGCCACTAGCTGTCAGCACAGATGAACACCCCCATCATTACTCCCTGAATGTGTCACAAAAAGCCAAGCCATATTCTAGAAACGCGTCGCCTGAGACTAGCCTGTAACTAATCCAGTCATCGCCTTACACACAATCTGTGTCGTATTTTTTTCAGTTTGTGTTTTGTTTCTTCGACTTGCTCCTGCTGCCTTCCCTGATGAATGGAGCTCCTGTTTAGCACAGCAGACACTCTGGCTTTGCTCCTGAAAATCTGTCCCATTAGCACAACAGTGCATGTCATCAGCGTGCGCATCACACCGAGGTGTTGGCTGCTCCACGGAAACAGAGTGGTTCTTATTTTGAGCGTAATAGTGAATAACGCTTGTCACAGCCAGCACAGAAAACCAAAACCGTTCAGCCAAACGCTCCGTTTCAGAAAGAGCCGGATTAAAATAGCACATTGTGTAATGCGTTCTTCTGTGCCGTACAGTACAACAACAGAGAGCTCTGATCGATACGCCTCCCTCACAGGCATGAGGGGTGGTTGGTCTTATTTCCACTTCAGAGTTCAGCACATGTGACTGTGTTGAAGTGGTTTAAGTGTCAGCTGGGAGATGAATGCATCTCAGTCACTCCCTCTGATCACACACTGAACAGTCCAGTTGGGTAACTGGAAAAAAACTTCACCCAGATCAGAAGAAAACAAACTGAGCCTACTTTGTGCAGTGCTCAGTGCTCTTTTTTTGGTTTTGTTTTATCGTTGCTTTTAACCGTGTGATCCTCAAAATGCCCTTGAAGTCCGTATGTGAAATGAAATATACAATGCTAAGCAAAACCTATGATTTATTTGGATCTATATCATCAATCATGGCTCTGAATAAACAAAATATCATTAACATACAGAATAATGTCTCAATTTACATAGCTCTAATATAAAACCATAGAAATGAATAATTTTCTAGGGATGTTTATTTTTTGTACATTGTGATGTAGTTATGTTATCATACATACTGTACCTTTCTTAAAAATGATGTAATTACACCAAAATCTAATCAAGGCCAAAAGATGTATGTCTGTCCTATATGTACAACCAAATCCACATTACATTTACATGGTTATATGCACATACTGTACCTGAGCAGAACTTAATAACGCAGGTTCTTCTAATGGAAACCCAGGGTTTGATCCGTTAAAGAAAATACAGTCTCTATGTTAAAATGCAACAACTGATTTAACCCAGCTGGTAAATGGCAGTGATTTGAAGGGCCGGGTGCATGTGAGACATACTTACGTCCCGAAAAAACTAAAAGCGTTACCGGGCCATAGCCCAGTTACTTAAAAAAAATCTCTATATCAGTTTGGTCCACTCGTTCGGTGGCCTCAAAAGCTGTGAGAGGTAACATAGACACATGACCTTAAGGCATACAGATGGCCTAGAACAAAAGAGGTGGACAGATAAGGGGTTCTTACAGGCTCTCGTCTTTCCTTGGTCATCAAAAGGAGTTATGGGTTATTAGGTGCAGTTCAGCATCCATCACGGGCTCTGCAGGATTAGTTCAAAGCAGAAGGCCTGTGTCGTCCCACCTGCCGTACCAGGAATGTACTTAAAATCCATCTCGGGGTTGGTTATTTTTCCTTTTTCTTTTTCTTCACGTTGGGAATGGTGTTATGCTGGACATTAGCCCGGGTCGGTGACCTCTCTGGTGGAGATGGCCCCCTATCTGTCCCTCAGGTCGGAGGGACGGTGGCTCCCTCTGCGGCCGCCCGCTCCAGGCCGCGTTTGTCGGTCCCCGCCTCGCCTCTGCTCCCCTCCTCCTGCGGGGTCAGCGCCGTGGGGGGGTCTCTGGTGCCCGGCTGCATGTGCTGGCTCGACCTCGTCTGAGACGCGTGCGTCTCACCACCGGACGGGCTCGATCTCTGCGCGCTCGTGTGGCCGGTGGAGGACGCGTCCTCCTGCGCAAAGTGCGCAGTTTCTGCCCTTGCGCGGAGAGGGGAGACGGACAGTCTCTCGGCTCTGTCGTCCATCCGAAGCGGCAGACTGAGCGGGGTCGTGCCCTGGCCGGCGTGGCTGACCGGCAGCAGCGTGGTCTGCGTAGAGTTCCACTCTGAGATGCTGCTGTTCGCGGACATTGTTGTGTCAGTGGAGATGTTCGCGGTGGGGGTGACCCCTCCAGGCACCCCGGGCTTCCCGCCAGAGGAGGATGCGCTGGTCGGTTTCCAGATCAGGCTGTAGTAAATAGCCAGGATAATGGCTGCTAAGGACACCGACAACACATATGCAAAAACAGTGGCTAGTCTCACCCACTTCTTGTTAGTCTTAGCAGCCATCTTAGCCTTTTTGTCCCCGGTGTAAGTAGCAGGTTTGCCCCTCTCCATATTGGGCATGAAGTCCCGCTCTCTCATGTTGCCCCTATTTTTTCCTCGATGCTCCACCACCCCCTCCGTTTTGAAGGCTTTCTCTTATCCCTAATCCAAGAGAAGAGGGAGAAGCAGAGTGCTGAGGATAAAGATGCTGGATCAGTCCTCCGCACCGCAAAAAAAAGATAGAAAAGCCCGACTGGGTTTTTTTCCCCCTTAATTCATCTCAGAAGCACTTCGCTTCATATTCGGTACCCAGCGCAGCATTGCGTTTCATATAGCGCACGTCGAGCATCCACAGTGTGATTGCGCGTTTCAGCATCCGAGAGCGGTGGGACAAATGGAAGCCCTACATACGAGGTTCCCAGACAATAGCTGTCTGCAAGGCCCACGGCGGGATCCGGAGGACGGGATTTGATGTCATCTATCACGGCGATTTTGTGCGATCATAGGGTACACAACTCTGCCTTAGCCAGCAAATGAAGTAGCTGGCTCAGCTAAAAATACAGGAGAGGGGGCGGGCGGTGGCTCTTAAAGCACCAGCAGCTGGGCTGCAGCTCTGGAACAAACCAAAAAAAAAAAGACAAAAAAGAAAAAGAAATGAAACGTCACCCTCATATGAGGACGCTCATGGAGGGCAGGATGTTGCAACCGGGTGCGAACACTTGTTAGATCCTGCGGAGCCCTCACACGCGCGCACCCACGTGGATGATAAGTGCATGAGATAGCCTAACATTGAGGCAATTCAGTTATTCTGATGGAGATGTGTGACTTCTGCAACGCCTTTATAAGTTTTACGCTCATTTAAGCAGTCAGACAATAGAAAAATCTCCCACGTTTTGCGTCATTTTAGACCTTAACGTGAAGTGTTTTCAGCACAATGGACAGCGAAAGGCATGTGTCGCTGGCTGCAAACATTTGGAAGCTGCCAGGCAGAGCTGAGGAGTAAAAAGCCAACATCTGAACTGTGGTATGCAGTGTTTTAAAAATGGTTAAAGTGAATTTGTCGACATGACACAAATATCCATGGAACAAAGTAGATTAATGGCTTCATTTCACATTTTTAATTTTTTTTAAATTTTTCTTTGAAATATTGATGTTACATTCAGTATTTTGATCGTATTGTGACTTTATTTCAGACACAGTTCTTTGCAAAAGCCACGCCTAATTTATTTATTTATAATAACTAAACTTTCTTAAATCTTAAATTGCTTTTGGACAATTTTTCTGCAGGCATTTGGAAGGTCTTTTCACTTGTTTCCCCTTTTTATTTGGCACTTCTTTTAGTTTACCTTTTCAGGAGAGTGTGTTTTCAAGGTAAAAACATTTGCATGAATTTAGAAGTGGAGAAAAATTTACCCATCTCATAGAATATACTGGTGTTTTACAGGTAAATAACAACAGCTATTGTAAGCAAAGCACTACCAAAGTTAATTAAATGGTCTTTCCCAACCTTTTTTCTGGTCTGAGCAGTCATTTGAACAATATTCAGACAGTTGCCAAGGTGAGGAAGCACATTGTTGCTGAACCTGAGCTGCCATCCCTGTTGGTTTTTCTTGTTAGCTGCTTCAGTGCTCGGCAGGACGGCCATCAGCTGTAATGTGGGTTTGACACGGTCACGCGCTTTGCTCTTGTCATCGGCATCTTGGATAAACCGACCCTGTGGTGATTCCCCACACATCTCTGCTGTGGTCCCTGACTGGCTGACTGTTTGCATTAGATATTGCTCATTTGGAAAGTTTATTTGAATGATATCCAAATAGCCCCGGGAGCCTTTGTTGAAACAGCAGTCAACATCCTGCTTTGAGTAATAAATGATGCCATGACCCCAGACCAATGGTTGCTGTGGTATAACTTGATTTAATGATTTAATATCTAAGAAAATGTGAAATAAACTGCATGTAGTGGTGCAGTCAGAAGAGCCATTCGATTAAATTATCCACATAAGGGACCAAATAGCTAAAAAATTAACCTTTTCAACCTGGGAGCAACATAACCCTGGAGCCTGCATCTCTCAATTGTTTGTTTTTCTATTTCTACTTAATTATTTTGGTGTCAAAAAGTAATTATTTTTATTCAAAATGATAGCTTATGTGAAATCAGCTCTGTTATTTATAAAAGAGTCTATTCACATAAAAACACAAAGAACATTTTCTCAATCCTCATTTGTTCTGAAACCATTCAAACTAAAAAACACGTCTGAGTAAAAGGTTTTTAATCTTTAATGGGTATATTTTCTAATCCATTTTCTCTTTTATCTTTAAAACTTAAAAAAACGTTGACCTTTTATTGACTTCTTGAGTATTCCGAAATATCACATACAGATATGAAATTAAGTTGGAAACATTTGGCACTTTGGATTTATTCACATGTTGGATTACAGGGCTTTGGATCTTTAGAAAGTTTGGTGGCCTTTAGTCATGTTTCATGTTTTTTCTCTCAACTTGATTTGCAATGCATATTATCTGGGGTGCGTCCCGACTACAGTCAGATCAGCTGAGCTCCAGTTTAAAGTATCTTTTCAGTGGAGATGGAGAGATAATCTGGTTATGAGCATAGCCATGGTGGACATCCAGATACTAACTACATTTTAGTTATAGTATTACTGGACAAAGACCAATTTAGAAGGACAAAATGAATAAGAAAAGATATTTTCTGGACCCTCCAGAAGTCAAAGACTACCTGCTAAAAGGAGAAAGATTCACCAAGTGGTCAGAGGTGAGAAAAATTAAATAAGTAAAAATTAGATTTCTGAAAAGTTACACTTGTGGTGAACTTTAATTTATAAACTGTCCATAGTTTGTAGTTTTATGTGGCTTCTTTAAAGAGGACACAAAGTTTTCCTCAAATTCAAATATATATATTTGGTTTTGAGCTTTAACTCAGCTTATTTGAATTCAGTCTACAAAAATATTTCATTTGAGCCAATCCAGTTCAGAATCAATACTTGCATCGTATTCAAAGTCTCTGTGTCTGGATTTTTTCTTATACTTTACGAAGGACTCAACAAAGACAGTTCCAGTCACCATGAAGATGGATGCAAAAGGTTTTTATGTCTACTGGATGAACCAAAGCAAGGTAATCAATATCTAAAGTCAGGAAAAGAAAGGAGGTCAGGCTTTAGCACACATGAAATACTAAACAAAGCAGTGTGACCGATGTTATGCAACTTTTGCCCTGTAAAAATGACAAAAGATTTGGTTTATATTCTTGCAAATGTTGTTTTATCCCTTGTATGCCAATATTGTTTTGTTAACCATGATGTATTGGGTGCATAGCATTGGAAAAGTGGTTCTGTGATACAATCATTTCACACGTGCTTGACGCTCTCCACATAGATGCTTCAATTAAGACAGCTTTAATAAAAGTGGCTTCAAACAGAGGAAGTCATGTCCTACTTTCACATCCATTGTGAGAGTAATATGCATGTGTTGAGGCACAAACCTGTATGCACGTTGCTTTAACAAAATAGCAGTGAGGTATTTTCACATGTAGTCCATCTCATAGTATCCGATCTTTGCCAAACGTTGCTTTGTTTCTCAGTCCTAATTTGGCTTAATGCCTACATGTTGAATTTAGTGTTGGAGACATTCTCTGCCTCTCGTTTCTAGGAAACAACATTCCTGGATTTAGCAACCATCAGAGATACAAGAACAGGAAAATATGCTAAACTTCCCAAAGTGAGTATATCTGAAGCGTTGTTTAATGGAGTAAACTGGTGTCTTAACACGCTCAGTCCAGAGGATCTGCCTCTTGTGTGAGATTCTCTGCAGCTATGCAAATATGGTGTCAAGCCCTTACTTTGCCCATTAAATTGAGAAGCACATTTGCATTGCAAAAACAGCAGTGCACAAAAGTACAAGGGGCAACTCCCCAACACAGAAACACACAGATTCACTGGCACACAAACAAATATAAAAACACACGGTACTTCAGACAGAGTTATAGTTAGACTTCTATAAGCGAGCACCCTTTTCTCTTCAGTTTAAAGTTGGCAGTTGTATTTTTAGTTTATTTCCATCCCCCTGAGGCATCCAAAGAGTCGTTTCGTGGCTCCCCTGAGGGCTGCTTCATATTGTTGGGGTTCAGACAGAGCACATCTTTCTCCTCGGCCCCCTGGGGAGCTTTCAGGAGAGCTGCTCCGGTGCTGACGTCCGTCCTCCATCACTGAGAGGAGAATGGGAGCGATTGATTGTGGGGAGGCACGAACAGGAAGGCAGCACAGAAAGTATTGGGTCTTTTTTTTCTCGTCCTGTCTTGTTTGTTTTGTGTCAGAACAAATGAGTGTGCATGTTTGTGTGTGCAAATCTCAGTGCATTTGTGCATGTTTGCATGTCCCGGTCACAATATTTGCCTGAGTAAGTGAAGCCTCCAGATGTCCAATCAGTGCAAATAGTATGCGCCACAGACTTGAACTCAGCTTCCTTTAAATAATGGGAAAAGTTCAACATATGAAACAGACTCAAATGGGTCGAAGAATATATCCTATACCGTTTTAACCCTCATTTTCTTTTCAAAGCATCCAAAAGTCCGCAATGTGTTCAACCTGGACTTCCCGGACAGCAACCATCTTGCCAAAACCCTGACCATCGTCTCAGGTCCAGACACAGTGAATCTGACCTATCACAACTTCTTTGCCTCCAAGGAGAAAATAACTCAGGTAATAAACAAGAGTGCATGAGCCTGAATCTGCATTTTACGGGCGCTGCCTATTTCCTCAGCTGTTTACAGTATCAGTGTCATTTATCCTCTGCCATTGCTCAAACCCACCCACAGGCCATGAGACATTACACAACCGGTAGTCTTTGTTTCCCTTCCAATGAGGCACCCTCTGCTGCCCTCTCAGTTTTATTAGACTTTATGACTCCAACATCCAGATTTAATCATCTCTAATAAAATTACTATTGTTCTTTGTTCAAAGGCAGGGTTCGCTGCCTTCTTTTTCTGAGGTACCACTGAGTTAACACCCTCTGGTGGAGAGTTTGAAAAGCTTTCACAATGTGTTGTGTCTCAGCTCATTTTGACATTGAATTTAAAGAAACACCCCTGTTTACTTTTCTCGTTATTTGGACTATAGAACTGGGCTAATGACATTCTTGCAATTGCCTACAATGCCGCAAGGAACAATTCATGCAGACAAGTCTTCCTGGACAAAATGTAAGTGAACATCGTGCAAACCGTAATGTGCTTGTAGATAGATTACCCCCAGTTACATCATGCATTATAAATGTTCTGTGAATAGTGACGGAAATCTCTTAATTTCATTTCAGATATGTTCGCATTTCTCTTCAGACCAACAAGGATGGCAAGATCCCAGTGAAAAAGTAGGTTGCCGTACAAGCAAGTCGGTTCGTTGACATTTGCATATTTTCACCTCAGCGTTTCACTTGTGTTTTCTCAGCATTTACAAGATGTTCCCTGCCGATAAGAAGAAGGTTGAAAGCGCCTTAGCAGCAGCACACCTCCCCAAAGGAAAGGTCCCAAATGAAACCTTCTCTGTTCAGAAATAAATGTCTAATTCAGCCTTTTTTTCTACCAGTTTCCCAATTAGTGTCCAATAATTCAATGGGAAATGTTTTAATTTGATTTAGTACTTCTTTGTACAACCAACTATCTTAGGGTCAGATTTAAGGTGAATGTTTTGCGTTCAAGGTCTGACATGAAATCACTTATTTTTTCAGTATGACAGCATGAAGCCTGATGTGTTCACTGAGTCTGCCTTCAGGGTCTTCCTGACAAATCTCTGCCCTCGGCCTGAGATCTTGGAAATCTTCACTTCTTAGTGAGTCCACCTCTGTTCTGTACTGCTCATATCATAGTTCTGCTAAATCCGTAAAATCATAGCTATCTTCCCTTTTTATTGCGTCTTATCATTTTGGCGTCATTTTAAATATCCTTTTTTGACTACCCCAATATTCCCAAATGTTTCTGGTCTAACTTGGCCTTTCTGGGGGATTTTACTCCCGCACAGGCTCATGTCACAGATAGTGGGCCTTGATGAATACAAGCCTCTTCTGATTCATTTATGATTTGCCTTTCAAGCCTTACTTTTTACCTTACTGTAGCTCTAACAAACCCACAATGACGAAGGACAATTTCACCAAGTTCCTCAACGAGAAACAGAGGGACTCCCGGCTCAACGAGGAGTTGTTTCCACGTCTGCGGCAGGACCAGATCAAAGCCCTGATTGACAAATATGAGCCCTGCACCAGTAATTCCAACAGAAGTGAGGCTCCTAGGGGAGACGATGGTATTACGCTGCTGTACATTTGCTCTCAGGGTTTCAGCCTCTCTCGTATTCTTCTGCAGGTCTGATTTCTCCTGAGGGGCTTTTGTTCTACTTGATGGGTCCAGAGACATCCGTAGTTGTGCAGGACAAGCTGGCCAAATGCCAGGACATGACCCAGCCGCTAAACCACTACTTTATTAAGTCTTCCCACAACACTTACCTAACAGGTCATTTACATCGCTTTGCTTTCTGCTCAGAAAGAACGATTTTATTTTGATTTGCATAAACTACAGAGAGCTATTGCTCTAAGCATGGCAGCATAATGGGATATTGTGTCATTGGCTTGATTCCTGCATACGTAACCTTGATTTTTTGCCCTCTTCCTGTGTAGCTGGACAGTTCTCTGGCGTGTCTTCCCCTGAGATGTACCGTCAGTGCCTTCTGTCGGGCTGCCGATGTCTGGAGCTGGACTGCTGGAAGGGGAAACCTCCAGATGAAGAGCCCATCATTACCCACGGCTTCACCATGACCACTGAGATCCTCTACAAGGTTGTTTCAAATTCTACAAACACATTTCTAACCTGAGGACGTTTACATTTCACATCCATGCCTTAATCTTTAAACCCCTGCGAATCCTGTACAATCCAACAATGAAAAGGTCAATGAATAGCCGGACCTTTGCATGTGACTTCCTCTCTAAAAAAACATCCAGAGGTTTGACCTAATAGGGTCAAAATGCATTAGAACTAACCTGATCAGTAAATTAACTTACCATTTAGTTATGCTTCAGTGGACATCTGAAACAGAGATACGCAAGTGTGCAAAAGCCTCCGAGGTGCACACACAAATCTACAGGAACAGGCAGACATCTTCCTTTCCCTCTCCACGCTTCCATTTAAGGGCAGCTGGAGCTCAGACACTTCAGCTCGGTTCAATTTGCCTCAGCTTCAGTTTGGGCTTCTGTACAGAGGCAGCAGCTCTTTGTGATTGGGTTCTGTACCAGGTTTTTGAAGGAATTTTCAGAATTTCCTTAGTTTGTTGAGCTTTAGAATAAAAATGATCAATTTTGTTGGGATTTTTCTGATCCTGTTCCTCTATGTCGCTCTCTTTTTGGGTTTATTTTTACTTAATTTTGCTCCTGCTTTAAACCAGATCAAATACATATTATGTGTACCCTTGACGTTTGAAATCTGGTCTTTTTGTGACATGTGACAGGATGTGATAGAAGCCATTGCAGAGAGTGCATTCAAGACCTCAAAATACCCCGTCATCCTCTCATTTGAGAACCACGTTGACTCGTAAGATATAAGCCCTACATAGTCACGGCACATTTTCTGTTTCAACTGTGTGTTTAATTCTGAAAGGGGAATCTTGAAGACAGATTTGGAGACAGCTGGATTTGGGACAGTTTTGGGTGTCCTTTCAAGCATTACTTTGATTTGTTTCAGGGTGAAACAGCAAGAGAAGATGGCCAACTACTGTAAAACCATATTTGGCGATGCCCTGTTGACAGAACCTCTGGAAAAATACCCAGTAAGTCCCCTGCCCCAACACAGAATTAATTAACCTTTTATAAGATTTTCATTGCAGGGCTGTTGTGTTTGTCTATGTGACTCAGCTGAGTTTGTAATTTTATCAAAGTGATTAACAAAATAAATGGCACGAGTTCAGCTTTCATATCTGCCCACTTTTTCCTTATCCCTGCCAGAGAAAATCCTCTCATACTCCCATTGTGATTATCATGATCATCCATTTTCTGCTGACCTCCTTTCCATCCTGTGTGTGCATGTGTGCTGTGTAGGGAAATATTCTCATATTTGTGTTTTTGTCGCAGAGACAGCAACTGTCGGATGGTATCAGACACAGAGCCAGAATTCACAAAATGTTTAAGTCAGAAATTTCCAGCAGACTATTTTTGTTCCAGAATGCTATTTTCCAACAACTAGAAAGACATATCCCCACAGAATGTGATGAGACAGCTTGTTTTTTTACTCATCTCCTACTCACTAAAAACAACTTTTTATTAATTCAGCTTGACAGTTATCTTATGAGCAATTGTTTGCATCCATAGTTACAGAGTTCAAGATTATCCTCATAAACTTGACTCTGAGCAAATCCTCAGTTTCAGTGTAAATATCTAAACCCCAGCTCAACTTTGTCATCTCTCCATTGTTGATTCACATTTATGATGTGTTTTGTCATTGTACATTTGACATTTTGACTGCTTGTCTCTTCTAGCTGAAGCCAGGCCAGCAGATTCCCAGTCCCTCTGAGCTCATGGGGAAGATCCTCATCAAGAACAAGAAGGGCAGCCATGATAAGCCAGCCGCGGCAAAGAAAAGCAGCCCTGCGGCCACAGATCAAACAACAGCCGCAGCTGCAGCCCCCCAGGACCCGAACGCCCCAGCCCAGGATGCACCTAATCCAGCAGCTGCCACCCCAGAGAACCAAGGTGCACACAACAACCCTCAGAGCAAATCAGGCTGTTTACAATGAAAAAAGCTTTTTTCACTGAGGCTTATTTGCACATTTAAGTTGAGGGTGAGGCAGCTGTCGAGGACACTGAGGAGCAAGAGGATACTGAAGAACAGGATGAGGAGAAAATGAAGACATCGGATGAAGTAAATCATATTCTTTTCTTAAAAAATCTATTTATTTACATCAACAAGAGCCCAAACATCACATAACTTCCTGTCCCTCCCTCACAGGGCACAGCTGGACAAGAAGTAACGGCGTACGAGGCCATGTCGTCCATCGTTAACTACATCCAACCCAACAAATTCATCTCCTTTGACAATGCCAAAAGTATGTTGGTGCACCACAATCTTATAAATCCACCATGCAACAAGCTATTGGTTACACAAGGGAGTCGGCATGAGTTATGAGTTTTTCTCCCCACTTTCTTCCTCTTTCACAGAGAAAAACAAGAGTTATGCCATATCATCGTTTGTGGAGACGAAAGGGGAGGCAATGATTGCCAAGACTGCCGTTGAGTTTGTTGAGTATCCTAAAAAAAAAGCATGGCAGATGGAGATTTTCCCTTTGAAAGACATTTTTACATGCAGCTATAGAGAATACAGGGGCAATGAAATGTATATTTCCATGCTTCCTTAATCAGTTTCTTAGATACAATAAGAGGCAAATGAGCAGGATTTACCCCAAAGGAACAAGAATGGACTCATCCAACTACAGTCCGCAACCTTTTTGGAACGTTGGTTGCCAGATGGTGGCGCTCAACTACCAGACGATGGGTATAATCTTAGAGACAACACTAAAAATCACTTAAAGTCTGACAGACTTAAATACAGTCCATGCTTGATAGTGAGCTTCTGCTTTTGGCCACAGCAGGCCAGTATTGCACCTCTCAGAGCAGCACAGGTCTTTTGCCGTGCTCTGCACCACAACAGTCGTTGCTGCTCCTGAATAAACGTGGCATTGAGGGACTGCTTGTGTTCATTTCCAGACTTCCCCATGCAGCTGAACATGGCTCTGTTTGAATACAACGGCAGAACCGGCTACCTCCTCAAACACGATGTTCTCCGTCGTAGTGACAAGAAGTTCGACCCTTTCTGTGACAGGATTGACACAGTTGTGGCGAGCACACTGACCATAAAGGCAAGTGTACAGCCTCCCCTCACAGTCTGGATTTAACGGTTTAATATCAGAAGTAAAGAGATTTTAAAAAGTGCAATATGTGTTTTATTGTGGAACAAAATGCGTTCATATCTCCTGCAAAGTCAGCGCATGATTTATCAGTGCAATGAACCAGTTAATTCATATATGTCATCACATTCTACACACTTGTCTAACTAGATCTATTCAGGACAGTTTCTGTCTGATAAGAACGTGAAGACAGGCGTTGAGGTGGAGGTGATTGGACTGCCAGGAGACCCCAAGAAGAAATATCGCACCAAGTGGACCACCACCCCTAATGCCATCAACCCCGTGTGGAATGAGGAGCCTTTTGTTTTCGAGAAGGTGGATATTAAATCACTAACTGTTCAAATAACACACATGCTAGTGTGTTCAAGGATTTTTTGTTTGTTTGTTTTCAGATCCTGCTCCCAGAAATGGCCTCACTAAGAATGGTAGTCCATGAAGAGAACGGGAAATTTTTGGGACACAGAATCATCCCTATTGATGCCATTCAGTCAGGTCAGTGAAGCTGTAAAAGAGGACAAAAAGGGATTTTCTTTACCAATGTATATATTTTATAAGCGGTGATTCACTCAAAATCAAATATTTGCACCTTAGTTTTTCACAAACTTCTGTTAAATCAGAAGTGCTGCAGTCGGTTTTCAGTCAGCATGATTTTGATTTCTTTTGTCCCATAGGTTTCCATCATATCTGCCTGCGTAGTGAGAGCAACATGCCTCTTACTCTGCCAGCTCTGTTTGTGTATATCGAGGTCAAGGACTACATCCCCGCTGCCTTTGCAGGTGTTAGTTTTTTATTGATTTCGAGAAAAAACCAACAACAACAATCAAAAAGAAAAGCCTGTCATTGACGTTGACAGAGTGACATTCAGTGGCAAGACTGACATGTAATGAATGTGTGGGGCTCAGGGGGATTTAATCTTTTTGTGGTTTAAGTTTATGAATTATTTTGAACTTGCTCAGTGATGGGTTTGATTGTTCTCCAGATTTCACAGATGCCTTATTTAATCCAACAAAGGGTTCTGAGAAGACCACAAAGACTCCGAAAGAGGTAAAATCATCCACCGAAACTGATACATGATGTTCCCAGATTTCTAAAGAAACCTCAACCGTTCTGAGTTCCTGGAAAATGCCCAGCCAAGCTGGATTGTTCATACCCTGTTTTTAAACCCCTGCAGTCCTCTGCTGACTACATTTCCCCCTACGAGTTGCCTCTTGTGGTCCAACCCCCCACTGACAAAGCCAAAGAACTTGAAGCCCTCCCTGAAGGTTTGTAATCAGTTCCAGGTTTATTTTTCTTGTGATTCTGAACTGTAAAATGACAGTATCAGGTCACTTTGCTAGCTTTATCATCTTATCACTTTCCGTGCTTTTTATTTTATTTTATTTTTTAGAAAAGACTGCTTCTGAATCCACACCAGCTTCTGACACCGCTGACCAGTCCTCCCCGTCTCCCCCAGAAGGCAGTACAGAGGAAGCTAAAGAGGAGGCTGACGGTCCACAAACAGAGCCATCTCCAAGTCAAGACGCAGCTCCGATTGAAGATGCAGGGCCCAATGCTGCGAGCCTCACATCTGAAATCCCTCCTGAAGCTTCTCCCACCCCTGAAGAGCCGGTTGCTGAGAAGGAACCAGAACCAGAACCAGTTCCTGAAGCCAAGGTAGAGCCAAGCCCTGAACCCGATCCAGAGAATAAGGAGGCATCAGAGGCAGGAAGCCCTGCAGCAGAGCCTGCAGGTCAGGAGGCTCCAGCTGCTAGTGAGGAGGCTCCAGATTCAGAGCCTGCTGCTGAGAAGGTTCCTGTGGTTACTCCTGAGGCTTTGCCCTGTCCACCTACTGCATCAGCCAATTCTACAGAAGGTGACTCATCTCAGACACTGAGCAGTGAAGGTAACAATACAGTGCTGCGCACATCACCATTCCCTTCTGTCAATCCAGTTTTAGTAAAAGGGTGGTAGAAAAATAAAAATAAAGAGCAATTTAGGAACATTTTCTGTTGATTTGATTCAATCAAGGGTCCACATAACATAATTCCCACAGCACATCCCTTTGTGTTTGTGCCTCAGAGCCTTCGACAGTCACCACTGAGCAACTGACACAGCACAAGAACTATCTGAAGGTCATCAAGCGTCAAGAGAAAGAGATGAAAGAAGCTGAAAAGAAGTATCAGAAAAAAGCAGATGATGTGATTCAGAAATACGCTGACTCCTTCAAGGCGATCAAGAAAAAGGCTTCGCTGAAAAAAAAAGAGTATGAGGATTTTTGTTGTCTTTTTTTCTCAATGGAATACAATTTACAGTTTCACAAAAGAGGTTTTGATCATTTGTGTGGAAGAAAGATGCTTGGATTCCCATCTGTCCTCTTGTTTATGTCTAATCATTCACCAAAGACGGTTCTGCTTCTGCAGAGTGGCACTGAATTTTACAGCTTATTAATACTGACCCACTAATGAAGCTGTTGTTGTTTTGTTCAGGTTTATTAACACGGTTATATTCAAATGCATGTGGAATATTCAACAGCTAATGTGTTTTCCCAGATGACTTTCAGAAGATGACAAAAAAAACAACTAAATGAGTTTGGTGTGCACTGTGCAGGGATTTTTATGCACAGTTATCCATCCTAAGCTCTCTGGGCAAGCTGTGCTTTTAGAAGACTCAATAGTGGCTGTGAGTGTATGAAATCCTTTGCAAATGTTTTGCTTTGTTGTGTTGGGCTACATGTCCTCCAGGGCTGGGGGCAACACCACTGAGAGCAGTGTGAAGACAGAGCGAGTGCAGGAGCAGAAGGAGAAAATGCAGGCTGAGCTGCAGGCTTTGTGGACAGAGCAGTGTGATCAGATGAAGAAGAAGCGAGAGCAGTGTGCCACAGAGGTTAGTTAAGTTTATATTTGAGGTTGAAGCTCCCACAAACCTCCCCCTTCAAATCCTACCTCATCTGCAAGAGCTGAAGTAACCAAAAGTACCACTTGTTAAATGCGATGTCTAAAAAAGCTATCTTTCTTCATTTCCAATTAAATGCGGGACATGAATGACTCACATGTACTGGCTGTTGATTTACATTCTAAACAGCATCCAAACTTTTTAGTAAACAGGCCCATTAAAAAGCTGATTCAATTTCCCTGCATAACAATGTATATTAAAATGAGTATTTTGGCCATTCTTTATTTGTGCTGCTTGCACTCAAGCCAACAGCAAGGTTTGTATTATACTACTATAATCTATTTTGCCCAAATGTCATTTTTGCTAAAAGTGATCAGTTGTCCATTCAGTAGTTCATCACACAATAAATAGGTTGGGGTTTGTTCAATTATATTGACACTTTGTCATGATGTCCCCATATATGGTGATTCTTAGAACTGAAAAACAAGATTTACATCCTGTTCTTATGTGATGGTTCTTATTTGTTGCTCTCCAGCAACCACTCTCCTCCTATTTAGTTCTGGGCTGTCTTTAATACATCTAATGACTCGCTCTCAAAATAGAATTAGTGTCTGTGACTCAGGATGCATTCACCTTTCTCCCGCAGCAGCTAATTTTACCTACTTTGTTGTTTCTGGGACCATAAACAGTAGGCAGCCAATGTTTGGCAGCCTCTTTCGGTTCTGCTTCAAACTGAGTTGTTCTCTAGAAAGGTTCAGCATCAGTGTACTATTTTAAAGGGGGTCACCCAGGTCATTTTTATTTAGTTATCAACAGTCAACACGGGGTAAAATAGATGACAGTTAACATCAAGTATGAATGTCTTGGCCAGACTTAAGGTTAGTTTCTTGTTGAATAAACAGCAGAAAGACAAACCTTTGGTTAGTGCTACTCAGAGCTGCTGAAATCCCATCACATTTTCCCTGACTGAGACTGTGTCATTTCCTCATTCTGCTGTGACAGAGACTTGCCAAACTGTTGGAGATGGCCACCGAGAGACACACCGGTGAACTGAAGACCCTGGAGAGGTGTGAGCACGCTTGCGGCACATTAGGGACACAATGCACACATCACAAGGCTTTGCTGAGTCTGTCCAATCTGTGCCTGGAGGCTTTAGTGTGACACTGTCTGCATGTGTCATCTGGGGTGATAAAGTTGACATTTTGCAAAGAGAATACCTCAAATACTGAATTAATCACCTCAGCAGGCAGGTCTCCCGATGTCCTTGGCTGGCTTACGGTGTTAGGTGTGTGTGTGTGTGTGTGTCTGTGTGTGTGTGTGTGTGTGTGGCGCTCAAAGTCCACAGCAAGCAGATGGTTATCTTAGGACAGCTATTGTACAACAGGTGTTTTAACAGCAGTTGGAAAGGAAAGGCGGCTCTGATCATCAAGCTGTCTTCTTTCCTCTGTGCGTTTAAGGTCATATCAGGCGCATTCTGTTTTCTAAACAGAGGTCAGATTTGAAACATTCACCTGCTGTTTTTCTTTTTTACAGTGAGGCAAAAGAAAAGAAGAAATCCCTTGCAAAATGTTCATCCGCAGAGAAGTCGAAGTGAGTAAACAGCTTTAATGATGTGTTCAGAGCGAAAAGATCTCCAAAGTCATGGGGATGTGGCCCAAAATAAACTACGTTATCTCTTACTCAGGCTGAAGAAGGCACTGAGCACTGAGGTCCTGGATGAGGCAAGTCAGTCTGACGGTGCAGTAAGTATCTTAAAGACTGATGACTGATGGCTGCCAGGAGCTTAAAATCATTTCTGACTTTATCAAACTCTGTTTCAAGAAGCTCTTCGTGCTCCTTTGAAACACTAAGTTCATGTAAATGTATACAAGTCAGTCACGTGTTTAGTTTCCAATTGCTTTTTATTCCAAATGTCTAAATGCCCATTTTAAATGTACAATTTTAGTGTGTAGAATGTCAGTCCGTTTTTAAATGTACTCATTTTCTAGACTGATGCTTTTTCATTTTGCATCATTGTCCTGCAAACATATGCGGTGTTATAAAAGGGCTAAAGTGAAGTCTAATAAGCACACAACATAATGAAAAAACCTGACAACTAAACCTCACAGCAAGAGGGTTTCGAGGAGTATCGGAGTTTGCGTGTTCTCCCTGTGTATGCGTGGGTTCAAAAACATGCATGTTAGGCTCATGGGAGACTCTAAATTGCTCCTAGGAGTAAAAACATATCTACTTCCTGCCCAATGTCTGCTGGGATGGGCTCCTAGCCCCATGCGACCCTACAAGTAATTAGCTATATAGACAATGGATGGATGGATTCCTGTTGTTTTAACACTACACCTGCAGAAAGGACTGACATTCTAAAATATTTTTGCCCCTGCTTTCTCTTGGTGATCTCTCTCAAATAGTTACAGTTGCTAAGCAGGCAAGGCTCGTTTGTTATTTGATGTAACCCTTCACAATGCAAAGCCGAGTCCGAGCAACTCATTCTGTTATGCTCACTTAGCTGGTGAAGACAGTTTCTTCCAGTTGCTCTTCCAAATGTGTCATCAATATTAGATGCTGAAAAAAATGTAATTGTGCACACAGATTGTTAGTAAAGATCTGAGTTATGGATTTTCTGGAATTGCAGTTCGGGAAAGAATCAGAGGTGGAGGTGTTTGTGAAACAAAAAATAAGAATAGAAAAAAACAGGAGCCATATCAAAACAGGATCCTAACTAAAACCTCTGGAAGTAAATGCATTTGAACACGTGAGACAAAAGTTTAAACCAATTTCAGATCCATCTAATTTGTTTCTATCAATTCTGTTTCAAGCTTATGGGAAGAAACAAGTAAAAGTAAAAGAGCAAGCATGTTTCCCAAAGGGTTGAGCTCTCAGTTTTCTTTAACCTTTAAAAACCAGAGGCAACTCAACCTTAACTTTTTCACCTGTGGGCGGTGGAGTAGGTCTTTGAAGGTTAACAAACTCTGCCATTTGCATTCAGATCTGGAGCCACGTGCGCGCCACACCGAACACGTTCATATGTGGTTTGCTCAACAAAGTGCTGTATTGAACGGGCGTAGCTATGGTTACAAAGTGTCCAAAGATTTGAAGAAAAACGGAAAAGAAACATTACCTCGGGCATGATACAGTGCACATGCTCACATAGTGTACGCCTACGCCTCACACACTCACATCATGTTGAGCTGTAGGGACACCCACACGCACGGCAGAACACGTACACCTATCCAGGCACGACAGGCCCCCAGACACTAACGCACCATCGTGTTTTTTTTACCCAGAGAACAAAGGGCAGCAGGCTCACACATAGGCCAGGGTTGCCCATTATTCAGAGGTCCTGTTTGCCGTGATCGGGTTAATCCATGTGTGATCGATGACTCACCCAGCTCTGCTCTCTTGTTCTTCTGTCAGCTTGTCAAGACTCAGAGCTGATGTATCTGGGTTAATGGCCCGGCCGTTTCACTTTGCTCCTCCACAATCGACTCCATGTGGAGGGCAGAAAACCCTCCACAGTTCCACAATTTTGAGTCGATTTGCAGTTCATACTGATCAACTTAATCAGCATTTATCCATTAATTACCACAACTATTTTTAACACAATCACTTGTGTGATCAGCAGTGCCTCGGTATTGAATTCTTGAGTGCAGTGAGAGCTGTGTGATTTAACTAGACAAGTTCAACCTGCGATTTAACAGTATTGATCCTCTCTCAGGTTGCATCCCACGGGGGCATAGACATACGCTCACAGAGGGGAACATGAGTAGATGAATCTCTTACAGGCACGCTAACAGTCTGTATCTCTCACACTGGAAGCCCGAATACACACAAACAAGCTCACACAGATCCAAAACCACAGATCGATGATGTTATTTAGTAGTAACACATGTTTTGCGCTTTACCGTGTTGTCGCAGTCGTCGGAGTACAGCCCACAGCAAGAGGCTCTGATGAAGAAACAAGCCGCTACACTGGAGGAAATCAAGGCCCTGACTAACCAGGTACGCACACTGATATCAGGGACGCTTGTTCAGTCTCACGAGAGCTTTCACAGACTCCTTTGAACAGAAACTGTGGAGTAAAAAGAGAGAAAGATGAAGGAAGTTGCTATTGTGTGTATTACAAAAGTTTAGCATAGCACACATTCAGGTCCTGTCCCTCATTTTTTGCTCAAAAGGATATATTATAATTTCCCTTCAACATAAATTCACTGATGGCATTCCCACAGGCTAAACTTGACTCAAGTAAGACATGGTCCTACGGGTAATGTAATGTTTTAACTTGGAGTGATGATTTCTTTTGAGTTATTCGTAACCTTTAGAGAGACTCAAATCCAAAGTCCCTTTACTTTTTCTGAAAAGAGATCCGTCTTTCTTTGCCAAACACATGTACGATCTACATTACTAAATGCATGCCCCCTCAGGGATCTGAAATTCAAATGATGCCCACAAGGAATCCCTCATTTCTAAGCACTGTGGCCATCTGTGCATTTTGTGCGTATATGTGATGATGCAGCATGACACATCCAGTATAAGATATTCACAAACAACTGACAAAGCTCCCACAGCTGTAAAGGACGTCAGAGTCCTCTGAGTTACAATGCTTTCCGTTTAATAGGGAAAATTCACTTAATATTGAGAGAAGAGGTGTGAAATAGCTGAGGGACTGACGTGGGGGTGCCAGATGGATGGTGGTGTTTTATGTCCCACCAGAAGCATTAGCTGACAAATACAGTTTTTCTGATTGTCAGAGGCAGTGGGAGGAATTCAGATGAGGCTTAAAAAACCAAAGGATACATGGGGATTATATATGTAGCTCTGTTGATGGTGTGTTGAGGCATTTTCTTTTACCTGTCATGGTTCCAAAAGGTGTGATTTCAGTAAAGAACGCCTAATTGCTCTTTACATGACAGAGCTGTAACCTGAACCTGATGATGTCATTGTGAGTAGACAATGATTTTTACAAGTGTTCCTACGTCTATCCAGTGATTTTCATGGCAAAAAAAACGTTTTTTAAATGATTTAAAATGCATGGATTTTAACATTTTCATGTTGACAAACTTTTTTCTAAATCACTCCACAATTTACAGGCACGTTTTTTCATAATTTATGTCCATATTTACATCTGAGAGACTTCCCGATTGCAAAATTAACCCGATCAGTTCCCTCTTCTGTTCAACGACAACAGACTTTTCCAGCCAACAGCTGCTGCCATCAAAACAAGCTGATGTTTTTCATGAAACAGACAAATGGTTTATTCAGTTATTATAAATTGATATTATGTGTCTGGATTTGAAAAGAAGCAACATAAAGGGTCTACAAAATTTTTTTTTTGATGATCCTCTAACTGTCCTTTGGTCGCTGTGTTGGCAGCTCAATCAAGATGCCCTGAAGGAGCACGCACAGAAAGTCAGGTCTCTGCCAGCAGAAGTGAGGGAGGCTGTTAACGTCTGTGTGGGGGCGCACTTCCCTGAACTGGTCGATCAGACTGCAGACAAGAAGGTTGGAGGCGTGGGCTTCTATGGAGATGTCTTCCTCGGTTAAGTGTATCTTAGTAATTCAGCCTTCACACATATTTAATCCAACCTGTAATTAAGAATTAAGTCTAACCATGAAGTAGAAGAGTAGCAGAGTGAATACTTATTTTAGATGTCCTACTCTTATTGAAACTTTTAATAAAAAGCTAATGTTCCATTCAAATATAGTAGTATAAAAATAGATTGTTTTGATTTATTTCCATTTTCTATATGACTCTGTTTGTTGTTTCTCATGAGCAAAAAACACTCTAAATTAGGCTACACATTGACTAATATCTTCCAGATGGAGACATTTAACTAAAAGCGTGTCCTTAGTGCTAAAAGTCTACATCCTGCTCTCCTATTAAGTTTACAAATGGGAATAAATGTTGCAAGAAAAATGTGGGTTATCACTGTCTGCAGGCTGAGTGAGACAATCACTCCATTTGTCACACTTCAATACAGCTTTACTTTGCATCTCTGATTCTCCATGAAGCCAAGCATTAGCTCTCATATCACCATGCACACAGTTCTGCAGAGCAAAATCGGATTTAACCCTTTGACAAGCATACAAAGCCATGACAATACTGCCCCAGTACATGAACAGCATGTATGCCGTTTCCAATTTGGTTTGAAAATAAGGATATTTTTTATCAGGTGACTTTGCTTATTTGTAAGTTTACAAAAAAACAACATGATTCAATGAGAATGGTTGCAAAAATGTAAATGCAATGTTTGGATTTGGGAGGCTAAAAACGTTATCATAGAGGCTAGATAGAGGGATGGCAAACCAGATGTTGTTTTGAGGTTTATTTACTGAAAGTAGGGGAGTAGGGGAAGGCATTGGGAACTATTTGGCAGTGGACAAGTGGCCAATCGGTCGTGCAAGTGAAATATATATTTTTTAATGATGGTAGAATTTCTTTATGTTGGTACAAATTAAAAAATGTGTGTTTTTTCAACTGTTTCAAGCTGAACTATGGGACCATCAACCGATGGCTGGTATGTTAAAAATCTCAACGACTGTGTTTTCCTTTTATGACTTTTACTTAATAAACTGGTTTGTTTTGAACGTGTATGTTTTTTCCTTTTATTTCTCTGAGAGCAGTTTGTTTTCCAGTTTGTATGAGGTTTGCATATCAATCTTGATAGATTTTTTTCTTAAGAACAGAAAGAATAGACAGAGAAACAGAAATAGAAAACATCTACTTATAATGTGGAAGTTGACATTATTGCAGGGGTTTCAGATGGTGAACTAGTCAGGAAAAATAGACGGACAAGTCACAGAAAAAATAGAGTAAAACCAAACATTCCCAAGTTCTAACCTTTATTGTCCTCAGCACAACTTAGTCTGCAAAAGCGTTGCTCACAAATATGACATCAAATCCTACTGTATGACGACATTCATTGCAGCAACATGTGCTGTTATTCTAAATCATAGTGTGAGACATTTGCTTCATATTTGATCAATATCTAATGATTTTTTGGTTCTCTTTGAACAAAGTAAAGGTAACATGAGCTTCCAGAGCCATCTGTTTCCCAAGTTTATCACCCGCACCCATTAATCAAAAATATGATTTCTATTAAACTCCTTTTGTTAAATTTATCAACTGTCTCCGGGATAAGTTTTTATTTTAAGTGTCTAAGAACCACTCCAATTCAATATGCTAATGAAGTTAATTGGCGTGACACATGTCTGGACCAATATTTGCAGCAAAAATAACTCAGATCCAATTTGTTCCAGTTGCGTGACTCACATCTTATTTTTCACGATGTGGACAGCGAAATGGTAAAAAATACATTAAAACAATACATAAAACAAAACTGAAATCACAAGCATTCTTCATAAAATATGTTATGTGTAAGTCCCCATTCGCACAAACAGAAAGTAAACAGGAAGGAGGAAAAATACAGCTAAAACATAGATATTAATGAGAAAATTGAGGGGATGATTATAGTCCACAATGTCAGCAAAAGATAAGTAGGCTATTTGTGAGCAAAAAATCTAAACGGTCATTCGGCAGTTGGATTGTGAGTAAAGATTTTTCAGAGGAAATCCAGTTTTAACTGCCAAGGTTTGTCTCTCTCTTTGCACACTGCTTCCAGGGCCCATATCTGCCAACGCAGTTGGCACATTATGCCCTGACTGATTCACAATAACACATAATTACAATGTCTTTGTTCTCTCCAACAAATGCAAACCGGTGATGGAGGACGTACAATAATAGAGGCGCATGGATGGTAGAGAATGCAGGTAAAAAATCTCTCAGAGACGGAGGCATGTTCCAGTTTAATGTCAGCACTGCAAAGTGCATCAGTCTGTTGGTGAGAAACGCTGTTCTCCTACTTTTTGCTCACATGCATGCATTCATTACAGAACCCAGCTTCCATCTGACTCACCACCCACAGCAGTAGGTCCAATTTGTTTTATTTCCCTTTTGCTGTGACACCCTTCTCCTGAATCAAATGACATGCCTGACATTTAAAAGCGGAGGATCTGGACAAATCACCAGGAGACACATCTTGTCCCCGATAGTCCTGTCACCTCATGCACAACACAGACGAACTGTTAGCTTTCAAGCGTGAAGCCAGTCAGCCCTGAATCACTAGGACTGATAATCTTACATAAGATGAAGGCACCTCAGTCTCATGCCAGCTGGGGAAGAATGGCTAAAAATCCCAAACAAGCAGGAAACACATGAACACAAAATCAGTCGAGTTACTGCAAGAACAGATGGTAAATCGCAATATAGATTGTAAGAATTCCCAATTAATGTACTTTCAGATAAAAAACAGGCAAATCGTAAAGAGAGAAGGGAAAAAGCAATATTATATTTATGTTTTTGTGATAGCATGTGAAGCACTGGAAATGACCGGAAATTGTGATGTATTAATATATTGTGAAATGCCTACTTTTTTTTACTTGACTGACTTAAAAAAGAAAAGATTAGACTGAAAGGCTAAAATATTTTGTTTTGTCTCACATTATTGTGATCATTTTTTGTTTAATTATTCGGTCAAATATGTTAAGCTGTTTGTGATTACTTTTATGAAAAACGTACATAGTGGTTAAATGCTAAATCAGTGTTAATTAATCAATTAATCTTAATCTCTTTAAGACATTATGGGAGAAGAAAGGCAATTGATGTTTTAACACCACCAGAAATGATACAACCCTTTCTATTTTAGGCCTAAGAATACATAATTACTTGTTCTAATCTCAGTTTTGAGCCATGGTCTGTGAAAACATAAAAGCCACTTCATTAAAACACAATAATAAGATGAGTCCATGGAATAAAGACTCTATCAAAGGTATAAAAAGCTAAGTACAATTCTCCTTCGCTTGTTGTTTCCTGTGCGAATAAGCCAGCCTGACCCACAGGAGACGTAGTCATGATCCATAGTCCATCTTGACTTGAAGTGGATGCTGAGCACCCACACCACCCACATAAACACCACCTGCTGATGCTGCGCTGTCATTGGCTGCCTGTATCTGCGCTTAAATCCGTGGGATATCTTCCACAGATCCTACAAGACATTTTGTAATGATTTCTAAGCATGATTTGCAAACATGGAGCACAAACCTTTTATTCCAGGTCGCTCTCAAAAACCCATAAATCCCGTCCTCATCGAGCTGCTGATGTGTTACGATGATACTCTCCTCTGTCACCTGAGAGCACGTAAGAGCTGCTTTCACCTTCTCAAGAATGCAAATCTCACCTTCCTGCATGCAGTGGTGCATATGGGCCAGTACAAGAACACGCACAGACACATCCACATACTTTAAAGAAGAGCCATTTGGACAATCTGTTGCATAATGACATGTCTCCAGTGTCCCAGTCGCCCTGGGGGTGGTAGCATCTGTCTCGCTGCGAGTTTTGAAGGACTGACACACAACAGTGGTATTGGAATTCGGGCAGCTGCCTCCACTGTTATTTAATCATTAAGATTCCTGGTTTGAAATACTAGCCATCAATCATATTGTTGTGCATGGTCTTGTTTCTGAAGTATTGTCGGAGATTATATTCAGATGCCTCCAAAGGGCATTCAGGATTACTACTTGCAACTGACAGGTGCGTAGAATTAATCGGAAGCATGCTAGTTTGAGAGTGTCTAACAAACCCATTTTAAATTCTGTTATACATATGGATTATTTTATTCATGCATTTTTTTTTTACTTTGTGGACAGCAATGATTTTTGTGCCTTAATGAACACACTTGTCTTTCTGTGTACAGACAAAATATGTGTTCAGTCATTTATGATGCATTTTGCAAGAGTGGGTAATATGCCACAAGTCATAGATTTACACCCACAATGTCAAGATGACATATATTTCAAATTAGGCACTTAAGGCAGCTGAGTCATAAAGTGCCTTTTTTGAAAGAAAAAACACTCTTGTTGAGAGTTCATCTTTGATGTGTTTCTTCTTTTCCTCTTAAAGATTTGAAACCCTTTTTGCTGTGAGAAAGTGAACACCGAGCAACGTGACTGGCAGAGCACGTGGGAGAGAGAGCAGATCGGGCCTTGGGGCCATTAGGTCATTTAAAAGATGCGTACCTCCTCCAGGGAGCGGCGAAGTGGGTTACCATTTGCAGAACATTTGTGTCTTGAGGTGAATTCTGACTGATACGGCATTCCACCATGTTTATTAGAAAATGATGATGCGGAGATTATATTTTCTAAATATTCTAAATATGTAAATTACAACTGGCATGTCTTATTGTCTTAAAGATTGCAGGTACTTTCTCTTCTCTCCCCTGAAAGAGCCAAACCTTCCGTTTGCTGTTTTCCCTCTGCCTGTGACAACGTGGTCCGCTTTACTCCAGATGCGGCTGATTTGTTCCCTATCTCTGTTCAAGGTGGAGCTGAAACAAATACATTTGTTGTCCATTTGTACAATTTATTGAGCTGTCAGAGGTAAGCGGGCCTATGGGGCAACAAATAGAGCCTGTCGGGCAGGAGATGGAGAGCGAGCTCTCCGGATCTCCATCACTTCGACATCACTGCGGGCTAGGAATTTCCATCAG